TTTCATGAATCCAAATTAAATTCATAAAATGTATGCCAGCTATTGTTTACTAGAGTTATGACGCGGTTTCATTACGAGAGAAACCTTTCCACACCAAAAGCTATTTTCGAGTAAGCTATAAAAGCTATGGAATAATTTAAGCATCTTTCGTCGTGACCCTGATGGGCAAAGAAAAATGGCCCCTTGCGTCATACCGGGTCCGGTTCAAGTGAAAGTTAAAATACGCCCTTTTAAAATTGGGTCCGGTGAAAACGTCGAATTCCTAGCAACACTTGTCATGAATGATAATCTATCGTGTAAATTAAATTAGCATTTATATGCTAAGCGCACTCATTTCACTAAAGCTGCTTTTTTTGAAATAGTTACAAAAATAATAAAGCGCATGTAAAGCGCTTTATGGGTTGAATGATACGATCGAACATGAAGTTCAAGGTTAATCTCCAATTGTCTTCTTCATTGAGCCGTAATTGATCATAACGTGACGTCACCAGTGACGTCATGTTTGTATCGCTATCTCTCTCTAACGAGAAATTACAAATTGTAGGTTACCGGATTTCAAATTTGCATATAAATTCATTTTCTTCAAATGGTAAAATAACTCTTCGAACGAACACTAAATATCCTCGTTTCCTACAATATATCTTATTAAAATTTCTTGTTTATTAAACTTAAAATGTCAATCCGTAATTGCTTGTAAACAATGTCTAAGTTCCGAAGATAAAATCGTTAATGTATTGCAAATACTTTTACCGCCTTTCCACTCGCGCGCAAAAACAAGAGTAATGCGAATAATACAGGCCGTCTATAAAATTTAATTCATAAAATAATCATAAGAAATTAAAAAGAAAAAAAGGTTAGTTTTTTTTTAATTTTTTAATATACTATGTCATAAATACCAAAACATTGATCCTTAAGCATTTAAATTAATATTCCATTCGAACTTTCACTTATAAATAAGAAAGAGGTTGCGTATAAATAAAATTGTTTGTAAATAAAAAAAAATGTCTCACCTCAATCCAGCCGGTAATAAAAATCACATAACATAGAGGTTACAACGTGCGACATACACAGCCAACTTGGTACTAAGCCACGGACAGAATGCGATCTCCGGGCTCCGTCTGAGATGACGTAGGGATGAGAAAGTATTTATCGATAGAAATAATATTAATTAATTTTTATTTTCACTAATTTACAGAATATATATGCAATTCAGATATAAAAATATGAGTTATCAATTCAAATTGAGATTTTTGTTCAACAAATAATTAGGTATTTTTTTTTGGTTGTTGACTCTTTAAATAATATATTATTTATAAAAATATAATTTTCTTAGAGCCTAATAGATATAATATCTCTTTTCATCCCTTTATATAAATATGTCAATGATTTAATCTTTTCAATAAATTTAAAATAAGAACATAATTTCAAAGTCAACTCATCGACATTTCGCTAGTTTTATAAAGTTATCGATACTTTCATTTGACGTCACTAGTGACTGAGTTTGCCAAACCATGTTGAAGAGCAAGGTGAAGATCTGGGTCTTTGACCGCAAACGTAAGCCCACCACTACTGCGATTTTAACTGAAGTTTTATATTAAGCTCTGTTTAAATAAGAGTTTCGTTAAAAATTACTAAATAGTTGCAATTATAAAATACAAGTCTTTCTATGCTTTAGTTGTGTTATTTATATTGCTTTTTGTATATTTCAATTCAGAAAAATTGTACTGTAAACAATTTTCTCCAACTTTTTTAAGTGGATATGTCATTTTGACAGCTTCAAGTCTAATATTGAGAACAAATAAGTAGCCATTGGATTTGGCAAAGATCTTTTCCCTTTGCAATACATTTAAGTCTTCACAACTAAAAATATCAATTATTTCCAAATAGCTTTTGGTCTCCAACCAGAGATTTTCCATAAACCTTGATTTTCTTGATATAGACCATAAAACAATCTTCTGAATAACATTAATAAATCATAAATAATCAATATTAAATAATTGTCAAAATAATTTTAAAAGAATTAAGTACCTATTACGAAAATAATGTCATAAAAACTGTTTCATTTATTTTACGCATAATATAAAATATCGTAATCTAAGTTTAAATGCATTATTTAAAATGGTAAAACTCGCCCTGCTGTCACACAAGACTCTACAGTGGAATACGTGTCCAACCACAATATGGATTACCGCTATTGTCCGTCAAAATCTTAGCTTGTCCTTGACTTATATATTATTCTTATTAAGATGAAAAAAAATCTTAAGAACCTTTATAATTCTAATACTTTCTAAAAGCGAAAGTGTTTTGTTTGTTGACACTTCTATGGTAATCGTAAATGATATATGTTAAAGAATATGTTGTATTGAAAATCACGTTAAATATTAAACAGTAAAATTGTTACGTATTTCATAGTTAACAAATTTATAACCCTATTTAATTATTTAATTTGTCTTCTATTTCATTTAATTTTAATGACGGAGTAAATTTTTTAAACTTAGGAATAAATATTTGTACTTTAACATATTTTTAAAGCTCTGTAAACATATTATAACACATAATTAAAATACACGCCTAAAATACAAGTAACAGCTGTTGATGGTATGAATAAAAAGTACAAAAAGATTTTTCCGATACCGGGAATCGAACCCGAGCCTCCTGGGTGAGAGCCAGGTATCCTAGCCACTAGACCATATCGGATATGCTATAAACGTTAAAAATACTGAATTCTATAGTAGAAGAGTTATAAAATACTTAAAGAATTGAAATTGTGTTCTAAAAATATGATACAAGTATAATAAAGTAGTATTATTAAATTTGTAAGCTACATGCTTCATATTTAATTCTTTCATACAAGATATGGGAATAAACTTACATTATGAATAAGTTATAAAAAAATGTTCTTATTGATTAGTTTCGTCTTTAATTCAATTAAACCTTAATTGTGTTGTTACTTTAAAACATATCTCAGTGCCATCTAGAGACTGCATTGGTAATTTACAAAACATTTCTATTTTATATATAGAAACACCAGACGTGGTTTACACAAATTCCAATAGATGGCGTAAATTATAATGTTTTTAGAGAGCCCATTAAAGTCGGATTAACGTTTAATGCATCATCATTACTTTTTAATCATTCTCAATCTCGTCTAGAAACCTGAAAAATCATTAAGGAAAAGTAGTTTTGATGTACCAAGGTACATAGAGCACGACGATACTCATTACGCTTTGTTAGCACCATGCGGAATATGAACGGTTGTTATATGAAATTAAAGAAATTGTTCTTCATTTATAAATAACGACAAAATATTTTTTTCCATACAATATAATAGACATATTTAAATTTTTAAGTTACTAGTGAACATTTTATCCTCGCTTTCCAATTTTTTATTTTTATTTTCTGTGACTTTATACGATGTGTCAAACTTCAAAGAGAATTTGTTGTATTTCAGTTCATAAAAGAAAATGACATAAAATAAATCTATTTCTATATTTAAAATCTGATTATTCTTTTTATTTTTTTGTAATAGTTTAGTTGACTATATTGACTTACCAGCGTTTACGATTTTTACCTTAATTGTTTTGATTAAAGTTTTCGACTCTCTTTTCGAAGAGCAATAATTATTACACTTCATTTAATCAAGGCTAATTATTTACAACTTATTTCTTATGACATATTCATAATTCTATGTAATTATCTATAAAGTTAAGTGTTATCTTATATTTTACACGAACGAAATTTTGATGTCAAACAACTTTATAATGCCATAATTTCACAGGGTAACATAATTATAATTCATTCATTTATTCATTCATTCATTTCTCATTCATAATTTCATTGACATTTTCTGTTTTTTAATCCTTTTTTTATATTTAATATTGTCACCTTAGTTATAACTATGGTAACGTCGATTATACTTTGAAAGTTTTTGTTGTTTTTTGGCATTCATTTTAATAAGAAAAAAAAATTCAACATTTTGCTTATCAAGATTTGGCTGTATTTTAATTTACATTTTATTCACGATATATTCTTTTATTAATATTTTCATTTGAATTACATATTATATTAAATTTAGCTTTTTGTTAAAAATATTTGGTAATTTTAATATTAAGTTTAGTATTAATTTCCTTAAATTAAAATAATGTAACATTTAAATGAAACCATGTTTTTCTTACTTACTATGCAATTTATTATTTTACAAAATATAATATACCACCCTTAATTTATAAACTGGGTTTTACTTGTAATATTATATAAAAATTTTACTTGTAATATTGAATATGAAAAAAAATAATGAAGGTTAATTAAAATTATAGTCTAATTAAAAAATATATAAGTACACAAACCGAGAACCCGGATCTCAAATGTGTTGAAGCGAAAAAAGAACGAAGAAAAAATATTGAATTCTTTTTATTACTATTATAAATAAACAATAATATTCATAAGAAAAAAAGTTATAAATAATTTGGTAAATAGCTATACATATAAATAGTAAAAATGAAGTATTTATATCACAGTGATCATACTGCTTGGAAATTGGAGGGCGTGGCAATTTAATAAACAAAGAAAAATATTGGTTTTTGAAAAAAGCGGTGGGAAAACAGATAATATAGAAAAGGATTTTAAAGAATTAAAAAAATATTTAGATTATTTTTCTTTTTGTAACTAAATAAAAAAAATATATATAAATAAAATAATAGTGTACCTCAACAATAACTTTCTTACTAGCAACTCAAGTGCGTAAAAGTTATAAAATATCTTAACCAAAATATAAATAAGATTAAATACATCGAATTATTTTATATAAATGCAACCACTTACAATAATAAACCTAAAACTATTACAATAAATTAAATAAATAAATACCATTACATTAAAAAATTGGTATAAATATTTTGGGATCTAGCAATAAATAAATAATAATCTATGGAGATTAAGAAATTATAAGTACTTAATATTACCTAGTAAATTTTGAAAAATAATTGCACCTTATTTTTTTTCTATCTGGTAGCGTCGTACGGCATGTAGCTATTATAATGGTTAAAATCAGTGTCGTATGCTCGCCTATAACCTCCGTGGTGACCATGATCATGTTCATGGTGTTCCTCATGGCTGTTTGAATGATGGTGGGATATTTCTGGTTTGGTGATTATTTCGTATGTAGTCGATTTATGACCACCACCTCCCTTCAGACCGACGAGTGCTGATAGAAGCAACGACATTAAAGCCGTCATCATTGCTTTACCTGCTAAAAGTGCAAGAGCTCCTAAGGCCGCGGCTGCTAATGTACCTATTAAGAAGAATCACGAGTTATAGACACAGAATATTACTATGTTATTCTATTTCATATGACTTAAACTCTATTTTTTTATGGAACTATACAGTAAGACAAAAAATGTTGGCTATACCTTTAAGGACTACTGATGATTTTTCTCTCCTCTGGGGACTTTAATTTTATATTGTTAAGTATTTTTTTTTTTGGCGTTTAAAACAGTTTTTATTTCTTTTTGTTTCACTTATTTATTAGTTTGATTGTGGTATCGTCAAGCTTTGAGTCATAGTATTGCTAATATATAACAAGGGTTTAACTCAAACAAATAGAACTTTTGTGAAAAAAATCGGGGATGAACATATTTTTGTTGTTTACCTTTCATCATAAGTAAGGCAGCTATAAGAGCACCGTTACCACCACCTTTTCCTCCCCCCAAACCCCCTCCTTTTCCTCTACCAACAAACGCTTTATCTCCTTTTGCCATGTTCAAAGCATCTTTTGAAGTTTCAGGATCCAGTAATCTATATCTCAAGGAATGTCCATCTAAATAGTTCTGGAGGCTATACAGAAGATATCTGTTCAGTTTCTCATCAGGTTTCCCTGGATACTGTCGAGCTAATTCAGCAGCCATTTCTTCCGGACTCGTATTATTAGTTTGATTGTCTCTCACAATACTCAACCCAGGGAAAAGCCTGAGTTCGCTATACGAGTTTATGTCTTCTATAAATGATATTGCATGCATTTTAAGGCATTTCACACTGATATTTCCATTACACTCCTTGTGAAGATTCCTGCCTGTACGTTCAGAATGCGTATCATTGTTCGAATCGATAAAAACATTATCTGTCTCATTAGCCGCTTCATATAATGGCATAAATACACACAGAATCGCTAATGATAGCACTGAAGAATATTTGGTAACCATTTTTATCAAGCACTCTTATCACTTCACTTAACAATGTATAACTTTTTTATCGTCAGCTTCGGATCATAGCTATGTACAGAACTGAACTAATGATGCCAAACGATCGGTTTCCATTTTATACCTTAAAATTAATCATAAAAAGTAAGCAACAGTGCTTGAAGGCGCAAAAAGAACAAATTAGATTTCCACCAGAGAAACGAAAATACTTTCCAATAGCTTAGGCTATCGCTTTAAAGATAAGATGAAAATTTCTCTAAAATGTCGCATTAACGATAGATTACCTTAGCAGGGTAATTTTTAGATACACTATCTATTAAATCTTCCTATTAATTTTTAACTGAGATCATAGTCATCATAACAAGCTTGTGTGGCATTTTTAAATTCCAATCTACATATATTAAATTTATTTCAATACGAAAACAGGTGGTTTCTGAAATATTATATCCGATATAATAATTTTAGTAACTTCATATTTTTGGTATACGATCTGTAAATAAGAAAAACATTCGTACAGTTTTATTTCTCTATTTCAAAAAGAACACGAATTTTAAGCGTTTCTAACATCGACAAACGTGCGATTTAATAATAGCAATACCTACTTTCGTTTGTGTGTTTTCAATTAAACATTTTATAAAGACTAACAGACTGAGGTGTGAAAAAATAGAATACATGCTCTAAAGTTTAGCATTTGTTGTGTATAAGTTTACTATAAAAACTCTGCTCTTGATAGTCTAATATTTGGTAAACTTAATATTTGAATATATATCTATCTCAAAAATCAAAAAATAAACAAATGAATATTAATATATTATTATCAATGTTGAGATTAATCCATTAATCTCCCTTAAAATTCATAGCACCAAAGAAATCTAATCACGATTGTAGACCAGTTGGAAAAAAAGTGGTTTAATGATGAAGAAATCAAGAGATTAGATTAACAGACTTTCAGATTAAAGATACATCAGGGTGTTATTTGTAAGCAATCTTTATTTAATGCTCCAAGATTGTCTTGATAAGTATTGTTTCTAAAGAAAAGAAATTACAAGTTACGAGTACTACTATCTGGCTTCAACGCTGGATTAAATGGAAAGTAGTAAATACTGGAGTTATTACGATTAATATTAAAAAGCATTATAAATAGAAGTTATAAAATTAAATCACTTTCGATTTCATTAACTATCTTACTTACAATATTAAGAGATTTTTTATGATATTTAACTAAAAAATATTTTTGTTATTGTATAGAGTTAAATGCACTATTTAATATTCGGATTTACTACGCCATTTTATTTTTTGTTAAAAACTACATACTCCCGACGTTTCGGTTACTTTACAACAACCATAATCACGGACAGACGAGATTTCGCGTAGTATATCCTCAAAATATTAGTTTCATTTAAATGACTTTCGAAAATCTCAGATCTCATTAAACGCATTATCGTTAAAGTTTGTTAGAGTTTTTTGGTTATTTTTGTTGAAGTTACGAAAAAAATTTTAAATCTTCATCAGTATTGTGTTATTTTATGAATATTTTATGAGCTAATTAACGATTTATCTCATAACAAAGTGATCAACTTGAGAAATAAAAGGGAAAATTAAAAACACTATTCACATAACACATTTTATTTTAAGTGCAATTTATAACTTAAAGCATATATATTATACATATGTTTAACACAATATACGAATAAACAAATAATGATTGTTTAAAAAAAAAATATTTTTTTTAACAATACATATGATTTTATGATAATTACTTATATAGTAAACTTAAATATAATAATTGTACTTCGGTTAAATGCAAATATTTTTTTATGGAAATATATATAAAATATATAAAAAAATATAAATAAATTATACAATTATCACATATAATAAAAACATACATTTAAATTAGATAATACATAAAAAAAAATATTTAATATATATTTATTATATAAAAAAATAAGCGCATAAGTTACAAGTCAATACGAAAATGCCTTAACAAATATAATGAGTCAACTTAATCTATGAATAAATAAAATAAATTAACTGTCAAAATAAATTATTCCATTTGTACATTAATAAAACAATAATAACCATCTATAAAAACGCAATCTATTACTGGATCTTCAAATTCCTTCCGTAGCCCGAGTGACCATAACCCCCAACATCCTCATGGGCAGTGGAGTGTGAATGGGAGTGAGTATATATCGGTTTTGATATAACTTCATATGTTGTTGATTTACCGCCGCCTGATAATGATTTGAGACCAATAACAGCAGATAATAGAAGTGACATTAACGCCGTCATTAAAGCTTTCCCCGCAAGTAATGCGAGTGCGCCAAGAGCAATCGACATCAGTGTACCTGTACATAAATGATTTTCATTATAATATAATAATATAATATATTAATACATATAAAGTAAACCATAAAATCCAGTAGCTTTAGTTAAGTTATTTGGAATTTTTCTTGAAATTTCTATTAGAGTACATTCAGAAACATGACACGTTTTATTATGGCCATAAATGACATTGCTTCTTAAATTATTGTGTATTTTTACTTATAGGAAAAAACAGGGTGGAAACATACTACGTAATTGTAATATAGTCTTCGTGATTCCAGTATACACACATTGTATATAAGGTAAAAGCATGAAAATTATTTTGTCACTAATATTATACACCACCATAGATATCAAAGAAAAAATGTGAGAAATGTCACTTTACTGTCATTTTCTGCTCTGATTCATATTCGTCTATTATTAAGTTGTCGTTCGGATGGAGATATTAATTTAATAGAAAAAAAGTTTCTGTTTTAGAACAAAGCAATTTAAGTTTTATGAATATTTTTCTTAGTTTTTCTTATTATAATATTATAATTTCTATTAATTTAATCTTCTTCATAAAATAAATAATTTAAAAATACATATTATGTTTTTAATGGTATTTCTACATTTCGTAGTCAGTTTGACAAAGATTTTAAATAAATATTATATTTTGGAAGCTATAATATTTGAAATATATACATATATATGTATTAAACTGTGTGCAATTAAAATGAAAAAAGATCTCTATAGAAAATTTATAGTGAACAATCTAAGATGTTGGTGAATTTTTGTTTATTATATAGAAAAAATTAATAAATGTTACATATTATAATAAAATAAACACAAAACTAAAATAGAATCAATCATTTTTATCCTTTTTATTACCATTTGAAATACTTTAAACTATAAATATGAAAATTGGATTAAATTTATTTAACGTTGAATATTTTTTATTTTATAAGTTTTTCTTTGTCGTGCTTATTTCACCGCAAAAAAATTATAATCAATGTCCAAAACCGCAAGCTTTATAGAAATTCTTTTATACATCATGATATAAAAATTGTAAATCAAATTTGTTACTTTATTATTTTTTACCATTGTTGTACTCATATAAATTTTATGCTAAATTATAAATATCTCTAATGTAATTTATTGTATGAGAATTATTTATATATTTATTAGATTACATACCTTTCATCATCATAGCAGCAGCTATCAATCCACCCATGCCTCCCTTCTTGCCGCCTCCAAGACCACCTTTTCCACGTCCTTCACCCATCAGAGCCCTCGCTTCATCAGTAGCACCATCCTCCAAAAGCCTCAGCTTCACTGAATGGCTGTCCAGGTACGTCCCGAGTCTGTACAATAGATATTTGTCCAACCTTTCATCAGGCTTCGATGGCAACGATCTCGCAAGTTCAGCAGCAAAGTCCTCGGCCTTAGTTTCATTTTCTGTTGCTTCCTTAACAACACTGATGCCCGGCAGCAAATGCAGTTCATCCTTCGCGCTCAATTTCTCTAAAACCGATATCGCCTCTATTTTCAGGCACGTTGGGCTGAAAATTCCACCCGTACAATCTCTGCCCATCGATCTTGCTGTGTTTTCCACCGTTGGTTCTATAGAATTCTGTTCCAAATTGTCAGGATTCGGCAAAGCAGATGCCGCTCCGATGACTAAAATATAAAACTTGTACATGTTTTCTATATCGAAACGTCTGCACTGAATCAAGTCTGGTTACAATTTGATAAGACCCGTCTTTTGTGCTCCTTTTATATGTCTCACATAGTTTAATCATTAAGACTGTGTACCCCGCGTCCATTATATTTTCATAGAACGTTGATCGCAAAAAGTCTTACCACAACATGGTAATATATATCTTATAGCCATTGTATATAAGGCATACTTTTGGTTCTGTTTCATGAAGTGCAAAATTTTCGTTTATTATCGCAAGCAGACAGCGTAGTAGAGGGCATCACTGGATGTATAATTAAGAAATGAGAAAAAGGGAAATAAAGTAATGAGAAATTATTTTATAAATCTTTTAAGTTAAAGAAATTATGGTAAATCGAAATTTTTTACATTATTTGCTTCTATTGATTCATATTATTCCTTTCGTTTCAATCTGAACAGAGAATAACTTATCTTATCTGATTGATATAAAGTTTATTATGGATCATTTGAGAAACGTTAACGATCCTAAAAAATGGAGTGTAGCAAATGAAACTAAAAGCATGAGGTGATTATTGCTATGTAAGAGCTGTTTTCTTTAAGAAATCGACAGTAGAAAAAATCGTTTTGTAAATAAAAATGTTTTTTTCCTTTGATTCATTTCAGTTTTATTTGTAAATTTAAAAAAAAAGGATTCAAATACTCTTAAAATAATGTTTTATTGAGAGTTTTTGGTACTGATTATGATAATGACAAAAATAATACTATTTATCTAATTTTATTTGAAAATTTTGAGATAAGTTGCAAAGGTTTTTAAAACCTTGAAAAAAATAATTATGTATAGATAGTTTTTTTATATAAACATATATAGTTAAGGACTTGTATTCTTTTTTCATTTAACAATTATGAACCAAAAAGTAAATTTCCAGAATGAGTATTATTTTTCTATGTGTGATTGAATTATCGTGTTTTTGTATGTATGTATAAGTAACCAATTAATAAAAAGCTTCCGTTAGAAGAAATTAATTGCTAATAATAAAAAGATCAAAATATTCATTAATACTCATCATCATATGATGCCAGATTTTTACGCCTCTTCGTCATGTTAAAGCATTTTGTTTGCATCCGCTTTGTGTTTACAATTATCAAGTTTTTTTAAGTAATTTTTCAATTTTCCTTAACTCATTACCATGTCACTATATTCTGAACGTAATATCACAATACTTTCGCTGAAATCACTCTTCGGTAGAATTACCAAAAAAGCAGTCGTGCGGTAAAACCGAGTGTGTTATTGAAAAATAATGTTAGGGACATTAAGGTTTAGAAAGAATTGAATTAATGCAGTATTTGAATTAATAATAATAGATTCATATATGTATAATGTCTTTCTACATTTTATTTTAACTTTAAGTTTAAAATTGACTTGTGTGGAAATAGACGAGTAACATATACATGACACTAATATTTTCGGATTACCACGAGCTAACATCTCTTCTGTCCATGATCACGGTTATTGCAAAGTAACCGAAACGTCTGAATATGTAGTTTTTAAAATTCCAATAATATTACAACAATATTAGTTTCATTTAAATGGATACTCGCGAGTCTTAAATCTCATTAAGGAGTAACATATGTTTGTATTATTATTATTTTGTAAGACATTTAATTTATTTTGTCGTTTCCATATATATTATAAGCTTCTGATTTGGTTTACCTTGAGGTATATTATATTTATGAAACCTTTTATGTATTTTTATAACAGCCACGAACATTTAATATATGAATTTAGAGGTTTTTTTTTATATACGAAAAGAAAGTAGAGAATAAACACCATAGTTTTAACAGATTTTAATAAATAATAGTATAATGGTACAAACATAACGTAAACCATATTTAAACATTATATTTGTTATTATAAACATTTTGAATGAGTGGTAAATTGTTACATACATATATATGTAGTTGATATAAATATATTTGAATTATTTATATTTTTACTCTTAAATGTTCTTACTGATATAATATGATATTAAGGACGTTTATATAAATAAAAATCATAAAATAAATACAAATAACACAAAACAAATAAGACGATTCTCAAAATTACATAACAATTACTTTAAAATACACATCAATAAATAAATAACAATATAAAAAAATTAACATATTAAAAGATATATAGATAAGATTATATAAAGAAGTATTAATATTAATGTATAAGTTTAATCTTTACTTACAAACTGTAAGGATATTTTTTATTAAATTGAATACATACTTATAACAAGAGATAAGAAAACGGGTCAAATCACCTCAAGCTCTTAATAAATATTATAATTGTAACTATTTCTAATCAATAAATTATTTAAATTAGCAGTCACAAAAATAAATAATCATACATCATGAAAATAACTTATATAAAATCATAATATTATTTTTTGACTTCGTCATTAACGCCTGGAATAATTTGAAGTCTATCGCTCAGCCTTCAAACTCCTTCCGTAGCCCGAATGACCATAACCTCCTACATCTTCATGGGAAGTGGAGTGTGAATGGGAGTGAGTATATATTGGTTTTGATATAACTTCGTATGTTGTAGATTTACCGCCGCCTGATAATGATTTGAGACCAATTATTCCTGATAGTAGAAGAGACATCATAGCTGTCATAAGCGCTTTCCCAGCGAGCATAGCGAGTGCGCCAAGACCCACTGTCATGAGAGTACCTGGAATTATAGATAATATGTTTTATATAAGCAATTGATTGGAATACATTTTATTCGCTTCTTGGTAAAGGGAGGAAGGTACCTCACAATCAGCGTTATGTATATGTTGTAGTCTTGTCTACTGTATAAGAGTAACAATGAGTACATTTTTATTTATAGAAAAATAATTCAGACGTTATTTTGAACAAAATTATATACTTTGTGTAATAGAGACAGTTTTACCATAGAATATACATTTCCTACAACATGTCGTAAAGAAGCTTTAAATTGTTTTTCCTATTATTTTCAACTAAAATTAGCTTCTTGAATTATTTACGTTGCTTAAAAAGATTTTTACTTAAAAATGTCTTCATACATTTCGACCTTTTCTTAGAACTTTAATGATGATGCTGGATTTTTAAGAAATGTGCCAGGACAGCAATAGTGTAAAAAAAAATTAAGATTATTTACTTTCCTAACAAGTATTTAGTATATTTTTTATTTTTTATTTAATAATTTGCTTTAAAGATAGTACAGCTTATTATTTCTATCAATCAGACACACTTTAAAGAATGGTTTTGGTCAGAAGCAATATACATAGTATTAAATAGTTGATTAAGCTAATGAATTTTGTTTTAAATATTGATCGACTTCGGTCTTGTTAAAGAAAGTAACTTTTAAATATCATGTATAAATATAATATTTGTGTGAGATTGAATACATACTCTTCATCATCATAGCAGCAACAACTAATCCACCCATGCCTCCTTTCTTGCCTCCTCCCAACATGTCTCCTTTCCCACGACCTTCACTCATCATAGCTCGAGCCTCTTCAGTCGCACCACTGTCCATCAATCTCAGCTTCACTGAATGATTGTCCAGGTAACTTCCCAATCTATACAAGAGATATTTGTCCAATCTCTCCTCAGGTTTCGATGGGAACGCTCTCGCAAGATCAGCGGCGAATTCCTCAGCCTTACTATCATTTTCCTTAGATTCTTTCACAACACTGATCCCTGGCAACAAATTTAGTTCATCCCTTGAACTTAATTTCTCCAACACTGATATAGCTTCTATTTTTAAACACGTGGCACTGAATATTCCATTGGAACAGTCCTTTCCCATGGCTCTTGCTGCATTTTCAACTGTAGGCTCCGCTGTATTTTGGTCTATACGTGGATTTGGTAAAGCAGACGCTACACCAAGAACTAATATACACAACTTGTACATATTTCCTAAATATGCGACTGTATCCAAACAAATGAGGTTAACGTTTGATAGGAACCATGTTTTATTCTCCTTTTATATATCTCACATAGTTTAATCATTATAACAGATTGGTCTGCCTCCATTATATTTTCACAGAAGGTTGATGGCAAAAAGTTTTTATTGAAATTATAGCATAACTTTCCTTATTCCGTTAGTATAAGATTCATATTTGATAACCGTTTTTTTGGTTATGGTTTTGGTTTTTTTCGTAAGTAGACGTTTCTGCGGAGTGGATCTGTAGATATAGTTTAATTTAGAAATGAAAAATAAGTAAAAAGTACACAACTTACTCTGATTTACATCTATCTTTGTGTATTCATTTTTGGCTAAAGAACATTATAACTATCTTATTTTCACTTTTGTTGCTTTCTATATAATTGTAGAGCAATTTTTAAGGGAAGGAGTATTTGTTATATATTTATGTGTTACAAAAATTTCGGATCTATTTTATAGCAAAGTCACAACGTGCACGGAAGTGAATCAGTTTATTACGATATTATAAAAGTTAAAGTGGAAAATAATTAAGTTGTTTTGAATTCATATATTTATTTAAATATATAAATTTGTTACTAAGAAATATTTAAAACAGTTGAATACGAAGACTAGATGCTTTAATTTTTTTTTCATTAATGAATCATAAAAGCTCCTGAATTTTTATTATTGACAGCAGTCTTATGAAATTATTATGAAATACTTAATGGTAGTGAGATTTAGATGAATTAACAATAAGTAAATATCAATATATACATATATATATGTTTAATTTTTTCGACCATGTTTAGAATGCCAATTAATTACTTAAAATATTTTTTTTCTATAATTTTTAACGCCTTTTTAAAATTTTACTTTCATTAATTGTTTATGTATTAATAAAAAAACAAGGTATTGTTTTAATAAAATAGGAAGTAAACGAAAATATGAACACCGAAATGTGGATAGTACAGAAGTTTGGGCAATCACTGACTTTGACTATAATCCTCTCATTTTTGTTATAATTTGACACTATAATTGTAATTGATAATGTAAGCACATTGCACATTTAGCAAAATGTAAAATTCCCCTATAGAATAGAAGGCTCACATTAAATACTTCAATAATTTACTACGGAGAGTGTTTTGAATTCTTAAATGCGTTTGATAGGAGCCGCTTAAACCTACACCTGTAATAAGTCCCAGAAACTATTCAAGTTCCTCTCCCTGTAACGAATGACCCGGCATCCGCATGGTGAATGCATGGAATGTTTAGAATTTTCGTTTAATAATTTATTTGTCTGGCCGACCAAAAAGCATACTTACTGATTTTTCTCCGTTTATCATTATGTATATTTCAAAATCATTTTGTTCAAAATTCATTAATCCTTAATAACGATATTAGTAAAACCATGGCAATACATCCATTAATTAATTAATATAGATTCGTTGAACTATATCCAATGTCTGATTATTTAGTGATTGGTTAGAAAAACTCGTGCTTCACTGATAACACAATATTACGAATTATCATTCTCTTGAAAGCCTTCCCTTGAAGGTTTTTTAGATTAAAAAGGGTAGGAAAATTTTTCAGGGCAATGAAATTACATTTATATTAAATTAAAGTTAAACTGTTCGTCAAAGTTATGTTACTCGTTTATGTCTAAGCCTGTATTTCGAGGGTTCTCTTAACCACAATGAACACATTTCATATTTTACTCGAATGTGTCTTAAAGGCCAAGATATTTTCTTCTCATATCAGCTATTAAAAACGCATATTCTTCTTTCCTTTTTCTACCTATTTACATATATCTGTTTGTTTATTTATGTTATACACTATCTCATAAACTATAGTGTCGTTCTTTATTTTTTTTTATTTTGTAATTTATAATTTTAAATATATGTAAGATTGTAGCAAAAAATTATATCAAAATAATAATACTTTTTACTAATACATTTTTTTTTATTTCAAATACAAATAATGCTAAGCTATGTAAGTCTGTAAAATTTTCATATATATTTTAATCAGAAGGATTATTCGAGTTTCAATTTATTAATAGCTAAGTGTTTTAACTGATGCAAATTATTAAAATGAGTGCATAATATTAAGAGTAGGTTTTAAAAACGATTTTATTCTTAAAGCGTTATTTCATTTTGATAATTGTTGCTACCTATATGTTTAAATAAAATCAGTAGTCAGAATATAAGTAAAATGGGATGAAAATCATTAATCACAGGAGATAATAGACGAAATTGATTGCGTCTCTTATACAAAACGATTAAAAATACTTTTTAAGCTTCAAAAAGTTTTTATTTTAACTTACACCATACGAGTATAATATTTGGGAATTAAAATAACTTCTCTTGAAACAGTTTCGCATTTTGATAACATTTATATTTTTATTGATATATAAAAAAAATATACACATATTTTTAATGAAACCTTGAAAACATACATAAACAAAAAAAAATTACTACGTATAAAAAAATAAAAAATAAAAACTATTAAATTGATCGATAATGGTGTAAATAAATAAATATACACACATTGTCTTTGAAATTCTTCCGAAAAATAAAATTTTAAAATCATCTTAATAACATAAATATGAAAAGGATACAATACATACATTAAATATTTACCCTAATTCTGCTTAAATAAATGGTTAACACTACAAATAAATTAAATAAATAATTCTAAAGTCACCAAACTAATTATAAGTTAACGAACAGAATAATTACAAGCTATACCAAAAACAGAAACATTTGTTCTCTATCGTCTTATCTTTAAATTCCTTCCATAACCGGAATGCCCGTATCCTTCATCGTGACCAGAGTACACTGGTTTGGCTATGACTTCGTAAGTTGATGACTTGCCACCTGCAAGTGACTTTATACCAATAATCCCTGATAATAAAAGGGACATCATGGCTGTCATGAGCGCCTTCCCTGCTAGCAACGCAAGAGCACCAAGTCCTATAGTCATTAAAGTACCTGCAACGAAAGATTTGTAAAGATTTCGTAAGAAAGAACACATAATATTCGTAAGAAAGAACACACATATTATTATATATATATATATATATATAGAGCTGGGAAATTGCCAGGAAGAAGAAGAAGAATCTAGGACAAAATAAGCTTAAGTCTAAATTTCGTTTAGAGGCATATACTAATAAAAGATTTCTATCATTCTAAAGCTTACGATGTTATCGCCTCACTTTTGTTTATCTACAGACGAAACATAAAAAGTTTATGTGGACGTAACGAATAATAAAACGAACTGTAAAATACACATAAACAACTCGTCTCAATAATATTATCGCACAGAGTAATCTTATTGAATCGAAGTGCTATTTAAAATAAACTGAAGTCGATACAAAAGCAGTATAATTACTGTAAGTGACATGATTCATTAGTAATCATAAAACTATTCGTAAAGTAATACGTTATTATAAGAATAACAACAAAGTTGGATACTAAATGTAGCCAATTGGCTGAAAGCTATAAGTTGTCGGATCTTTACTTTAAGAACACCTGAGTTGTCAGGTGTTCTTAAAGTAAAGTAAGAAGTAAATCAGTGTTTTTCTTATTTTTATAAAATAATAAGACACGTCCTTTACACAGTTAAACCCAAAGGAAGTTTTACAATACTCCCTTTACTACTAATAATTTCATTTAAAAAATTAAATGTTACAGACATAAAATCACGAACAGGGCAATTTTATTGTATTTCTTCTTCTTTCATTGATTATACCCTTATGTAACTTCTTGTCAATAATAATATTAGCAATGTTATCCAAAGAGCTGCCGTTGCTATATTACTTACCCTTCATCATCATAGCAGCAACAACTAATCCACCCATGCCTCCTTTCTTGCCGCCTCCCAACATGTCTCCTTTCCCACGACCTTCACTCATCAAAGCTCGAGCTTCCTCAGTCGCACCACTGTCCATCAATCTCAGCTTCACTGAATGATTGTCCAGGTAACTTCCCAATCTATACAAAAGATATTTGTCCAATCTCTCCTCTGGTTTCGATGGGAACGCTCTCGCAAGATCAGCGGCGAATTCCTCAGCCTTACTATCGTTTTCCTTAGATTCTTTCACAACACTGATCCCTGGCAACAAATTTAGTTCATCCCTTGAACTTAATTTCTCCAACACTGATATTGCTTCTATTTTCAAACACGTAACACTAAAAATGCCATTTGAACAATCCTTTCTCAACGATTTCGATGTATTCTCCGCTGTTGGTTCTATTGAGTTTTGATCTATTCGAGGATTTGGCAAAGCCGAAGCCAGTCCAAGAACTAACAAAAACCTATACATATTTATAACAATACGTCTGTTTTCAAACGAATCTGGTTATTATTTGATAAGATTTGAGTTCTGTTCTCCTTTTATATGCTTCATGTAGTTTAATCATTGATACTGAGTGGCCTGGCTCTATTATTTTTTCATAGAAGGTTGATTACAATAAGTAAAAAATAAATGTAAGCAAATATATTCTCTATATACTCACCATAAGATTGATATTCGGTGTCAGCGTACAGTTGTTCCAAAGTTTTTGTACTTTTTCGTAAGTAGTTCACTTTTAGAGGGGATCGTTAAATATAGTTTAATCTAGAAATGAAATAAAAATAAAGTTTTTTCTGAATTTCAATAATCTTAATACAATGGTTATATATTGTTTCGTACATTTTTATTTCTTAAAAATATTTACGTATTGTTACTTTTCAGCACTATATAGATTTATATCTGAGGAAAGAATACGAGCAAAAATATATATAAAGAAGAGGTAAAAATAATAAACTCTATACTTATAGATCTACTTAGATTAATTATAATTTTATATACTTATATATTTTCTTAGTCAGTACTGATCGTGACTGTCTCAATTCGTTCTTTATCAAATGAAAATATCATAAAAATTTACTACTTTCCCTTAATCAACTTTTCGCTAGAGTTGCCAAAAAAATCAGTCGTGCGTCAACTAATTGTGTGGTCTGGACAGAATTTTAAAATTTCCCTAAAACTTATGGCTCATTATAATTTATTGTAGCAATCGACTTATCAACAAATGTGTTCATAATAAAGTGAACACATGTACACATAAAGTGTACAATGCAAAGTTCTTTCTTTGTGGGGAATGGGGATCCGTCACTTAAAGAAACAGCTTGTGTTTTAATGTGATTTTCCATTTGAAGACGAAAGTTTAAATTGTAAATAAAAATATTACGATAGGTTTAAGTCAAACTTTTTTGTTCTCGGTGATAAATAGTCAATCGGAAACATATGAAAATAATGTCCATATTTTTAATTCTTACAAATTAAATCATTATATAGGTTTATTATTTGCTTAATTATATATAAGAACAATATCTCAATAATTAATAAAATACATATTGTTCTAAAAAATAAAATAATAGAAAGTAATTAGAATATGTAGTCAAATGACTCGGCCTATGTCATTTACATAAAAAATCTCAATACTATCATCGGAATTTACAATTGGATATGGTAAGTATTACCACAGATAAAACAGTTACAAGTGTAGCAAAAGTAAAGACCATTACTCACTGGAAATTAAAATCTAATAAATTGAGAAAAATATATAATAACTTTTTTTGAACATTTTCGTAAGGATGAAAAAGTAATAAACTATATATAACTACTCAAATTATGTTCAAATAACATTGAATATTAGCACCTATCACAAATTAGAAATGAGATGCTTTTATTTTAAGATTTTATTAATATTTTAAAACAAAAATACTAGTTTAGGTATACTGAGTGGAAACACAGCCTAAAACAATTATGTGTAATCTTTTCTATAAATATGAATGACGATGACTAACAGTTTTTCGTCACTTTCATTAAAAAAAAAAAAAAAAACAGCTCACTCTAGCGGTTGGTGAATGTCTTATTTGTCATTTTGTTGAAGCAACAAAACAGTTCATGAGCTTAAAAAACGTATACTAGATGCCGCTTACAATAATTTATTTTAGCTCAATTTTCAACAGATGGCGCTATGATATATGTCTTGACAAAAAAAAAAACATATTTCAATACTATTTATCGTATTTATAGTTACATTTGCATTTAGTTTGTCTCGTTATAATTTATTTTAGTAATAATGTTTTAGTATTGAATACAAAAACACGAAATAATATTTCTCATTAAGAGTAATCGTAGTTTAAAAACAATGACGCAATGATTTTTTTTAAGAAAAAAATTAAAACGTTCGAAAAATATAATTCTAATAATTAGGTGTAATATTCACAACAAGTATTGATAGTATAATAGTATTGAAAGATAAGGTAAATTAAAAAGTTTAATAATTAAATTAATGTAGTAATGTTTAGTATTTTTAAAGCACTGTAATTGACATTCAAATAGAATTACAACACTTACTCTTACAGGTTATATAATCAAAAACAAGTACTTGTTTTGACACAAATATAAACCTATTTCAAAATAAACTCAATCTTGTTACCAATAAAGTTCACAATCGAGATTGTTGCTGGTTAGAATGTCGTGAGTTAAAAATGAAAGTCTAGAAAGTGCATATGACGAGTATTTTCGTATAATTTTGATGTTTTATTGCTTTTTAAAGTGAGTCGAATGTATTCTTTGGACTTAAATAATGTTGGTATACAAGATTTTCTTATATAAATTTAGAACAAATGTGAAATTTAAGTTTTTTTTTAAATTTATTGTTGTTGGAAAATCAATTTAGGTGCTTTCTTCTAAATAGAACAATTTAATTTTTCAATCTGGCAATAATCTTACAAACTGTCATTATAATTACTAAAAAAATTAAAGATTAAAGATTACTTTTCATATAATTTATAACACATTATTTTAGATTTCTTTATTATATTTGTCTCTCTAATATTTTAAGTAAAATTACCAATTCTTGCTTGTTTAAACTATTACTTTTTTCTATCTTTTCCTCATTCTTAGTTATAAGTCACTTTAATTATCGTTATATATTTAGATATAGGTAATTCATTTTAAATATGTCAAGAATTTTGTTCAAATTACATAAATTTTAAAACATTGTATATATTTTCAAAGATTCATATTAGTTTTTAGCACAGATTTCTTTTTTTTTAGCTAAACTTTTTTGTCACAAGATATTTAATATTTAATCATAATATGTAGGTTCTACGTCTTTTTTTTATTGAGGATTGTTTTGTAACAAAATAAAGGTACTATCGGATAAATGTAAATTCATTTACAATATGAAAAATGTAAACGAACATTTTACATTTAACCAGTAATTATATTAATTTTAAATGTAGGTACCTAACTGATAAGTTATTTGATTGATGTATCATGTAAATATATATATTTTATTTCAATCAGTTTTTAACTGTATACGGAAAAACCATTTTAAGGACTGCTAATTTCTGTAAATAACAACTACTTAAATATACCACTGTTTTCTTAATTATGGGATATATATAAAAATTTTAGTCAAATATCCTATGTCCAGTGGATTCTCACAGGCTGATGATAATGATGGTAAAATTAAGACTTATACATTTCTTTTTCTACTCCAGTATTAGTCTTTATCTTCTACTACCTGGGAATTTCCCAGCTTTAGCCATTGTCTGCCTTACATGTTGTGAATAGTTTTGGCTAATTGTTTTTACGACCGGCCGCCTGCCTGACATCAACCTTTTTTGGGAATAGTATTAGGCTTTATATTATATAAGTATATGAATACAATTGTTATATTTTTAACATAAATTATTAATTATAAGTATTAATATATAAATATACTACAATTCCATAAATGATATCAATGAAGCATGTCAGTGGATTTTACTTTTGTATTCATCCCAAATACATAAATAACTTAGAAATTAAGTGAAACGCCATAGAAAATTAAATATTATAAGTTTAAATATATACCTTATAACTTTATAATAGAGTTTATAATACTACAGTAGTAAATGCTTACTCTTTGTGAGTTGGAAATGCATTTTTATCATGTTTATCGTCAGTAAAAAGTTTTTAATATTGGGTATTTTACTTTTAAAATTTCAAATGACGACCAAGAAGGTTGTATATTAATAATAAAATACTTTTCTGATGACTGCTTTGAACTTTGTGTTTCGTACATTCGTAGTGTTTTATTGAAATTTAATAAAAGATTAAAGCAAATTCAATATAACATATACATTTGGACACAACATTCATTTTATTATATTTCTATGTTATTTTATTACTATTTTGACAATAAGTATTTATATTGATTAAATGTACTAAAACAAATTAAACCCTATTTTTTAAATGATTTTTAACTGAATGCTACTACGAAAAAATCATAATTTTAATAGATGTTCTTTTAAATAACTTATTCAGAATTATACACATATATATTATATACAAGTATATAATATAAATGTATATAAAATACACATTTGTGTATACTTCGTTATATTCTATTAATCTGTTGAAGACGATTTTTTGTATGAGTTCAACGACCTCTTATATCAGAAGAGAGAGTTTAGTTTCCCATTTGTGTAGTCAAGCTGTGTTAAGGACATTCAAAGTCAGTATATTATATCACGAGCTAGTATTTGACCGAGACTTTGCTTATAAATAGTCTTGAAATAAAAGTAATTATCGTATATCCTTATTATTTATTTATAAGCCAAAAAAATAATCTAATCTTAATAAAATAATAAACGAATGTTCTTTGATTTTGCGTTGATAGGAATAAAATAAATTATTTCTTTGTAATAAATTGTGTTATAACTATCATTCAAATGTAATGAATTATTATTAAAATTTAAAGCTTTTTCTTTTAACGAAAATAATTATTTTTTTTTCGAATATTATCGAGAGCTTTAAATATTGAATAAAACATAGACAGTTAATATAAAATCATTAAAAAGCGAAAGAAATTATGTTTACAGTGGTTAGTGTAGCAACGAGAAAAAATATTCGAAATTTCGAGGAATAATCAAAAATATTTATGAAAAAGACAAGCTTAGAAGTCTTACATATAATAACTTGTATTAGTAATTTAAAATGCAAAAATATTGATATGTTATGAAAAACATGAGCTATATAACAAAAAATACTCAAAATCAATTCTTTTTACAATCTTCCTAGAAATTCAACAAATTCTTTTCTACTCTCAAAACGTATGAGATTAGACATATAATGAATTTACTTGTAAAAAATTCAATGTACATTTTGTTAATAAATATTTAAATATATTAGAAAAAGTAATAAATAGGTATATTTAATAAACGTAATATTGGTGGATTTGGACATATCTATGTAATTTTTTTTATATTTTATATAAAAATACAAAAGTTTGTAATTTTTAGTAAAAATCTAAATGAAATAATATTAAATGTATAATGGAAATAATAAATGTATCAATACTTTGATATAATTTCAATTATAAATAGATTTTTATAATAGTTCCTTTATCACGAATATATCAAATAAGTTTTGTTTTAATAAAAATAGTGTTCTAGTACTAATAATATGATATTTTTTAATTTAATTCTAGCAAGATAACATATACTATGTATTAAATTATATATATACATATATATATACAATAAAGAATATTGCGACATTGGTAAATACCATTCACAACTGCTTTCAAACTTTCCACTTTCTAGTGGACATCCGCGATACTTGATTCAGATTACGTAATCGATTTCACTCCGCCTTGTAACAGAATTTGATTTGTTCTTATATATTATATACTATATATATATATATATATATATACTTTATAAAAATCCTTATTATCCCTACTAATATTATAAATGTGAAAGTAACTCTGTCTGTCTGTCTGTTACGCTTTCACGCCTAAGCCACTGAACTGATTTTAATGAAATTTGGTACAGAGATAGAGTTGACCTTGAGAAACAACATAGGATAGTTTTTATCCCAGACTTTTGAAAGGTTCTCTTGGAAACGCGATATAACCGAACTCCACTCGGGAGAACCTACGGGCGGAAAGCTAGTTGTAAATAAATCAAGTTTACTATAGTTAGAACGATTATAATGAAGATTGCTTTAAATTCGTACCTTAAATAAGATATATGTATACATATATATACGTAATTAAATCATTAAATATAACATGGTATTATGGTCTTTATTATATTATAATAATGGTGATAATCCATTGAAGGGTATTGTATGTACACTAGACAAATAGAAAGCGAGAGAAAGGTGCAGGGCCCAAATTCCATAGCGGTGAAAGACTTTTTTTTTCATCTATCAGCAGGTGTTTTATGTTTTATTTAGTGAAAAATATATTAATTATATAGAAACAACACATTTTCCTGATGGTTAAAAGTAACTAATTGTTATAGGTATTTGTTATTTTAAGAGAAATATTATGTTTCTTAAATTTCTTTATATTTGTATATAGTGTATGCGTTACGTACAAAAGTAATGAAATAACAAAAACTATATTATATAAGCGTTTAAACAAGAACCTTGAGTTAAAAAATTCACATACTTAGTTAAAATCATTCTATTAGTCAACTAACAAGTATAAAATAATATAAATTTTAAAGTATAAAGGATTTTGTATTATGTATATGTTTTTTTTAATATATCGTACATGAAATTATAAACGAAGTAAAGAGATTCTTTTTTCATTTCAAAATATATATATTTATTTCTTTTATTAAATTGTTTATTATTTTTGAAATATATTTGGAATAAACGATATTATTTTTTCTTAAACTTAAAGAATATTCAACTTTATTGAAGCAATTAATTTATTTAAATTAAATTATAAATAGAATAACCAATTTAGTATTTACATTAGCTACCTATATTAGAAATTTTAAGCGAGAGATATTATTTTTGTTTCATTTGTAAAATTTTCATACATATTTTAAATAACTAAGATTATATTATTATAGTATTCAAATTTCTTCTAATATTTTTATAGTACAAAAGAGAATTCTATATTATTATATCTAATTTTAATTTTAATTAAATAAAAGCCTTTGAAATATTTTCTATAGAAAAATAATTAAAAGATGAAGTAAGCGGCAAAATAAAAAGACAAAAAAAAAAATGTCAAGTGAAAGTTACGCACACATAGACAGTGTGTATGTAGTGGTAGAGAAAGTTAACTGGCTCTGGAATGTGGCCTAAGAAAACAATAGAGTAGATTTGTACATAAAGTTTCATAAGAAATATATAATAATTATAAAATTATACAAAATTTTACAATTCCTATAAGAAAAATAAATGCAAAATTACAAATTTATTATTTACAACGATATTACAATTTCAACTGTGACAATATTTTGTTTCTAACTACGAAATAAACATAAAATAAGCTTAGAAAATAATATTCAACACAAATTCTTACAATTTTAACACATGCTTTTAATAATATCAACAAATAAAGATACATTTACGTATTAAGTAATTACGAACTAATGTGTTATTAAAAATTCATTACAACATACTACTCCATAGCATTTATGTTAGTGAGTATCTTCTTAGTGTGGGTGAGTGAAAGGCTTGTAATTACACGCATGTGTCCACGCGGTTTGCGTTAGTGTGAGTGCGGACGCCATATTAGTTTCTTGACGAAAGCTAAACTTGTATAAAAGTGGGTCTGTGAACCAGTGGGGCTTAGTTTCTAATCTATTAAGGGAAGAGGATGTCATGTTTTTCAGGGAAAATATATTTTTGTAACATTCTATATGTTATATTTATAACGAACAATTATTAGTCTTGATTATCGACTTAACATAATAAATGTATATACGAATTATTATTCCTATATTAATGATTCTGAGTAGTTAAATAAAATAGATTTTTTTACTTGTAATATTTAAATAGATTTTATATTATATCTTAAACTATAATATACATCATACTCATACGTATTCGTAAAAATTTTGTATATTTATAAATATATCGATAATTATATTATATTGATATATACTTTTTTATCCTCGCAATATATTTATATATGTTAGCCCTTTACGTACAAATACTATGAGGATATTTTAAACCGTTTACGAAAATAAGTACTTTTAAAGACTATAACTCATATATATAGTAAACAAAAGATATATAGTATATATGTATGTATATAGTAAACAGTTTAATATTTAACTCTATAGTACGAAACTTTGAGTTTACTACATCCACCAATAGATGGCACTAGTGGTCTCAGAAAATAAAACTCAACAAGAAAAGTAAGGTGTATGGATTATTGAGATTATTTATCAATTAAGAGATATATTCTTAAAGATTTATGATGGTTATATTTAAAGCATTACTTTATTAAATGCTTCTAAAATTATCTTATTGAAAGAAGATAATGTCAACGATGTTAAAATGGCAATTGCCTAGATATTTTATTTTAAAGAAGTTTAAATTTTATTTTAGATTCACTAAAGTCGAGAATCGATGAAACTATATTATATATATAGAAAAGCGAGTCTTTTATTTTGTTGTATACATAGTAATAAATAATTAAAAATTTACATTAAAAATCCTATTAGTTTTAAAACATTCTGTTTATTTCTGGTACAGTTTTATTCAAATACAGTAGGATATTCTAAATGATAGAGAAAATAACGTACATACATTTTAAAGGTAATCTTGGATTACTTAACAATATTGAGAGATTAGGTATAAAAATTAAGGAATAATTTTCTTATATCGTAAAAATAAAATAATAAAATGAATTAAATTATTTATTGACCTAAGCTATAAATTAGAATTACAGTCTTCTATAAGTTACTTAATTACAATTTCGTCTAAAATGACACAAATAAACCCGTAAGTGTTGGACAGAGGAATATAAAGATATATAACTAATTAATACTAATATATGAGATTCATTATAAATATTAAAAATCAAAATTAAACCACATAAGCATGAATTTAGATAGAAACATGACGTACACATTTATTTTACAAACATACCCTGTGTCGACCAAACATGCATTATACACATCTTAATAGAGCCAATAAATAATAAAAAATATATCTTAAAATGCACAATTTATAATTAAATCGTTTCACAATTTGCACCATTCCGATCAGCTATAATATTAAAGCTATAATCACGTAAGGTGGCATTTCACTTGGTGTTTATTTGTTGTGTTCCGACAAATAAGACCATGTGTGGAAGAGTTATTCGACTTCATTTAAAATATTTGCACATAAATAAGACACATACACAAATAAGCAAAAACGCCTAGACGTGTTGTTGGCATACCAAGTGTGGATATCGTGTTTGCGCTATTTGTATTAAGTACAATTATTTGGACAAATGCGTCGAATAAGCTACTTGAATACGCAACGCCAAGTGAAGTGCCACCTTTATAATAACTTAAAAGATATTTTTATATATTATACTATGAATATATCAAAAATATCATTAAAAAAGATCATATTTAAAATAATTTCAATCGTAATTTCATTTTAAAATATCTATATATTTTAAAACGTCGCTCATTTTATTGTATTATTTATCAAACAATTTTAAATAACTTGAATCAGAAACTCATGTAAATAAAAGTTTCTTTAGAAGCATTTAAAGCATTGAAACGTCTCACAACCCTTTATGTCTTAATATCACTTATAAATTAAAATTGATCCATCTTAAGAGGGTATTTGACCTTTATAGGCCAAGTCGTTTGAATCTTGTGACACTGATCTGGCGTAAGGGTACGAAGTACCAGACGCAGATGGTGATGCCCATTGCTGTGTTGAAGTTGGGAAACCAGACGCCTGTAGGAAATAAATAATACAAATATTAAAGTCTTCATCATCAGCCTATCAGAGCCCACTGAGCATAGCCTCTTCTCACATGGAGAAGATTTGAGCTATAATCATCACGCTTGCTCAATATTAAAGTGCTATTAACGAAAATAAAACAATGGTGGGACATATTCTTTTTGTACCTGATAATAGACTGAAATAGTTATACAAATAATTCAATATTGATGACCATATATAGGAATTAGAAATAAAAAAAAATATGTTTCTAATAGATACTATTAAAATATCACAATGTAATTAAAATTACTTTACGTAAATTTATCTTTAAAAAATATGCTCTTAAAGTTTGTAATCTAATCATACCTTGCTTATGCTATTGAATCCTTCGCCGCTGAAGTATTTATGGAGTCCAAGTGCAGCCGCAGCCAGGAAGGCAAGCTTAGCTATGACCAGAGCCTTTGTAACCAACAGGGTTAGAGCTCCAAACAGAAGTCCTACTACTGCCACCACTTTAACACCAATCCCAGCAAGGAGTGGTGAGTATTTCGTTATCTTGGCTCGAGCTAAAAAAAGACATGAATAATATTAGTATTACAGTGTGTTGTAATCGTATACCCTAATCATTAATCTGTAAGTACTGATTCGCATAACATTAATTTTAACGGTAATAGTCTTTAAAATGTCCTAATTAGTATTATAGTGTATGTAAGTGTGTGTGAGTGTATGTGTGTGTAAGTGTATGTAATGATCGTATATCCTACATATTAAACCCTTAGTAATAATTTTCATAATTACTTTTAAACTGACGGTAATGAGTTTCATTCGTAATTGTCGACGATATGTTATAATATGAATTATGAATGTAGCACTACATATTATCAGGATAAAGTATTCTATAAAATGATACTAAAAATATTTTGTTACTTGGAATATAATAGTAAATGTTTACATTTCTATTAATATTCGCGTCTGTCACTATGAATGAAAAATAATAGGTAATGAAAAACTTGCTTAAAAATATATTAATACGAAATTTAAGTATTCCTTCACTTATGTTTTTCACATTATAGAAATATTGAGATTATACTTAAATAAAAATTTAATTCATAAAATATAGGTAAAGGTAAAGTCTTTAGAACGAGTTAATACAGAAACTGCTGTGTCGATTCTTACTTGTGTCCATAAATTTTTTCATTCCATATCTTTGAATTTGAATATAATTGATGTATTTATGTTGTGATTTCTAAATAGAACAATTTTACTTAATACATTATTACATCACGCGACATACGAGACATCTTTCAGTCACGTTATAGGTGAACGACTCGAGTATTCTTAGTCCAAGTTGTCGTGATCACGCGACAAACGTAGCGTTAACAGTTTTTCATTCATAAATCTCCACAAATTATAGTGCTAACTAAGGTCATTGAATGAGAAACGGGCAACGGTTTGTATGTATGTACGAAACAAACTTGGACTAAGCATTCTTAACTTATAAAAAATGTGTTCTTATAAAGAAATCGATGTTAATGATTTATAATGAGACATAATTTAAATTCATTCAATATTTTTACGAGAAAGTGTTTTTCAGGTATTGTGATAGAAAAATAACTTCGTTAAGGAGATTGTCATATAAATAATGTCTTTATTAAGACTGAATAAAATTCATTATGATAATAACTCTCTTTTTTAATGTATGTATATAACAGATATCAAATATTTTAAAAAATATGAATCGTTTGGTATAAAAATCATAAATCATAAAGTATGAATCATTGAATCGTTCAGTACAAATATACATCGTATCGTTAACCGCTGTCAATGGCATCTCAGTCGGAAGTCAAGGCCGGTTACGTGTCTCTACGTAATGTTTCATTGAACTTTTGACTTACATTCGCTTGAGATGACGTGGTTTAATATTGGTATAACTTTTTTTTAAAATAAATTACTGATTTAATATAATTTAAACTTAACGATTCTTACATAATATTTTTTATATATTATTTATTTTAAATATTCTATTACTTTTCATATTTTTTTTGTTTCGATTTGCCTGTAGATAATGGCTTTGACAGATTGACATTTGACATTGAATGGGTGGCCCGATGGGACCTACCCATTAAATTCGGGCATACAAGAGTATATTATTTGTGTTTCATAATATTTCTAAAACAATATTTTTTATTTCTTTATGCATTTTAATATTATTAATACTAATTCACAAATGACTATAAATATATATAAAGACTTACCTTCTTCAAATGTTTTCACTGCACCCTTTAAATCTTCCGCCTCCAATTTGATATTGAGATTTTTTTCACCCAATGCATTTCTAATAAACAGGAAATTGTATATATATAAATATATTACAGCCTATACACTATACACATTATCATACATTTATTTCATTAAAGGCTTAAGGTTCAGACCTTAATTCAATATTATTGAAGCATTCAAAAGTGTCTTATTAATCGCTATTATTAAAACAATGCGACTAAAGAAAAATTTAAATGTTAATTTGTCATAACATAACAAAGCAACAAGATAATCCACTTAACAAAGGAATATTAACAAACGATTCCGCTTTCACTTTAATACATATTAATTGTCTTTTAACATAAGTGTAATACATGATAATTTTATGCTATACATAACTTTGTTTTGTCTTATAAGGCTCTAAGATTATTTTTTAAGTGAATTCATTATTTGTGATACTAATTTGTATAGTTTTTTGTTGAATTGAAATAATGTTTTGAGAAAATAAAGAAAGTTTTTGTTTGTCCTGTTTGACGTAATTGGTAAGTATGTAATGTACTTTTTATTATTATTAAATTAAATAATTATTACAATTTATTTATGATGTTAAATATAAAATATTTATTATATAGAAAGATAAAATTTTGTTTATCTAATTTATATAGAAATTAATTAATTCTTATAATTCAATACAAAAGTTTTAAGGGATTAGTTAAAATTAAATTTCATAAATCATTATATAAAGTTAGTTATAATAAACTATAATAATAATATAAATAATATTATAGTGTTTATATTCAAAAGTAAGTATTAGTCATCCTAAAACCTATATAATATACAATATAATTTAAAAATTAATAGAAAGTGAAGCCCTTTGTTGAAATGTCACTCGCTTTAAAAAGATTCGGCGTGACATTGTATTGTTTGAACTTTGGAGAAAATTTTGACAGCTTATGAAATAAAGAAAAGAATTTAGTCTAAGGCCTAAATTCTTTGAAAGATATATATAAAATAGTTCAATATAATTATTTGAAATGTATTTAGATTATAACACATAACATAAAAATATAATAGTTTTGTAATTTTCATTTAATATATATGTGTAAAATACTTATAAGCAATATACAACATATAGACACTATTTTATGTTCATATGTATATATAGTTCAGATAATTAGAAAAGTAATCAGTACATATCTTCTTATAAGTATCAATGAATTGATACTCCATTTTTTAACCCAAAAAATATGTTATATAAAAAACTTACTTGTTAATAGTGACTCCAGAGAATATTTCAATTTTTTCATCAGATGGACCCGGAGCGGCGTGGCACAGCGCAATTACGATGAATAAAACACAGATTACCCTCATTTTGATGTTTTCTTATGTCCTTTCAGTCCCGTGGTTTAGGATCAAGTGAGATTCGGCCGGGATGAGACCCATTTATATAGTTGGTGTTTTGTAATATCGTGCGTGACTTCTTGATACTTTGGGTTGTGCGACCGAACTAAGTCAACTTATGAGTTATTTTTAATACAACGAGCAATACTTGTATAAAAATTACATAGTATCAAATAAAAATTACGTGAACTTATTGTTAATTAAGCTATATATTATTATATAATTTATAATATTTTTACATGATTATATGTTTGTATGCAAAATATACATTAAATTTAATAGTTTTTTTTTAATACCATCCAACGTAGAACATATACATTTTAATTCCTTTCCAGTGTAAATAATTCAAAGTTATGTATTTTTTTTAAAATTCTAAGTATCAAAATCATTCGGTTGCACTAATAAGGTTGAATGTTCATACATACTCGTACATGAGATGCGTTCTATATGAACAACAAAGAGGCGTGACAATAAGAGCTTAAAATAGAATTCAATGTATTTTTATGAGATTTATTTGAGTCGAATAATAGAAAAAAATAAATTGAAATTCTAAACATCCAAATACAGATCGTAATTTGGATATATGAAAACAATTATGTTTAGAAAAGCTTATATTGATACAATGAAAATCTTTTTTATTTAGTTTTTCTTAATATTGATATTTTTTATTTTACATTGCACAATCTGTAAACCTAAAGTATATATGAAGTATAACAATTAAGTTATAATTTTTGTATTATGTATTATGTAATTACTTTATTTGTAGAAGAGAAAAAATATATATTGTTTATAAAAATATAAAATTAAATAATAATATTTTTCTCCTAAACTGTTTCTTATCAGAAATGTTCTATTCAATTCAATAGCCAGCGAGTTTTGTAATATAGAAAGTGGCTTTTAATTTAGTTGTAGGAATGAAAAAGATAGGCCAAGGACATTCTCTTCACACGTCTCAGCTTACATGACGGAGATGATCTATTAGAATATAATTTTAACACAATAATATTAACAAAAGTTACTTTTTTTTTAAATAGAAAAATAAGCTCTAATTAAATACATATGGGTATTCAAAATAAAGTGAATATACTAATTATACAATGTAATTTACATTAAATAATGTTGATGGGCCTGTAATTATAATAAATATTACTAGATATTTCAAATAACTTCAAGACACATTATTAGTATTAAATTTTCAAATTTACTAGTAACTAGCTTTCCGCCCGCAGCTAATATACATATAATCACCCGCGTGGAGTTCGGTTATATCGCGTTTCCAAGAGAACCTTTCAAAAGTCTGGAATAAAAACTATCCTATGTTCTTTCTTAAGGTCAACTCTATCTCTGTACCAAATTTCATTAAAATCAGTTCAGTGGTTTAGGCGTGAAAGCGTAACAGACAGACGAACAGTTACTTTCGCATTATAATATTTGTAGGGTTTTCAAAGATAGTAAATTCCAAACAGTTAATAAATATTACAATAATAGATGCAGTATTTTGTTATAGCATATACTCATGTATTTTTTGGCTAAAAATAATATAAATTGATATGAAAAGTAAAAATATATTATTTTAAGTTATAACGCGTTATGTAACCCTCTCTCAATATTACGTCTATTTCATTCAAGGCCATGACAATGAACCTGTCAATTTTCAACTTTCTATTTAATGAACACTAAACACGGTATACAAGTGCTTAGTTTATTTTCTTATGTTTATCATAAGGAGTAAATATGGTATTATTTAGCATAATCTTTATATAAAATGGGTGATATTTAATTCTAAAATTAAATGAATATTTAAAAATGTATTGTTTATCAATTATTTTATAATATTTCATTTATATAATGTCTAAATTTATTTATATTTACACTTATTCTATTTCAAAGGTCTCAATGAAAAGCTATTTAATTTCTTTTTAAATCATTTTAAAGGTTTTCTATATGCAATGAAAATTAAAACTGTCCATTAAACAACTGCTGGCACAGAATAAAGTTGTCATTATCTGTCATGACCGAACTAAGAATATTAAACAAACCCAAAATGTGAAAATTACAATTACTAAATAAAAGGCATAACAAATATAAATATTTACAATAAAAATATCCAATGGATCGATTCCGCTGACGGGGTGAGCGAGTATTAAATTCATAATTATGGGAAGACGTAAGAGAAGAATCTTCCCAAAACGCAAGCGGTCGGTGTTCAGCAGACCACATCCTATCAAACGAAAAATGATGTTGAGACAGAGGAAGATGAAGGCGTTCTTCCACAGGCACAATCCCAGGGCGTGTATCGAGAGGGGAGTACGGAAAATGGTTGGTGGTATTTATACAGTTTCAGACAAAGTTAGAGACAAAATAGCAGAGAGTACCATGGCTTTGGATAATCCCTTCAGCGCTCAGTTCTACGAAGACAGATGCATCATCCAATGAACTGTTGAAAACTATCATTTGTTGATTGATATACATTTAACATTCCCATGTTTGGAGTCAATAAACCGTGATGTTATGATCAACTTTATTCCAATAATTAAATTTTATCGTATAAAAAATATTTTTAATAGTAGTTTAGTTTATACTTTAACCCCTCCACATTGGAAGCAATCCAATTTTTTATGTATCCTTGTTATTATTTATACATTATAACTGCATGAGTTTCTAAGTGGATTACTTTGTTACTGCCATCATAAAGTACTTGTGTATTTATGAATTTACTTAGCAAATTATAAGAATGAAAAATAGACTATGCTTTAGATGGATATTAGTTTAAGCAGCTATAAAATGAGAACTTATCTTCTATTCTTCTATATTTCTTCATTGAATTCATTTTCAAATTTTCATTAGCATCTCTTCTACTATGAGTAGTGTCCATAAGAATCATTGATAATTCCTCTTAAACTTAGCAATGTTGCTGAGAAAAGTCCTATCAGCAATCCTATAAATAATATATTAATATGAGTCACTTTAAAGTCATTATAAGTTCTTGTCATAAATAATAAAAGAAATTAAATCGTCGTCAATCGTAAATTGCTGTTGAAATATCTTGTATTACAGGCCTTGCTTGTTAATCCAGATTAATTTAAAACAATATTCAAAACTGTTGACATTATGATTTAAATATTTCTAACTTTAGGTAATATTTAATAGTTGCATAAATAAAAAATAATTCTACTATAAAACGACTACTCACCTTTTAATGATACAAAAGCTAATGCTTTTATAGCAAGCGGCAGCAATAGACCTTTGGCCGATAAAAATCCTGCTATCAGTGGAAACAGGGACTTCTTTTTCCAGAATTTATTTTTCTTTCCTTTCTTCTTGAATAATTTGTGAAAACATTTTTTTAGTTTAGTTTTTAAAGTGTTTTTTATGACTTTTCCTTAATACCTTTTCTCTGTTTTTGATATTATCATTTGATCGGTTATCGGGCAGAAAATTTGAACCTGTAAGAAAATATTATTTATTTATAATAAGTTTAATAGAAGGAAAACATATAGGTATGTATCGTTACTTTAAAAAAACCATAATAATGGAAATTATAGCCTTTTTTCTTGTCTTTATCTACTATTATTTTGTTAAGTGACTATGAGTTATTATTTTGTTATGGTACCTCGAGCATATTTATGGTACCATAGAGTCGATTTTCATACTAATTTATTAAATGATTTCACATCGGTATTTTCTCTACGACATTTTTAATAGTAGTAACAAAACGTTCAATAAAGATAGCAGGCTAAATATTATTTTTAAATGTAAAGAATAGCTATTTACGGAAATGACCAATCGAGAAAACTATTAATTTTAAGGAACTTTCTTATTTATCTAAATAACTACCTTTGAGAGATCTTTCGAAATGTTTTCTTCCATACATTACTTCCAAGGGCTCAAACGTTGTTTTTTGATTAGTTGGTTCGAATCCAAGAACGGCTTCTGTTTTGATATGGCCATACTTATTTGAACTATGGAGCCGAATTCCGAGGGGAAACATTTTTCTTAGCTACGTCCTTTCTTATTAAAAATATACATAGTGTGTGAGTTAATAGACCTTTAGTTACACTTTTATAGCAGTAAATGAGTTCATATCTAATTTTAACTGTACTTATTAAATTGTCTTTTTAATGTGTGAAAGTATAATTACTCCCGATATTTAGAACATTAGATGGTTGACTACGATCATCAACCAGAAAAGGTTTTTCCGTCAACACAGATTTTTCGTGTGACTGGATTTTTAGGATCATAAGCCACTTTTGGTACTACCCAGCTACTTTGTTTCTCCTTTTTAAAACTGTAATTTAAATTTAATTTAGAAAGTTCTTTAAAGAATTTATTTTAATTATAAGTTTTTATAAACATATATTTTATATATTATTGCAAGTAAAACTTAAGACATTATTATAACTTTGTGGTCTTTATTTTTCTCATATACATGAACTACTTTAAACTTTCCCGTATATCAATTACATAGTTAACAAATAAAAAAATCTTTAATAAATATCTTATACTTTATAAATACCATAAAATTTAACTGACTACAACTCAAATAAGACAATGTTATTAGAAATAATTTATGAAAATTATCGGACCTGATTTGATATAAAAACATTTGATGGGGATTTTTTACATTTTATTGTCACCTGGAAGTTTCTTGGAATATTTACAAGCCTATGCCTACTACTACATTAAATACTTGAATTCCTCTTTATCTACCAAAGTATATTTTACAATATTAATTTTAAAAGAACGGACAAACCCAGTCTTTTTTGGCAACAATTGAGACCATTACTTTTTGCTTGATAATTGCACACAATATGAGGTCTTTACTGTCTGTGAGAGAAATAACACTGATAAAATCGCGCAATTCCCTACTTGAACCAAAAATAATCAGGCGTTTGGGAATATGTTGAGGGATCTCCACTCGGTACCATCATCTTTGGTTGAAATTAGGTAAGACAATTGTTTTAAAAGCAAGGAAGGATGGCAATATCTCAGGGAGTGAAGACTGCCGTTTTTGACGATGTTTTTGGATATTTTTATAGATTACAATTTACGCACTGTTGTCTGGGTCTACTTCGAAAAAAAGAGATAAATTTCTTGATTAAAATTAAAGGATTTTTTAATCTTGGTGTGTAATATTCTTTTATTAATATTCATAACTTTTTCTTGCATCAATCTTCACTCTAGCTTGAATGCTATATTTAATATCACGATTATCAAAAGGCCAGGCTTCAGGGAAGACCTTACATTCGATTTGTGGTACATTCAAAACTGCAGTGGTTTCATTGCCAAACAAGAACTGAATGACACAGTGACAAGAAAGCTTAAATTGGTCGCTGTATGTTCTCCTAGTGGGTAGTAACTGTCCATTTTCCTAGAGTGAAAAATCTAGAAGGTGAGTCTTACATATATAATGGAATAAATTTCCGTATTTTAGATATTACTGTAGTTTAGGTCACTTAGCATAATTAACATATAGAATGATTCTATTCTGTCCTGGCAGTAAAGCAGCCTCTTAAAAACTGATGTGGTACGACATATTTCACTTTGAAAAGTTTTACTTCAATCAAGGAAGTTTCTTGGTATTCAGAGTGAAGATAATAAAGTCTGCAGCTGTAAGCTTGGCCACGTAGTTGTTACCATTCTATCTTTTTTCTAATTCTGTGTTACGTACGAAATGAGAAGGATTAAATCGATACAACATCATCATTTTACGACCGAGCCTTTTGGTTAACATTGGTTGTTTTAGCATGCCATTGTACCCGTTTGAACATAAAAATTGGAAAAAATCTATCCTCGTAAGCTTAAATCGTATGTAAACTAGCAAGTGAAGGTTACTTCTAAATTCAACACTGTTCTTCACATGTATTGTTTCCTGATTTTTCCTTTCGAATCATCAAACTCCCTGACTTTTATACATTTGAAGATTTTCTTTTTGTGTATTTAATAGGCTCAATGTTAATTTTTAATTAATAAAATTAAAAATATGTATACCTAATATAAAGGAATTTATTATAAAGAATAATGGTCTACTTTATATTAATAAGTTGACAACAGCGGCTTGATGAAATCACTTGAAAGACGATAAAATATGAAATTATAATCAATCAATTAGCACAAAGATGCCTTGGGCAAAGAAATTAGAAAATATTTCGAATGAATCGGAGCGTGTTTCAGTGGTTCGCCACTTTTCGGGGCCATCGGTGTATTTATGATTTTCAGTTCAAGTAAACTACTCTACCAGGTATAAATAGTTTCATGTAATTACTAATTTCGAAGTCTAAAAATCCATTTCCGTTCCGTTTCCGTATAAGTAAAAACAATAATAGAAATCTTAATAATTATAATGTAATACCCACGAAATGAATGGATAACTTCCTTGCGTTGAAATGTGAAGTTATAATTGATTTATTTTTTAAATAAACTAAATATTTTAATATAAGGTATTTGGAACAAAGTAATCAAGCGTTTAAATTTTTGCAATGGCCTATGTATTGCCATCGAAATAATTGAAGCTGCCCTTGATTAGATGATCGTTTGAAATCTACCTAAGCGGCCTTTACTTTACTTAATATTTATTATTACGTGTGTTTGTTCTTCGTTTTTTGTATTATTTGTATCCTTAAACTTTCTTTGATAAGTTAGAGGCTATTACAACAATTTGAGGCTTTTGAAACTATTTTGAAATCTGATTGAAAATCAAAAATAAAATTGAATATTAAAAACATCAAACCAAATCATAATCAGTATATTTAATATTAAATAAATTATTAATTCTAAAATAATAATACGAATCGTGAACATTATTTAATGGTAACTAAATACATTATAATCGGTTATAAATTATTAAATAAATAAATTATCATTTTAAAATATAAAAAATTATGTTAGCGAAAATTATTTACAAAAAGTTTTAAAACTGAAATAAAAAATTATAACGAAACAGTTAAAACAGTTAGAATAAAGATGATATGTTAGAGATGATGATAAAAATTGCCAGTAAACGAATATAGAATAAAATAATACTGGCAATACTAAAGTAGTAAAAGTTTTATGAAGGAATATATCACTTTTACGCCTTTCAGCTGTATCTAATTCCTTAAACAGAAATGATATTTGTAAAAATTTGTTGTTACTATCTAAATCTGATGGCATCTGCGAGAACGTCGACTTATCTTACTTAATAACCGCCTTTCTGTAGTCCCATAACAGCTGCGAATAAGGCAAAGAAAAATCCAGCCAAGCCAGTAGCTCCCACTAATAATACCAGTCCGCCAATCATTACTGGGATTATGGCGAAATATTTCAGCTTATAAGCAAGTAGGAGAGGCATCATATACTTCGAGTATTTCTTAACCCTTTTAGCCTTCTGTTTCAGCCTGTGTGCATGATGTGCACTATGAACGCTATGGATGCCTCCAACCTTATTTTTTGATTCCAAACCATCTGCTTCCAGTTCTTCGGGCTCTTCTACTTCATATTCGCCATCATCCTCTTCATCATCTTCTTCTTCAGCTTCGCCTAAGATATCTGAAAAAAACAATTTATTAACATTAATTATACATTTCTGATTAAAAAATCTTGTTTACTTATATTTTACAACACCCATTGTTACTAAACTAATTTTAAAATCAAATAAGACGTATTTAGTTTATAAAATATTCAATAAGAAGGTCACAATTAGCAAAGTTGCGATTTCTTTACTGTAAATTTAATAAGGAAAATTCACTTCTCATATAAATCTGAAAGTGGAAAATTACTACTTGCGATTGTTAAAAATAAAATCTTAATGGTAAATTATATCACGCACTATTCTTTGGTTTACGACATAAATCGTCTCTTATTAGTGTATTGTAAAGTCAAAGGTTTTTAAATATAATTTGTAATCGATCCATATATTTTTCAAAGTATATACTAAAAGCATGTTGGGGAATTATTAAATGGAAATGAATTAAATTATGAGCAACTTTGGTCAAACCACAGCAAGAAACGAGTTTAATAACCCAAAATGCATTCATCTGTGAAAATGACAACTGAATATTAAATAGTGCGTTCAAAAAACACTGATTTGTGTTGAATTTATTAATAAAACAGTCTCGTAACTTTCACTTGTTATTTTCCTAAAAAAAAACAGCTCTTCAATTAGGAATTATTAGGTATTAATAAGGAATATAAAACTGATACAAAAAAAATTAAGATTATCAAAGTTCGTTGCATCGTTGCGTGACAATACAATAAGATCACGCGATACAGTTAACTTAAAACTGATATTTACATTTTGCTGTCCGCAAGCGGAAAAGATTACAGCTTGGATTCGATGAAATTCAGGGTTTGTGCGGTTCAGAGAACAGCATTTGACGGTGAAGGTATAATGGCTGGTAATGATAGAGGCATTGTGATCTATTTTAAAATATATAATAATTTTACTTTTGCAATATCAGAATACTGTGGTATTTTATATTATTGTCATTTATAATAATTACCATACTAAATCAATATTTAGGTTGACTAATAACTTATAAAATATTAAAAATATTTTTCTATTGCTGATTTATTTTTGTTATTTGCATTTAAAGAGATTAAATGAGATGAGAGATCAAACCAAATTTAACTAATAATAGTGACTATTTAATTTTAATTAGATACGTACATGACAATGATCTTCTCTGGGATGCTTGATCTACAAGTTTTTTGGGATTTTCTGTTGAAACTTCATCCAAATCAAGCGATCTCTTCGCAAATCCCTGACCTCTTAACAAAGGTATCGCCGTCGGTTCAAACTGACCACCAACTAAGGGATTATACGCAGAATCTTCCACTGTGTCTTTACTTTTCTCTTTGGGAATTGCAAAGTAATTACCGGGGAAAAGTATTTCAGTTTTATATTTATTGTCTTGTGTATAGTATACTGGTTTCTCTGCTGATGGGGTCGGCTTTTCATTTATCTTCAGCGGTATTGCGCGAGGTCGGAATGCGTATGTGATTAAATTTTTGGAGTCTCCTACATGGTTTTTATTTTGAGTCGTTGGCATCACTTTTATATTTTTGACATCTTGATCAGCTATTGTAATAACTGCATAACACAAAACCACTAAAGTTTGACACCTCAAGCCCATGTCGAACCTCATATTGTCCAATTAATTGTTAATCTTTTAATTGGCAACGCGTCACTGGTTACACAATAATCCTCACTTCACTTTCTAGTTTTATTATAGTTCTTCTACCCCTCCTCGATCAACCATTTTGTCCCAAGCGATCGCGCAAAACTGAATCACAATCGTAGTAAGACGTTATATTTATACATGTGTAAGTACAAACTTGCGTTTTTCCCGACTATTTACGGTCGGATAGTCTCGCGGAACCTACCTATGTTTTACTACTATACCGATATGGGTGAAAAATAAAGTCAACCGAAATTGAGACAGCTCTCGATCCGCGCACGCGTCGCTTCTTCCTCTAATGATATCTCTGCGGCCAATTTTCTTCATATCGCGCTACTAAATTTGAAAAAGATCATAACTATTATGTTATTATTTCAAGGTAATTTTCATGTCAGCAATAAGTCTTTGGAACGAACGCTGTTCCTTTTCAAAATATTTTATATGAAATATGGAATTTTATTTCTGGTTTCAATTGTATAAAAAGATTTTTTGTATAACCAGTGTATACAATAAAAGTGCAAGCAATTTAGAAGTTTTATTGGAAAAAAAGTGAAAAGTTGAAAAAAAAACGTAAAGGAGCATTTTGTTAATCATGAAATGTACTGAAAGTTTCAAAGTGCACGCATATTCTATGTTATAATGTCAATAACACCTAATTATATAAAAACTAAAGTGAATTAACTCAAGAGATCGGCTTGTTATTTTTTGCTTGTTTACTTTTTAGCTTGTAATTGTTAAACAGATATTATTATAAATTAAGGACGTCCTGATTGGATTACTTTGTATGGATATTTTATAAATTTAATTTTCTTAGTATAAATTCCAGACAAATTGTTTATCTATGTATATAAAAATGTAAGTATATGTCCGTCCTTAAAATAATTATAGAAATTTAATTGAACATAAACTTTTTAGTGACGCGACTAGTTTAAAAAAGTTACGAAAAGACGACGTATGTCATAAATAATATGCGCTCTGTTTTATATAAGACTCTGTTTTATATTAATAATTTTTAAGTGTTGTTTTAATACTTGTCTGCACTGTTTCATTTCATGTTTTAAACTATAATAATATATAAATATATATATATATATATATATATATATTATATATATATATTATATATATATATATATAAAATATATATATAAAGTATCAAAAATAAGCTAAAGTATAAAAAAGATATTGTAAAAAGATAACAGTACATTTAAAACAATTTTAAGCGCACAATCTTCACATCTGGTTGACATTTTTAATGCTGCTACTTATTCATTACCACTTCTAGTATCAATGCGTCAAGTTCATTTTTTATTTAAAAAAATAAAGCATATAGCTTCTAAGTTTTCATTGATAATGAGGTAAAGTCATATCAACGTAAATTCAATAGTAACACCTCTCCAAGCTTATACTAAGCAAACAAAGAGTATTTATTAAAGTGTTTTTAGATCTTTATCTGTCAACTTTTTGTACTATCACCAAGCGATTTTTTATAAAGACGTTCTATTTACATATAGTCCTATAAGTATATGAGAATATAGTAACGATTGTATCATTATTTTTTTGTTTAAGAAGAAATACTTCACAATATCAACTATTAGATTCATACATTACGGTCTCTTTCTCGCGGTGGTCTTCAAATAATTAAGAACCCTTTTTCATAATTATTGTTATGAATCGACAAAACACTTATATTTTTTTTTAAATTAAAAGATACATTAAAACATTACATTACATTACATTACATTACATTACATATAAAGATGTATCTATACGATAATTCGGCTGAAATAAATTATGTCATTATCATATAAACGTACCTTTACAATTTTTTTTGCCTCAATTTTGACTACGCTGTAGTTTAAAACAATATCTTTTTTTTATAATTTTGTTTGCATACTTAATTTTTTTCAGCATTAAGTAGATTATGGTTTCATCACCACCATCAGCCTATCGGAGCCCACTGCTGAGCAAAGGCCTCTTCTCACATGGAGAAGGTTATAGCATCAATCCCTATGCTTGCTCTAGGCGGATTGGCGAATTCAAACATATAATTTGAAATTAAAGTCCAGGTTTCCTCACGAAGTTATCCTTGACGTTCTGCTTGTACTGTCTCAATACTCTTAGAAAGTACATATGACTTAAAAAAATCACTTTGGTACTTGCCAGATTTCGAACCCGTATCCTCATGCATGAGAGGCGAACCTTTAACCCCTAGACCACACGACTTTCATGATTATGGTTTATGAAAATATTGTAGGGATAAGTAGCTTCAATATTTTAATTTAATAACTAACCTATCTAATTTTGGAATTCCATTTCTTTTTAGATATCTTACTATTTATTTTAAATTGTTTATTTAAATTTGAATTTAAGTATCTATATTATTCAACGTTGCTTCAATGTCAAAAAAATAAAGATTATATGGTACATGTTACATGACAAATCTCACAAGCCATGCAACAACGAAGTCGTAGAGTGGCTTTTCGTAATCAGCTCTTGATAACTTTTAAGTAGTAGCGTCTTAAAATATTTTAAAATTTAGTGTATATTGAGGTTATTACGTTATGTGAGAAATGGCTTCGTTTCAAAATAAAGGGTTCTTTATTCTAGTTGTCATTAATTAATTAATATTAATCAAGTAAATGTTATCGGGTTAAAAGTGTTTAATCATATCAAAAAAAGAAATTTCATGCAATTATTCACTAGCTCTTAAAATCTATTACAAAACGTAATTTGTTCTGGTGAATTAGGAACTGAATTTTCGACTGATCTGGTTAAATTTGTGACGTTATTCTTTATGCAAAGAGCTGCTTTTATTTATGTAGAAAAGCCTGATATTATAATACTTTAAAATCTTGCAAACTGCATTGTTAGAGTTTTTAAATAGCAGTACAATTATTAAAATTTAGTATGGGTATGAATTACTTTTGTATATTGGCTGTCTTATAAATTTTTTTAGTCGTCAAAACTAATAATATAAAAATTTCATAATACATACATATGTATATTATGTTTATGTAAGACATTTTATCAGTGAGGCAAATATTTTTGTTCCTCTTTTCCGTCATTCTTATCAGTTTATACTAAAACTGATAATATCAAACCGTTTTAATTCAAGCCTTACATGAATTATGTAAATGTTAGTAAAATATTTACTTAGTTCAATTACATACATACGTGAAATTTAAATTATTTAGAGGTTCCAAAACATAATCCATAATTAAAAAAATATTGAATTAATAGTCTTGTTAAAACTGAAAAATACAATTGTTCTTTTCTTTCCTTCTTATACTCTTTAAAACAGATATATATTCATAATATATATAAAACACAAAATATATATTAGTGATGATGTCCGCTATAAAAACTTAAATAAAAAACGCTAACACTGTGAGTAATTGCAATTCAATGAAGAACACTTAAATTGGCCATTTACTTTCTGTTACGCGTGCTATAATAGAATTATTTTGTTTGATAAAAACTATAAAATCGTTTCAATGTATAAATAAAATTAACATTGTATCAACTAAAGATTACGGAACTATAAGCAGTTCGTGGATCACGCAAAGTGGACGGAAATATATTCACTTCGATTTGTTAATGCCACAATTATCTATACTGTCAGGAAATTGTCAGTAGGAATGAATAGACGTTTGTTGAATCAAAGTTATTTTTACAGTTAATTTAATTTGAAAAGTGAAATCCTTATATTACTAAATCTTTTAATTATAGTTTTACGTAATATTCAGATGCTTAAATAATGTTCTTTCGCTTATTCATAGTTTGATGTAAATAAATTTGTTAGGATTTTTTTTTCTGACCATTCTTGACTATTTTTGACTTGACTTAGCAATTTTGCACTTTTTTATATTTAGGTTTTTATAATGAATAAAAGAAAATTTGAAAAAATTTATGTCATTCCCAAAGAATTTGTAAAATTATGTAAAATAAATTTTATTGAATTGGTTGTCGTGTCTGGTTGAAATCCACTCATAATCCATTTTTATCCTAAATTTAAGTTTTTTGTGAACTTTAGAATCAGCCATCTTCATATTTGCTAAATATTCTAATAACGGAACCTTTAAAAACTCTATTTAAGTAAATTAAAATTAAGTACATACAATAAAACATTTTTTATTTCTCCACTTAAATTTTATAATTGCTTATTCAATTAACAAATCGTGAAAAGTATACATGACTGCATTTTAGATCGTACATTTAATTGAACATTTTTATAATTTAAAGTATAAAATTCATAGAAGTTTCTAAACTTTGACTCAACCAGATTTGTTTAAAAAAAGAATGAAGTGTTAATTTTAATGCAGTTTTTTTGTTTGTCAGGATGACATATAAACCAAAGTTTTATAAATATAGTGTTATTTACAATCCCTTTAATATAAATAAAAAAACATATTCGTGCTTAAAATTTTAAAAAGGAAATTATCATCTATGTACATTAAAATAAAATAAAAAACATACATAAATAGGCTTGTAGGATTTATTTATAATTAATATTAAAATTACAATAAATTAATGAAATAAATAGTACATAACAGCATTGAGGTTTGATATCAATGGTTTTTTTTTATAAAAAATACCTTGTATATTGTCCAAAGAAATTGTTTTGAAGGACAATATGTATGAGTATTAATACTAAATATAATCTAAAATAAATGTTAACGAACTATGTTTAAGCGATACAAAATAAAGCTTACTTAATTACTTTCATATGATTGAGCATAATAAGAAGAGATATTTTTTCTTTCTATCGAATTATCTAACGAAGTTTCTGTGCATAAAATTGAATGAAAAAAATGTGGTTGCAATTTTCCATTTGCAATTTGCAAATATTCTTATCTAACCAATTTACATGGAATTTTAGGAAGTTATATAACTCTAATTAGTCTTATAGGCGTTATAGGCTAAGTCAGATGCTGATCTTTTATCCCAACCGCCCCCACTGCTCCCGCCTCCAGATGACCAGCCGTGGCTTTCATGGCTACTGCTACCACCACCCATATTCTTCTGTGCCACAATCTTCTTTAATGCAATTATTCCTGCTAGAAGCAGAGCGATCTGAAAGATATTTCATTGTTAATAATGAACACTCAACTTTGATAAAAGTAGCAGTAGATGAAATTTTGAAGAGTAGTAGCAGATCGAATTTAATATAATATAGATTAAAATACGAAAATAATAGTTTCATTTAAATGAATACTCTTCAATTTCTTAGATTTCATTAAATTCAACCAATTCCATTCATACAAAACGACACGTATTTACAGAATATCTAATAATAATGAAGTAATATTTGAAATTCCTTTTATTTGAAAGATTTTTTTTAATTACGTCATCATTTTATTGACTATTAAATAATTTAATGCACTTTTCTCTTTTCCTTGAAAATAACTTTGAAAATGTAAGAAGCGAAAATTGCTACATAAGTCAAGAATTCGTCAATAATAAACAGTATTTTGTTAGTAGAGAATTTTCGACAATTTTAAAATCTAAATCTGTTATAAGCAAATTATGGTACTGATCGTGATATTTCTACATTTCTAGGAATTAGAAGATTTAATTTACAAGTAGTATTCTGTTCTTATAATGTTCATTATAATTCCCGCATTATTCGCAACCGTACATTGCTGACAGCAAACTTAATTATGGTAATGCATAGGCTTCAATTGCTATAAATAAACATGAATACATTAGACAAATGCAATAAGCGAAAGGTTAGATACCAGAGGTATTATTCAAGGTTTTGTTTATTTCAAATAATGAACTATACAATTTTATGTGGCTTGTATGTATGCTTTGATACTTTGTGATATGACAAAAGAAATTTCGATTTTTATCCATAATAATCGCTTTCCTTGTTGTGTGTATTGCTAACTATTAAAACATCTATACTAAACCAAAAAGAATATAAAGAATTGTTTAAGAAACAAAGACTCCCTCAAATTCCTCTCCATAATTCTAGGTACATACTTTTCTATATAAATACGTTAATAAAATGATAATTCAGCCGATAACTAGCCGTAATCATTAGACATATTTAATAAACTATAAATTAGCTAATTACACTTATATAAGTTTGTTTGAATGAAGAAAATTAATTCAGTTAGTTTAATGGATTGAATACGCAATTTTTTGCTTGCACTCAAGGATAAAACTTGTCACTCAAGAAATATGTATGTTAGGTTTAGATATTTTTATATTAAATAATTTATCTTTTGCTGCATTTCGCAATAAGCAATCTTTCATATTTTCAAATCGTATGGAACTTTTTTTATTAAAATGAAAATATTGACTATTCTCTTCCGTTTACTGACGACGATTTAATTATTACTCAAAATCTAATAAAATAAATACTCAAGATCTAATAAAAATGATAATATAAAGAAACATACGAAATTTAACTGTTATATGAAAATGGCTACTAGTATTATGTATGTGTGTATATTTATATGTTTTTGATAAATATATGTATCGTTAATGCACCCTAATAGACTTCATTAAAATGCGTTAGTGTAGAAATGGTTTACAACGTGAATTGAAGCATCCTGTGGATGTTGTGACACATTACATTTATTTTAAATAATCTGGACTACAATTTGTTGGTAATTTTCTTACGAGAATAACGGAAATATTTTCATAAGGTTTAATTACAATCAAGTGTTTTATTATTGTTACCGAACACAAATTCTTCTGACGTATTTTATCCGCCGAAATCTCAACTTCATAACCGAAGATATTTTATCATCGATCTAAATAAATCTCTTACGTCGTGATAAATAACAAGCCGCACGAGATTTACTTTGAACGACAATATTTTATATTTATCATATCTTTAAATTGTTATTTTGTTATTTTCACAACAACTCAGGAGCTACTGCCTTCGTGGCGTTGGGAAATAGACTGACAATACGCTCTCATGTTGCCAGCAGCTACCTTGTTTTTGCACTTTTATGCGATTTACAATTTAATAAGATTATTTTAAATCTATTTAAAGTTATTGTGACGTAATGTCTTCAAAATTTATATAACGAACTCAAATATATTATTTAAGATTTTTTTATTACAAGCAATAATTTAAATAACTATTTTTAATTCAAGTTTTACTTGATTGTATTAGAATGAATAAAACTTTTGTAATTATAGTTTTTACCAGTAAATTTGTTAAGTGATATATACATGGCAACCCAGTTTTGTTACGAGGCTAGTAAACCGATAGTCAAACGTAAATGGTACATCCAAAGTCGACTTCAATGTTATTAAAATCCCATAATATATAACCTTATCCATTAAAAACCTTATTAGTGAAGTATAGAGTCCATTTTCGTATATATCTACATCAATCATAAAACGCCCGGGTCAATGAACGTTTATATACAAACCAGTTTAACAAATTCTGAGCTCTTAAACATTATGCAATACCTTGTGGGTCATTAAATATAAGGAAAGGATTCACTTTCCGTGTTTAATGTAAACAAACGATATGAGTTCTTCATATCGTTTACAGAATGAATATGTGAATGAAAATTTTCCTTTGACGTCTATTGTGTGCCTTACATAAAAATGTAGCAACACCACAAGATGTATAATATGATGCATTTTATGTTATGTTGTTTGTTTCTACTAAAAAAAACGCGTTTAATTTGATTTTATATTTCATAGAATTGCGTCAATTTAAATTGTTCTCGTATTGTAATAATATTTTTGTACTATAATTCTTTAGTTATGTGTAAACAGAACCAAAATTTATTATTACTGAAGTTATATGAATATTTCTGTGCAGATCACTATCGTAAAATGTTCTGATTAATTTAAATAAATTAAATATTAATGAAATTGCTTTAATATAATACATATATAATAATAAATGTGTGTAACTTAAACTTATTGCAAGCTTAATTGAGTTTAAATTATTTTCATTTTGATAAGAATTTCACAGAAAATGTTAAACGGAAGAATACTTTGAACTCAAAAACGAAAAAAATGAATCACGAGGAGTTTGAATCGTAGTATCAAATAGTTTTCTTAATCTCAATAATAAAGTTTCGGAGCTAGTATATTAAGATTTATAGTATGTGGGACTGGTATCGTGACTTCAAAAAACAGTAGGGGATTGTTGTCTATTTTAAACAGTTTAAATTTGTACCGTCAGAAGCATAATGTGTTTTATATTTTGTACAATATTCACGTTACTTATGGTTTGTTTAAAACTTGTCTTCTGTTTATGAAATATGTTCTATTTTATAATTATATATATAGAGGATGCTGGATAACGCAATAAGTAAAGAGGGAGGAAAGTGAGTGAGATCAAAATAAAGGATATTATAATACATATTATTCAAATACCTTGATAATCAAAATTGAAATAATAATATTATTTCTAATTGTTAATGTATATAAATAGATGGATAGTTCATATAAGGTAATGTGATTGTTGATTTATTACCTTTTTATAAACCAATATATTTTTTTACCAGCAGATTGTCTATTGGTAACATATTTCCTAAATCCATTTAATCAATCTAGACCAGCTTTGGCTTGTTTTTTTTATAATAGTGGCTCTTTGAGGGATCATTATTAATGTCAAAAAAATCAAGCAAAGATTTGAATAAAACTTTGAGAAAATGTATTCAATTGTATTAAGATATAATTTATAAAAAAGGAGCAGGTTCCTGATATCACATAATATGTATATATATATATAAACACCATATTATATTTGGTACAGACATCAGCTACTCTCTGTTGATCATTTTATATATTATGTCACAAATGTTTTTCAATCGTTACTTAATGCAGTACGCTGACATTGAAACCACATTGTATATTGCGGTGCTGTTTTTATTCACTGTCCTACTTCAAATGCAGTCGTAAATATCAAACAAACGGGTAGTTTAAGCTGAAATTTATTAACCTCATGTCTTACGTACGGATATTTTTGAACTTATGCAATCAAAACAAACAAGTTACTACAAAAGTATGAAAGTTTGTCACGAATAGAAGTTCCTTTCTTTATGGATATCAAAGAAAAGCCTGTAATATCCATACCGAGATGGCATCGCGTGATTTGATGATGATTTTTACATCAATTTAAGAGCTCGTAAAGGTAATGCATGAGGTCATTTCACAAATCATTACTAGATATTACTGTGAAAGTCTTCTCACAGTCGTTGTGATGGCCATGTTAATAATAATAATTGTTCAATTGACACGATAAATGTACAAGATGTTCTCAAGAACATACCTTCAGAAAACGCACCAATTTTGATTCAGATTGTAATAAAATCGACGATCTTAGTTTACTTAAGTGAATATTTTAAATGACAGTTGCATTGTTCTTGTTTATGTAGACCAAGTTCTATAAATCTGACCTACTCCATCAATAGACTTGAGCGTTGCCGTATCATCACATATTATCATAATGACACAAAACGTGACAACGTCATGATTCCCACGCTACTCCAATGGAAAAATTGTTTGAATGGCAATTAATTCATAATTTTCACTACGACAAAGAAATGTGAGGTCACGTGAGCTTTTGTTTTTTTTCAAAGATTTTCTTTATTCCGTCGATCTTATAATATAAATCTTATTTGTCATTTCATTTAAATAAATATTAAGTTAAATATTGTTAGTGGAATAATAGTTACAAATCTAACTAGATAATGAAAGCTTGGAAGCGACAAAATAACCTATTTATGTACCTTTCACTACTCTACTGAATGAAAGCTTGGATTTGTTTTAATATTGCAAAATAATATCTTTGGATTAAAATCTTCTTGGACCATAGCAATTTAAAAAAAATGAGTTCAGAATTAATTTCTTTGGGGTACTTTAAGATTTCTTAGTCTAAGGGTTAGATAAAGTGTAAATGACAATTACCTTAGATACTATGAGAGCTTTTCCAGCTAACACGAATAAACCAGCGATAGCAAGAGGTATCATCGCTGCCATCTTCATCGCTCCACCCATCATCATCATTCCCATCATCTTCTTCATCTTTCCACGACCTGGAATTTAAGAAGTATTATTTTTAAAGCTACATTTCGTATTAATATATATAGTTAAATAAAACTCAGGAAAGTCTTTGTTATATTGGGAAGTCTAATTATACATATATAACAAAATATTTTTTTTTTGTAATAACTTAACTTAATGTGCTGTTACACAGAAGTTGCTATTTTTATTTGATTATTTTTTGTATGAATACACAAGAATTGATGTGAATAAATATATTTTCTAACTGCTGACAAGCCACTTATTCAATTACTGAAAAATAATATAAATGTACTTTTACTTCCTATTAACATTTTAGATCTTACTATTTTGTATAGACACAATTTATTTATTTAGAAAACGTTATACAGTTATGAACAAGCATTTTAAAAGGATTCGAAACATCACTTCAAGTACGCATTTGAATGTCATTTTCTATAATTTTGTTCGTAGTGAAATATCAACATATGAATGTATTTGCTTTGACGTTACACTTCAAAATCGTAGACTAAACACTTATGTTTCTATATATTCTACTATTTATTGTACTGTATACATTTATAAGGTCAGAGTTCTCATAAATAATTATTTGTAATTGGCATGAAAGTGTCGAGAAACAATTTGAAATAAAATTCTTATAGCTTTCTCTAACGTGAACTTCTCTAACAAACTGTATGCTTTACTGACCATAAAGAATGATTACCTCAATTATCGATATTATTGCTTTTCTATTGATTGATTGAATCTTTCGATCGATATTGTCGGATGTTTTGCTTATTATAATGGTATAAGATATTTATGCCACTGTTGGATGCTCAAAGAAAATTGTAGTCTGTTACGGATTATTTGTAAATCATTCTTGATGCTGTTTTCTCCTGATATAGAGCAAATATGTCATCGTAATAGTGACAATACAGTGCTTTGGGAAAATTTTAAACCTAAACATTACATTACTAATGTATTAGTTGTAACCTAAATACAACTTTCTGCTCTTTTTGTACCAACTCTGAATGTTAAATAGCTAATGATGTTATAGATCATATCTTGCTCGTACTTTTCTTTCTCTTAATGTCTTCACGTACGTTCTCTTAATTTAATTAATACAAACAAAGAAATTTCACGGTGAATAAATCTTTTATTAGAATATTATTTTTGTTAAAAGATCTTATCTTGTAATTAAAATAGGTGAAGTATTTTTGAAGAACATAAAATGAGTCATGTTAAATACATTCTAATGTGTTTAAATATAATAAAATTTGTAACGATTTAATTTTAAAAGTATTGCGATATGTTTTTTATACATTTTTTTACTAAACACTATAAATATATATAATAATTCATAGAATGAATTCGTATAACTCCTAACAGCACGGATCGTTCAGATGAAAGCTTACGATAGTAGCTTAGTTAGTCTTGTGCTTGTAACGGGCTGTTTTTTCAGTTTCTTAGTGAACATATATATTAAAAACTTGATTTAATATAATAACTTTTAAATGTTAGTAGAAAATCTTATACTGGTTATTTTTAATACAATAAAAAAGATTATTTTTCTATGATTGAAAGTAATTGAAGTCAATTCAAGTCGTAGTTCGTGTCTTTCAAATAATGCGAAATACTTAGACATTGAAATACCTTATCCAAGAGAAAGTTAATGCACAAGTTAAAGGTTAGCATGTCGAAGGAAATCGCAATAATTCATCTATGATTCTATGTATGAGTCTGTTCTTTATGTCATTAACAGTAATTGACTGTAGTGTTTCAACGGATCTGTGGTTGTAAAGCTAAATTAAAATGAATTTGTGTGGTTGAACTTTGTGTTTATATGAACGGTACTGTAAAAAATATATTGTAGCCAAAATATTTACAAGATAGGAATAGAAAATATGAAAATCTTTATAAATATATGTATATACCATCTATATACTTATCATTAATAATTAAAGTGTAGGAACTCCACAAGTACTGAGTATTCTTTTATCCTTCATTAACCAACTATAAACCTTATTAATTGATAGCGTCTAATCAACTCAAACAAGGTTACGTTTATTAAGTTTTATGTGTGAAAGCTTAGATGTATATAAAAGGAATAATTACTGAAATATCTTACCTTCTTCGATACCTTTGTTAAGCTCCTGGCCAGACATCTTTGGTAATGATAGTTGGATAGTTCTTGAATTTGCAAAAGCAGCAACTCTATCCCAGAGCATGCTTGACAGCATCCCATCCTTGCTTTCGTAATTCCTGGGTAAACTTGCTTCTATATCATTTTCGCTGACTGGAACAACTTCCATATCTGATGCCTTCACTATATCCACACCATCAATCAAAGGAATCGACTCCATCCTGGCAGCCCTGTCGAAGAAGAGGATAGCTTTCTTCTTCAAACAAGGTATTACGCCGTCAGATTGCTGGCAGTCTTCGTATATCCTCAATACATATTTCATTCCAAAATCTTCCCTTCCGTTCACAAAAGTAATGACGAGTAGCAAAATGATGAGCTTATACATTTTGATGTTTACTTGTTGGTGTTATAAAAAAGACTGTACAGTGGAGCGGCAGCGCCTCGTATTTATAGGCTATGTACTGCAAAATGAATTGTGCTGCTGTGATCTGGGTACCGTCTCCGAAGGTACCATCGCAACACACGGGTTCTAAGCAATAAGCGTCTAGCTTTGATAACAACAGTACGAGGCGCTACAAATTACAGTCAATGCGCAACATACTTTAAGGAATTGTTAGTGTGAGTGTGTAGCGAAATGGAAGATTGTTCTGTTCTTGGTGTATTATAATGGACGTGGTAAAATTTTATGTGAATGTTTTATATAAATTTTCAAAATGATAGATTTTTTTAATATTAGATGTTAAATAAAACACATATAAAACTTTAATGTTATATATGTACATTTTATATAAATATAAATACATATACATATATGCGTACTCATTGAGTATATTAGTTAAGATACAGGTACAGGTAGGTACAGGTCAATTAATTGCACATTTTTTTATTTTTGTAAGAAACTCATTAAAAATAAATAAAAATTCTGCTTGGCGTCCAGGGTATGAAAAGTTTTCATGTTGATGTATTACATAAACCAGTTGCGTCTTTTAATATTTATTTTGAACTAAATAAAAAACCTTAAAATACTTTTGTCATATTATTGCTTTTCGGTTTTATTCATGTAATTACAATTTTAATATAAAAAATAGCTATAATTTGAAATATAATCGTTTCTATTTTTCGTACACCATTCGTGATTCGCATGCAAAACTCGCACGGAATACAAACTATTGAGTGTTAAAAATTATTTATAATTAATAACCGCTTCCTGTAAATTAAAGTAAAATTATGTAAACGATAGCGTTATAAAAAGTAATTAGACTTACTAAAATACCATTCGCAACACTAATAAGACGAGTGGATAACATATTGAAGTATTCGTTTCAAACATTTCCTTCCTATGTTATAATTGCAATTGCAATTCAATGGTATTCTTTTCGAAGACGAATTTGCTAATAATCCTGTTACTTTTTGTATGACTTATATAATTTATATACAAGCTTTTAATAAAATAGTTAGTATTGCATTTAGTACACAACCTAGATTTATAGCGACGCGACTCAAGTAAATGTAGGTCCTATCTAAGTATCTATTTACCTACTTGTGCGTTAATGTTGAATGCATATATCAAGACCATTAGAGCTTTGATAGATTGTGTTGTATTATTATACAAGAAATATCTCTGTCTCTGCTTGTATGCTGAAAAAGTAACATTTCTCAAATCAATTCATATTAAAGGAATATATTGCTAGTATTTTAATTTAAAAATTTTTTTTTAATCATCATCTTTTCAAGCTCATATACGGTGTATATTTTTTAAATAAGTACATGATTATTTAAGTTGAATCTTATTAAAATTAAATTGTAATACCTTAATACGCATTTTAAACTAATTGAAATAAAATTAAATACAGCACATAGTGAGCGAAAACTCAAACATATGCTAGAAGATTTCTCTATTAAACCAATCTACATTATAAGGTTAATATATATCATTACAATAATTTGTTTTATTTCTAGCATTGATAAATTTAAATGATCTTGTTTACTATGTTTTCGAGCAACGATACAAAAAGAGGAAAAGCGGGTAAATGAAATAACAAGTAATTACATAGTTTTTGATCACTATGAATTACACATGAATTTTAATTTCTCCGGTAAAAGTCTTGCTTTCTCTACTTAACATACGTTAATCACATAATGGTTGTAATAAACGTAGTAAAAAATATTGTAAAAATTGATGTATATTTGTTGCCAAAACAATAAAATATAATGTGAAAAGAAACATTTATTTACTATATAGATATAGAATTTTATATTATTTTTATTATTGACACTATTTATGAGGAACACCTGAGCTATGTTCTATGATCTACGAAAGGAACATGCTTGAATATCAGATAAATTTAAAATGCAGTTAGTACTAGGAGAAATTTGAATAATAAAATCTACGACTTTTTCGAGTATTCATTGAAATAAAACTAATGTTTTCGAATTAACGATACGATTGTAATTATTTATTTTAACTAAAAATACTCGACTTTTCGGCTATTTTACAGCAACTGTGATCACGAGCAGAAGAGATCAGATTGAGATAAGATGAAATTTTTACATTGCTTAATTACAACTGTGACTTCACGAGCCTAGCAAGTGATTGCATCTCGAACATGGGCTGGCTCGAGATCAGACCCTCTCACAGAAGATCGGCGTGAAGTATGAGTGAGAGAGCCGGTTGCCCTTTCCCTTTTCCCATCCTTTCCTATCCCTTCCCTTTTTCTTCCCCTTCCCATTTTTCCTCGCCTCTTCCCAAATCAAGGGTGGTGACACACCCGTAACATGTCTTATGTCGCGGATGTCCATGGGCGACGGTACTACCTCCATCAGGTAGGCCGTCTGCTCGGTTGCCCCCTTTAACATAAAAAAAAAACTTTAAAAGGATGATAAGAATGAATTTTTGTTTAAATGTAATCAAATTTAAAAATTTACTATCAAAAATCTAAGTGGGTCTTTTTATATTTATGTTTCATATAAAAGGGTAATGACTTCATTTCAGATTAAAAACCAAGATTCCTTTCTTCTCATCTTCAAATAAATTGCGTATCCGATTCGAGCCACAAGAAAACAACGGTTACACCAATTTAAAGACACACAACCTTGAAAAATTGTACAAGTTGATTTTTCACATTTTCTATAATTATGCGTCTGTTAGGTGTGATGATTGTCCATTGTTCTTACTACTGGTACCTGTGTATACACGTTTCGGGAGACTGAGCATATTTTGGTATTGTTATATTTCTTTGTACCAATCTAAATAGTGAACAATTTTAGAAAAACTATAATATGCGTTATTGAAGAACAAATTTCATATGAATCTATTCAAGTAATTTTTTGTTGTATAAACTTAATACAATATAATACACTCATTCACATCTCGTTTGTCCGTGATCACGGTTGCTGCAAAGTAACCGAAACGTCAGGAGTATATTGTTCAAAATATTACAAAAAAAGCATATAATTCGAAAATATTACTTTCTACTATTTTAATAATTATATAGTGTAATTAAACTTATTTCGTGGTACACATATGCTTTGGTGCGTTCGTAGTTTGACACGAGGTCACCGAGTTAATTATATAGAGATTTATTCCTATACAGAATAATTGATGTAGCTGTACCGCTTTTTGTTAGCTATCATTTGATATGAAGCACGTTACCTCTATTAAGTTTACAAAATATCATAGAAAACATAAAAATAAGTATTTTCACTCTCGATATATGAACAGTTTAACTTAAAAGAAATATTCTTTGATCTTCTCTTTAATGTTTTTTATTTATTGCTTATACAGAGAAAGTTAACGTCATTCAACTAGTAATTAAATAAATAAAAAGATATCAAGAAGTAGTAAAATTTATTTTTATAATAAAAAAATACTTTTATTGTTTATAACTTTGAATGCCACTGATTAAATTAACTTCAAGTGGATGGAACTGTTAAAATTTTTGTTATTCTCATATTCTCACACAAGATAATGGATAAAACCTTTTGTGGGATAGCACACAACATAGTTATCCAAGGCCTAGTGCTCTAGATTCTCTGTGAGTGCGTAATTGTTCTTCCGGCGTCAAAGTATAAACAAAGGAAAAGTTTGTGTTTTTAATAAAATTATAACAATAAATTATTTAAAGACTCGTTTATTTTAGAACTAAGAAAGAGGCATAATAAATTAAACTAAAATAAGTCAGAAGAAAATCCACATTCAGTACATGTGCTTATTTTTCTTTGTTCTTTAAAATACGCCAAGTTTTATATACCAATGATGAAATATATGATATTTTACTACTATAGTCCATAAAAAGTATTGTGTATCCCTCCAAAAAAATTTTTCAGTTATAAAATACTGTTTCGAAAAAAAAATGCCTTTAAATTTATATATGTACATACAAATATTGCTAAACGTGAGCAGCGACAAATCATAGACATCTTAATCGTCCTAAAAATGTATTCCAACAAAAATGTATAACGCAATATTCACCCCACGTAAGATCAGTAACTCAAATAAAAGAATACAAGTTATAAAAGTTTATTCCTCTGTACGTTATAATCACCTTTGGCTGTACACACTTTCGTTTACGCTATATAAAGCTCGTAGCCTTGCACTTGGCACATTCACTGAGGTTATTTTAAGAATATATCACGAAGTTAATTGGACAGGTTTTTAATGCAAAACTAATTAAATATATGCAACATTTTTATATATATTTTTTTAATTATATATTTTGCTTACAACAATTATTATTATAATAATAATTTTACACTAATTTAAAAGCTGTTACAGGACATGCGACAAAATTTTAAATAAATATTGACAAATCTTTAATTCCTCTATTATCAAAAAGATTGATTGACCACTTTTAAAAATAAGTTCATTAATAAGTCATGGTTATTTAAAACGAAAAATAACTTTATGTGTATTTTGATAGAATTCATTTTCATTTGCAGATTATTACTTCATAAATCATATCATGCATTTTCTTGACATTCTTATTTGTGTTTAATTTGACATGTTATTAATTTTATGTACGTTTTGTTTCACACAAGAATCCAATACAATTAATGTCGTCTCGCGTGTTCAAAGTTACACAATATTATATTAGCTAATTTCTAAACAAGCGTCAATATAATAGATGACTTATGGGCATATAATTTTTTTAGTTAATCATAGTTTATACAAAGGTCTTACTAGGCTTTAAATTATGAGAGTAACCTTATATATAACAAAAAAAATATTTCCTTTTTTTGGTATATTTAAATATTGGTATAAACATATATGTACATAGAAAAGGACCGCAAAATTTTAATGAACATCAAACTGATATTTAGATTTATACGTACATGCGAATATAAAGGGTTAATTAGGGTAAACTGAAACAGATTTTATAACTTTATCTAAATATGTGATCTTAATGTATTTGAAATATTAATGTTTCTAAAATTAAAGTGTAAATATTTGTCAATTAAAGTATACTGATTAAATAAAAAGAGTTAGAAATCCTTTTTATAAACATAGATTAAACACTTCATTTCAATATAAAAGATATATTTTTACTCTCACGTCTTCAAATCAGATCAAAATCCTGTAAAGAACAGGGTCATACAAAAATACAAATTATATGCAAAGTTATGCATATTTATTTTATTTGTATGATATTTAAATGTCTTTTATTTGCAACAGATCTACGCATATTATAAATAAATTGCTTGATTGTATAGTCATTTAGTTCAGAACGCATCCCATGCACGGTGTCGCAGTCAGTATTTTAAGTTTAGGTTATTATCAAAATGTCCCGTTTAACTAGATCTCAAAGAGAACTAGAATAGTTATAAAGTTCAAAGTCTCATAATTTGATACAAATGTACTTGTTCAAATTAACTAAATACTTCAATAATCAGTGACACATAATTATTTTTTACCTTCTAAATCCAAATTAAATAGCAGTTTTTTTGGTATTCAAATAAATTAAGTTAATAATTTACTTTAAAACAGTTCTTTTAAGGTCTTTAAAACAGTTCTTTTAAAATTGTTGTTTTGTAATGTAAATTTTGTCCATTGAAACATGGAATTTTTATAAAAAAACCTGAATCATTTATTGACCTTGACAATGACCATGCATCTACAAGATCGACCATAGCTGACCAATACATAGATGGCTCACGCACACAGAGATAAATCGACATGCACATACACGCCTCAGTGCACGACGATACGATGCAACGATTGCACGCTCTAAAAGATTTATAGATAAATGCAGTTCCCGGTGAAAATAGATAAATGCCAGTGTTCATGTCGTTTCTACACATTTCAATAGGCGCAAGCGCATTGTCTGGACACGTGTGACATTAACAGGACAGCCGCGGCGTAAAACAAAATGGTTCCCCGCGGAATAATAGTCCTGTGGTTTTGTGTCTTCCTGGCATCGACTTCTGCGGATAACTTGGAAACTGGGGTGAAGCTCATCAGGAGGTTGTACGATAATTGCGAGAATTCACAGGAAATCCTTAAATGTTTTAAAATTCAGGCAGCAAAACTTGTTGGTCGAGCGGCAAGAGCAGAAACACTTCCGATTTTTGATGGAATTTACCTTAAAAGAACTGCAGATCATGGACGAGCTTTTCCCTCTACGATTCCAGAAGGCAACTTGAATTCCTTGAATTCAAATGAAGTTGACGAGCTTTTAGATATTGAAATAGGAAATTTGATTAAGACCCACCGTGTTGTGATTTCACCTTCAAAAGTTGGTGTAGATATTGGAAGATCAATGAATGAAGCGAGAAGTAAGTTAAAGAAAATGATGGGCCCAATTTTAGCTGGAGTGGCTATTAAAGGAGGATTTTTGGCAATTGCTTTCCAAGCCATTGCTATTATAGCTGGTAAGGCGTTATTAATCGGTAAAATTGCTTTACTACTGTCTGCTATCATCGGCTTGAAGAAACTTGTAGCTGGTGGAGAAGCACACGAAAAAACTACTTACGAGATCGTTAAGCATCCTCAGGTTTCACAGAGTCATACATATTCTTCTTCACATTACGGCAGTGACTTTGATACGACCGGACCTGGAGGACACTATAGACGAAGCGTTGAAGAAGAGGCAGCTGCTCAGGACAGAGCTTATAGAGCTTACGCTAAGACGCAACAATAAGTAAAACCTGGAAGATGACTTACGACTCTTTTATATATTACAACGACATAGATACTTAGTTAAATAAAATTACCTCTAATATCCGAAATATTTCGGTTTTTTCTCTTGCAAACAGAGATATGTTGTCTGCGACACTTTTAATTTATTTTAGTGTATATTTTAATTAGGATGTGTTATACAATGCTTAATCCAAATAGTTATTTGCAGGAATGCCTATAATAATTAGTTTTATGTAAATAGTTATAAATGTTTTAATTAAGTTTATCTTTTATTCATATCTTTGCACCAAATAAGGCTATTATAAATATTGCTAATGCTTAAAATAGTATTAGTTACGATAAAAATTATAGTGGAATATGAATGGCATATTAAATATTGTTAGTTAAGTCGACGGGTACTGTGCATTTCTATTCCATTTGTCCAATTTTGTAGAAATAGGGTAAGTTATATAGATAGTTTTATAATTATGGTGCGTTGCTATTTAGATTTTAAGTTAAATAATCTATTCATCAACGATCCTATTAAATTATGTATGTATTTTAGTATATATAAATGTCATACGACGAGGTGGTTACAAACGTACCTTTTGATATATTATTTCCTAATTATATTTTTATTAATCATATTTCTATTCAAATCAATATTAATAAATAAATCATTCAAAATATATTGATATGATTCCGGAAAAAATATAATTTTATCATACTGTTTCTTTAAAATATACCGAACACTAGGGGTCAGTTAAAAATATATAATTTTTTTTGGTGGATTTGTGTTTTATTTCAACAAAATATTTTATATATTGAATTAATTAATACCTAATTATTCCAATTCCTGTTTTGATTTTTAAAACAAAACAAGTTTTATAGATATATAGATCATATTTTATCGAAATTATAACTTGATTAAAATAAATTCTAAGTATGAAATAAAAAAGACACGTTACAAAATACTGAAATTAAGTAAAAGCACATATTATTACCTAATTATAATCAAGATGCACGCATGCAAATACCTGTTTTATGCCAACAATTGACTTAAAGGTGTATAATTATATATAATATTGTCTTTCAATGAGTTTTTTTTATACAGTCACAATTTTAGTACTTTTTAATATCCTTTCTCTCAAAGATAATAAAGGCTTAGAAAAAGACAGGTTTTAATTTTGTCATAAATTCTTAATACATATAAATATGATATAAATAGATTAGGTATACATAAATATTTTGTATAATATAAATAAAAAGAATAAAATATGGAGGTGAATTATATTATAGTCCAATAGAGATGGAGTCTATATAAACCAAAAAGCTATAGATTTTTAGACTTAAATATCCAGAGAAAAAACTAATTCCATATTTTATAATGTATATAATACTTACTTATTTATAATACATACTTGTACTTAAATAGCTTTGCCGTTTTTTTTGACCCGAGTTATTTTGTTATTTAAGTTTATTGTTTAGATATTACTTTATTTAAAGACATACAATTGATAGAATATGACATACATTTTTATTTCTATAGTTAAAATGGGAAGCGTGATAAAGATGCTGTGCAAAATAGTTCTGTTAATATAAATATGGTTTAAATATACAAATCCCATTTAATATACAATAATTAATTGTAAATAGGGTACAGCGGGAACAAAACTGTTACTGTTTTAAGTTATTTTTTTTTTCATTTTATACAAAACTACTGATAAATATCAAATAAGTTATTAAGCAATTATGTCATTTACAAATGAAAATATCAATGACACCACTGACCTATAAAATGACAGACAAATTTTTTATGGAAAATAATTTATTTCCCACCAATATTATCAATTACCTATATTTAACATGATTGATATTGTTTTCATTGAACTTTTGTCTGCAGAAAGGTCCGTTATCAAAACTAATTACGTAGTGGAGCACGTCCAAACACCTAATTAGTCCAATATACTTGGTATAAGAAATATCGAGAAAGCTTAGAATCAGTTAGAGCACGCAAAATATGTATCTAAGCATGTAGTTTTATCACGCAATGCAAGAGATAAAAAAAGATGAAAGTTATGAAAATTATTCGTTATGAGGAGATGGTCTAAATACCCATTAACAGAAATCATTTAATGAGGATTTAAATGTTTTGGAATATTGTGAGTTATATTGGTATTAACCTGAAAGATTTTGTTTTGAAATTTCTTTATTCAGAACTATAAATTTTGCTTTTTAAAAGACAGTCAAGAAGATTGAGAAGTGATATGAAGTCATATTTAGATTTCTTTTATTGAAATTACATTACATCTCATTATCAAAGTAAAGACTATCAATTGTAGTTTCCAGTTATTCAGAGCATGAAATAGCTGACTTTACACGGCAAACTACGTCTTACTTCAAATTCTGACCAAATAAAAGTAGACGTATCTAGATAAAGTAAAAAATCTATTACATTTATTACAAAAAAGCGTACAAAATTAACTGCAAGCTAATGTATAAATTAGTTATCATCAATTTATATCTTTAAATTGGAAGCGTGACTTATTGACTAGATATATAAAATTTATTGTTCTTTTAATTATATTATCTGCCATTAATGGGTGTCCAAGCGAAATCCCTTGTCGATTTTATTTTCTTCTCTTCCCTGGAATCGTTAATTTCCTTTTTAGTGACGAACAGTCTGTCAAATCGTTCTTTTAATTCCTCCGGTGTTATAGGAGCTGCTGTTGTTTGTTGAATGGATTTCAGATTGCTCTTATAGTAGTAATCTTCAGAGTTAGGATATCTGTGGTCATGGTAGCCTGAAATATATAATGATATTCCGAAAAAGGACAAATATGGAATAAAAATTTTCTGTAGTTTCTGGTTAAAGCAACCTAAAACTTACAAAATATTTATTGCCAAATGGGTCAAAAAACTCTATGTGATGCTGTATTTGTATTTAAAATGTTTTTACAGAACATGTGCAGGATGTTGAGGAATGCGTAGCTTAAAAATTATTTAAAGGAATTAAAGAACAAAGCAAAGAAAATTTAAATTATTCATTTTTCTTATATAAATTGTGTTTAGTATTCTATCTTAATTACTTTATATTTGTCCTCTAGAATAAGTGACGTAATAATAATCAAAAGATGTTATATTGAACACCTATGTACCTTCAGAACCATGATAATTATTATAGTGGTGGTCATGATCGTGATCATGTGAATGACCATGCCAGTTTCCATGCCCATGTGAAGTATATGATGACAGAATTGGATTATATGACCCAAGACCACCAAGTCCTCCATTGTTCCACTGATTACTATAACTGTTAAATCCGAAATTGCCCGAAAATAATGTAACAGCCAAAAATGCTAATTTTGCTAAAAAGAAAGCCTTTTTGCTGGCTAACAAAACAACCCCCAGTAACAATGGTAATAAAGTAGATAATTGAAATTTAAAACCCAATAAAAATGGTACCAATAAATTTCGGGTAAGCAGCCGTCCTGCAAAAAAAAACTCTAATAAGTTTTTTATTAGACTAACATTTTTATTATTTTTATACCTTACAATCTCTGTATTAATATACACTCTATAAATTTCTTTAACTCATAGTTAAAGCATGTTTCATAACATTCTCCACAAACAAAAGATGGCGCAACATTCAAGTTCAATGCGAAGGCCTTCAAGTGTGTAGTTTTGAAATTAAAGCATAGATGGCGTTCTTTACAAAAATTGATAATATTTATTTTTACTTTTAATTATATTTAATATTCATAGTGATTTAAATTAAAAAAATAAACATCATAAGCCTAGTAATCATTACTATGTAATAATTATTTTTAAAATCTTACGAGTCGTCATTTCTCCTTGATTGTGATAACTTCTCTCTTTTACTTTTGGATCAATTATAAACTCAAGAATTCCATTGGCTAATGTCGGACCGATTCTCAATACTAGCCCTGGGTATACAACCCCTAAATCCCAGTGTAGAGCACGATTTGAAATAAGACTACTAGCTTCTTCCATGACGGATCTAAAATAAAGTAGTTATTTGAAATACTCTATAAGTTATAATGCCAAAACTGTGGCAAATATATTATAAGATAGTAAGGGTTTTTACACATAAAATGTTTGTTTTGGGTAAGGAGTGATAATCAAAATTAATTTTAAAATAGTTGTTACCGAAAGTCCATAGGATCCTTATCCAAAAAGTTCCCAATACTTCTGGGACCCTTTTCATCTCTAACAAACGCTACCCCGTTGGCTAAACTGAAGGTATCTCTTTCATCATAAGCACTTAACGTATTTAATAATTCTTTCCCAAAACAAACACCAACTTCAGAACGTCCAGACACACTTAAACACTGATTCAGTTGCGATCCATCTATATTATTTCCTTTTAAGTCCTCACTTCCTTGCATCTGAATTGGTATTATCTCCACAATTACAGATAGAATTACTACAACAGTGAGTTTAGTTAAAAATTTTGGGGACATTGTTATTTTAACTGCAGAGAGCTGTGTGTGCACCGATTCGAATATTACGTATACTTTATTGTAACAAAACTTGCACAGTTTTATAGACTTACTTGATATGTACGAATGAACTTTGCCATTGTTTCCGAGCCCGTCACGGGATGTTTCCCACGACTGGGCTAACAATAAGGTGAAAATTCGTTGCGGATAATTTGCATTGCAAGATTCTTGTGAGAGTGTTATTTGCATGTTACATAGCTTATGTAATATTAGTCATATCTATAGAATACCGCTAACTTGCTATACAATATATTGGTTCTGGTCGTTTTGTTTTATATTTTCAACAATATGGAAAAAGCATTAAATCCAGATGACGTGAGACCATCTATGAAGTCCTTTTGAGAACCGTTTTATATATTTAGCTGTGAATATTTTAAGAGAATTCGATTTAAGTCATGTTTTCTTGATTGAAATGATATGGCTAAAAATCATAATCCTAGTTATCCTTTCATAAAGCTTTAATCTTCAATTATTGTATTAATTCAATTTAATTTTATTAAAAAACTCATTTATGAATCCAATGTAATGAAGAAAAAAAAATATTATATAATAATTATATATAACTTTCCAAAATCAGTTATTACCTCCCGCTCCAACATTAAAAACTATACATAATCTTTTTTCATCAACCATAAAAATAACCTGCCATTAACTTGTTAGGCCTTTGACCTCTTCATTGTTTAACAACCTGTCTGTTTGTCTAGAAATGTCTTAATATATAATATTAGTTTAGAGAACAACAAGCTCTATTGCCTTATGCAATTGGGACTAATATTTGTTAAAGACATGTCAGTTTTAAGACGTTTGTTACGTAAAACGTATTGAGAAGTGAAAGTCGACAATCCATTATTTTTAGTTATATGTCCGGTTTGGCTTAAGTAAAAGTTTTGTTTGAATGACGTAATATATTCTCGTTTTGCTTTAACAGTCATTGTTTTTACTTAACGTAATAAATACACATATCACAATGAAATAAAAACTCCTCGTGATAAATAAAAGCGTCCAGATATTCATGTTTGTGGTCTTTAGATTTAATTGCAACTACTGTTGTTATTTAAAAAAAAACGACAAATTTCGTTTTAATAACAGCTATATTTTAAAATTTGATAAATTGAGTTAAGAATTAATTGTTTTGTTGGTCATTAAGTTTTCGTCATATTATTTAAATTGCAGTTTTCGCTGACTGCATATTTATTGACCTTTTGCTAACATTAGTCATTCCACTTTCACCGTTGTCGCTGAAGGAACGTGGATTTTAGCATCTCTTTCATTATATGTAAACTCCCCCACCTTCATTAAAAACGTCACAAATTTTATATTACCAATAAAAACTATATATTTTTAAACAATAGGTCTTAATGCAAATTTTGTAAGATACATTATTGAATGGCCGTTTGTTTTAATTAGTGAAATATGTTTGTTGAACAAGTGCTTCAGCATTTATACATTCTTCATCCTGGAAAACATATCAGACTTAAGAAATGCATATAAATAAAGTCGAAAATCGAATAAAATTTTTCGTTCCAAGTTAAGGTGTTGAACATTGAAATACTGAATTCTGAGTTTTTTTATTATGAAGACATAAGGTTCGGAATGGCGTTACGATGTTTTTATTCTGAGTTCAGTTTAAATGAAAAGCTATGAATGTAAACCGGATACGGGAGTGTGTGGAGAAATTTCTTTAAGTTTTTTTTTAGGTAAAGGATGTTGTGGGCGTTCGTCACAAATCTCTGTGACATAAGGTGATATGACAGCTATTACCCAATCCACAATTCCCCGAAACGCGTTATGTGAAAGATTTCTTTCTGAGAATTTTGGTTATAAAGTTGTTACATTTCCTGACATTTTATATAAATTATGTTGCATTGAATTTCTTATTATTACTTTTAGTTCCGTTAATTAATGATAATTAATACGACGATATCCGCAATAACGATGTAGAATGGACAGAAATGTTATTGCTAATGCGAAAGTGTATAATCACGTCAAAAGATATTAGCTAAAAAAAAGTGTCTTTTTATTAATCCTTATGTTTCGTAATAGTTATTTATAATTACATTTCACTAAATAAATGTATCAATATTCAGTGCTACGAGTATAAATAAATTAATTACCGTATTATTTTTCAAACAATCCAATATTATTATTATTACTTTGTTACTGTAAATAACTTTACTTTATTATTACCCAAAAATTACTTTACTATCACAAAACATTTTTATGGCGTTCAAAACCTCTTATATACCAAATATTTGAATGAAAAGATAAAAATGACTCAATATAAATTTCACTTTTATTTAACAAGAAAACGCAAGCATTGTGATTAAAATAGCAACAAAATAATGTAACAATTTTCCTATATTACTTAGTGGCATGTTAAACGCTAAAATGTTTTTTCTATCAGGAAACATTACCAATTACATACTTGTTGGATTTAAATGTGCAACCGTTGATGGTTTCCGCCATTGTGACTTAAAAAGTAATCGCATGTGCCATGTTACTTTTAATTTGATAGCAATAAATCATGTAACTTATTAGCCATTTTCTCATTATTCAAACAACCCACGATAATATATTGTACGTATTAGAATATAAAAAAAAAAAAACTTATAATATTTTGCTGGAACAGCAATTCATTTTACACGCGTTACTTTCAGACTAATTGAACGATAAATAATTTGAATTTGACAAGTCATTATATTAACTGGTTACCAATTAATTTTTTTGTAATAAAATTATTATTTATTCGTACTTTAACTCTAGAGTAATAAGGTATATAAAAGAATATATTAAATTGTTTATTTACTATACGACGAAATACAGAATATATTTATATTGGAAATTTTTCCAATTGTGTATTAACACATTGATATCATACATTCTATGTATAAGCAATATTAATTACTGATAAGTAATAAAATAATCCTCTATGAATTATATTTAGTGGTCACAATTTATATTAAGCGTATCTGATATTATAAAAACAGGTCTGTCATAAATCTGATGGCACTTTCAAATTAATTGCACAACGAAATACATCCGTAAAGAAACTCAGGTTGTGTGTGTGCGTCATTCATTCATGGTAACGTAAATACTACACTAACAAGTTCACGTAAGGTTTTGAAACGAATATATGTTTATATAATTCTAGTATGCATGAATGTAATATTAAATGAGATTTTAATAAATATATATACCGTTGATTAAGAATGATATAGTTTCCGAGTAATTGAGATTCAATTAATATAAATAAAAGTAATAGTTTTGGATCACTATGAAATTTTTTTTTTCATTTCCTTTCCCGTGATCACGGTGGCAGCAAAGTTGTTAAAACTTCGGGAGTATGTAGTTTAAAATAATGCAAATGCGATAGTATATTCGAAACAATAGTTTTATTTCAATAAATACTCGTGAGTCTTAGATTTCATTCAATTAATATTTTATAGTTTTTCTTTCAACTGTTATGAGGTCATGAGTGATCCTGCTTGTGATTGTTATTATCTTTGGCTAGGGTTTGATACAAGAGAAATAAAGGTAATATGTCGATATACATAGTATCTAATTTACATCAATGTTTTGAGATAGAATACAACTAGCAAAAAAAAAACTTCAGGTAGTCTCGTATTGACTTAATATAAAATCTAGATTTTTACTTGATTGAGAACATATTATTGGCGGTCTTATAAAAGTATATAGATTATTTAATCGTCTATAAAACTAGCTACATAAGTGTAAAAACCTTTCATTATGACTTAATATACTTGAAATGAAAACTTCGAATGAATTTAAAACATAATTCAAGAAACCTAAAAACGTGGAAAAAGCTTAAAAACTTAAAAAAAATCACACACTACCCTTACACTGACACACTCACACGCATATATAGTCCATGAAGATTCCTCACTGTGTATTGTCATTTCTATTCTAGTACTGATTTTGAATATAAAACGTTGACATTGTCAAAATATTAAGCGATTCCAGTGCGAATGAAGCAATAGCATAAAAAAGTAATCAATATAAAATGGTTGAATATCGATTGTTAGGCTATATATAATTATCTATAAATAACGTATATATTTAATTAGAAAATTATAGTTTAGTATTGGTGGTTAGTGTTACAAGTTACTAAGATAATTTTCTTTACGCATCCGTTATGTTTCTTACAAATATATTATCCACGGGCTATTAATTTGGCCTATAACCATTCAACGGCTCTCATATAGCTGTACAGTTTTTTTATAAATTAAAAGGGCTGGTACACGAGATATTAGTGATATAAATTCCTTTATATATAACTTGTATTAATAAACCTTCTACATGTATAGAAAATATGTATATATAATATTATTATTCCTGTGCTTAATTTTTTCTGCTACGGAAACAAAAACTTGTAATTAGTACGAATTTAAGCTTAATGTGTATGAAAATATAACTCAAAATAACTTTTTGATAACTGTTATGTCCTCTCTGTTCAGGATAGCGACATCCTTGTAGCCTGCCTTTCAGTAAATATATCTTAAAAACATATTGATTTGCTATTAAATTTATCCAAATACTTTTTAAATATAAATTGTATGTTATATCAAATTGTAAGATTAGAAAAAGTTGCGTCAGAACTAATTGTTACAGTGAGTCCCAAACGTAATCTTTCATGTTGTGTACCAAATTTAAGCCTTATTTCCAACGAATCCGCAATCCATATTAGTTTTTTATAACTAGACTAAATATTTTTTAAATCATAAAAATTCTGTTATTAATGAATACTTAAAATGTTGAAACTAGAAAACATAAGTTTGAAAATTAGAACATACAAGGACGAGATACGTTTAACAAAAAAAAGTGTGAATAAGTACGTGAACATGAGTTATATGCATCTTTAGATAATTATGAAAATAGATGTGAAATTTAATAATTAATATGTTTTAATATTGAAACATTAATGAAAGATGACAAAGTGTATTCATAGTCTAATCCACAAATAATTGAGAGGAATTGTTATTAAATTGAATTACACTTACACTCTTACAACTTTAGAAATATAATATAAATAATATTTCTTTGGGTATTAAAATTTTATTTGTTATACTATTAAATATTTAAGTTTATACTGATCTTCTAATATTACGTGTTCATGAAACCAAGCAACAGAATATAAGTGATTATAATATTAAAATAATAAATATAGACATTTTATGAAAAATACTTAAGTGATCGAACATAAAATATACAAATAATAATGACTAGATCTTAACAGACAAATTTGAATTTCATTGATTGTTTAGAATCATGTAACATACGCCTGCTAGTTCTTAATGCGTCCTTAAACTTATAATAAATTGTAATCAACTTATCACAAATAAAGTATATAATTATACTTTAACTATGAATAAATGCGTGATCGATTTCTTTAGAACACATTGTAGCGTGTAAGTGAAAATAAATGTGGTCTTATCTATAGTTAAGTTACAAAGTAATGAATTAACTCAAATGAATGTTTCTAAAACCGAATATATTGTGATCCAATATTTAATAATATTGTAAAGTTTTTATGTTATTGTAAAGCATTTTGTTATTAAACATCCTTCATTTAATTCTTATAGAAGTATAATTAATTTGACACTTTCATCTCATCTGTAAAGTTGCTGTAAAGGAACAGAAACGTCTGATCATGTTGATATAAAAGAATAAAAATGCGTACTACTGATTGGAGTATCTAAACCTTTATAAGTTTATTTGTAAGTATGTTTCATATTAGATGCTCTATACATATAGACACAGTTACGTTTGCTTGTTTCTTAATTTAACTTTGTAATTTTTAATGACCATCGCCTATCACGCTAATATTCAGTCAACTTCATTTATACTATTTTATACCACAAATAAGACGATGTAGATAAATCTAGAAAATACGTAATTTTATCTATAAAATTAATATTTTTTTGGCAGATATCTGTTGATATTCAATTATCATGATAGGTTTAAAAAAAAAAGGTTTTTCTTGATATACTAAAACATGTTGCTGTGTTCAATATGTTATGAGTCTTCTACGTGTTCAGTTGCTTGACAAGTTTTAATAATACTATTATGGTGGTAGACTTAATGAACGGTAAATCTGGTGGAATTTTCTCTTATTGCTGAGCAACAAGAGCTGCGCTAAATATAACAATAATAACTCGATCACTTATCGTACGGAAGCACTTCTAACGTTTAAGATACCCTTTTCTGTTTAAATAATATATGAAAGTATGTTTAGAGACTATGATAGGTACTCGTAATCAATTACTATTGTCATAAATGAAATAGTTAAATGTTACAATTCTTTGACTGAATACATATCAATTAAATTTTGAACTTTAAGCATCGTGCTAGAAAGAAAGCAAATGAAAATAATTCATATTAAAAACATCGAAATCGAAGACTTTACAATTCTGTTCATTATTCATACCCTCACTTTTATCACAAATATTTAATATTGCCTTAACTGTACATAATTTCTGAAAAAATAAGAAAATTGCATACAAAATTTATCGACTAAGTATGACACTAGTTTATTGAATGACTTCAGGTACAGTGAGGCAGATAAATCTTTTTGAATTTTGAGATTTTTTTTTTATAAAGTTTAAGTAAATTTGTGATATACGATTTTTTGACGATCCATATAAAATACCATTATTAACTATTAGTTAATATTTGTTTAAATCCATGTCATTCAGATTGTATAATAATTAATTTCCCATAACATTATTGGTTCAGGTTTTATACATTGAATAGAAGACATTAATTTTTTAGGACTATTTAGATTATTAATTTTAGACCACTTAGGCACTTAAATGTATAAGATTATTACTACGAATGTACTATATGTTGAATAAATGCATCGATGCATCCCTCTCGACAAAGTCCAGTGTACCGTGAAACTAAGCGCATATAAACGCTAACACTGTTACAGTTTTAAACACAGTACCTAATCCACCACGAACGTGCGAACGACAACAAAATGGTACCACATTACCTGCTTGTTTTGACCTTGGCAGTAGCCGTCAGCGCACGGACGGCATCAACAAATCAAAACAAAGTTGAACAAGCCAGAAGTTCGGAGGACACTGTTTTAGGAGATTTAAAAATCGCTTACGACACATACAAAGACTGCAGTGGCAGCGATATCACTCACTGTCTTAAACTAAAGCTGGCAAAGGCATTGAACAGGATATCTAAAAGCGACGAAATCGACCTCTTAGGTGGAGTGACTATCACCAAAAATAAAGATGCAGTCCAAAAAGTGGAATATGAAGAAGCGATTCCGAGAGGTCTTGACGAGAGCTCATTGGACAGCCTCATCTTTGACAAAATCGTTGGATTCATGCAAACTCATACAGTCCAGGTAAAATATAGTAAATTTTACATTGATACAATAAAACAACATAAACTTTTGTAATGGCACTTTTTTAGCTCAGTTTTTTGACTCTGGATTCAATTTAACATTATCTGATGACATTTATTTGGAATTTTTATATGTATGTTCACAATTTCATTTAATAAGACTTTGGCTACTTAGTTTCAATATCTCCGGAAAGTAGTTTGTCATCGGTTTACCATAGTTTCTACGTACTAAGATAAATGACGAACATTGTGTGTTATAGAAAAAAAAATTAGTTACTTATCATCTTTTATATGTCAAGGACGAATAGTAAGCAATGAACTGCAAAGAAATTATAAACCTAATACACATCAGAAATGCTAAGATTTCAGGGAATATATATTTATGGAACCTCCAGGTCCCGTATTTAACTCTGTCTTGTTAGTTTCTCTACTGGTTTAATTACTATTTCCATCTGGAGTGGATACAACTAACGACGAGTTTTCTAAAATACACAGTTTTTTGTTGTCCGTTAGTGATTGATGATAGATAAATTACTTTCAAAGGGCTGTCATATATTTAATAAACCATGACCTTGAAATTTTTTTACACATTTTGATAACACATTATGCAGCTTAATTCAGACACTTTGTATGAGGTAAGCGTATTTCTATTACGTTGCTTTAAACGCTGAAATAAATAGTTTTCTATGCCAGTTTTTGGACACAGAAAAGTCCTTACTTTTATATGTTTTTTAATATATTGTCAATTTTGTGTATCTTTATTTTCATAGATAAATTACAGCTTATAGCCGAAAAACATTATTTGATAGTATTTCTTTTTAATTTAAAAGAAAAGAAATCAGTTGGAATAACCTTCCCTTAGAATAGTTGATTAAATAGATTTGTTTAATTCTTAATGATTACATTTACTAATAAATTAACCATTATGTCATGTTTAACTGCAGTTACCATTAAACTATCAAGGTTAATGTTAGATTGCTTGTTATGGCGTCACAAATTAGTATTCATCCTGCACCCACTATCAAGTTCAACAACTTTTTAATTGCTTCTTTTATTTCATAATACTACATAATATAATATAACCAAAAAGTAATACATCTAGGTTTTTTGGAAATAATTTTTCAAAATAATCTATTACTTTCACTGATGATTGATTGGCTGAATGGGTTCATATAAACCAGGAAGTACGATCCTTACGGTTGATCGTGCAAAAAAATTATAATTATTAGAAAATAATTAACACGATATTCATTCCATACCACCAGACGACGCACCGTGACAGCTTTCACGATGTTTAATTGCACGCAATTAATTTCTGCATTTTTCTCCTTTTCACACTCTATTAAGTTTTCATAATTACCGTTTCATGCGATGTTGGGATTAAATCTTTTGCTCTTATATATATCTTGCTCAAATGATTTATAAGTCGGAAATCTTAAAATACATTTTATTGATAACATTAATGAATTGATACAGTTTTTTGACTTCGAGGCTTAAGCAAGATTATTTTCGCATACATCGATATTTTTTTTGTTTTTCAGATGAAGATATTATTGTCATAGTTATTGAAAACCTTGCTATGAAACAATACTTATTTATTAACAGAAACTATATCACATATTACTAATATTCATCTTAGGTCAAGTTCCCGAGCGGCTCAGACTTGCAACGCGCGTTTGCTGAAGATCGTGCCAGAAGGAAGAAGTTGGCCCCGCTCCTCGCTATCCCCCTTCTAATCGGGGGTATGATGGTTCCATTGGCCTTCGGAGCTCTGGCACTTTTAGCTGGAAAGGCTCTGATTGTGTCCAAACTGGCGCTGGTGCTTGCCGGTATCATTGGTCTGAAGAAACTCCTCTCATCGAACGGCACCGGTGAAGCCCATGAAGTAGTTGTTTCAGCTGGCCATGGAGGAGCTGGGTGGAGCAGGTAATAAAAACGAATTGAATTACAACAGATTTTTAGTATCATTTAATATATTTGAGATTTTATACAAAAACATATGTTTATCAACGTCAGTACCTTCTTACTATTCTGTTCTATTAAATAATTTACATTAACTAAGCAAGATGTAAATATTGTAACAAAACTAATGCAGTTTTTAGGGAATATTAACTAAAATTATAAAGTGTGTTATGAGATTAATTTAGCATATAAGTTTAATCTCTTTTCTGATTTCTAGGTCCCTCGAAAACGCCCAAGACCTTGCATACAACGCTTACACCCAATAAGCAGCCTTATAAAGCAAATTAAATTATTTAAAAGTTTTAAGAAAAACTAACTTATAAACCCTAGGATATATGTAATACGCAGACCCGCCAACTTAAGTAAAAATGAGAGTACTTCTTTGATATTGAACAGACATGTTGTTAGAAATACTCAATGAATGAAAACACGTCTGGATTCAAAGAATGACTTTTAGGTTTACAAAATTATATAAACATAATCATTTTACAGTAAATAAAACATCTAGTGAAAAAAAAAACATATTTATAAGTACAATACGAATTATTTATTATTGGAATATATTATTTATACTTATTTAAATGGATAAAACTAACTGACGAGCGGCATACAACGGACAACGATCACGCAAATTGAGTTATTGGTATTATATTTATATTATTTTTCATTAGATATTAAAAGTACCACAATACTCTAACTTATAAATTTAATATAATATATAATTATATAATTTTTGTATATAAATAATTATATATAAATGAGCGAGTCTTTGGAATTTGCTTTAATAATAATTAATAACTGTTATAGTATTTGTAATATAATGTACATAAATCATGGGCATATTCATATCATATCATATAAATTTATATATGTATTGTATTTATAAAATATATTTTCATATAAATATCGGTTCTATTGATAGCAGATATATATTGTATTCATATATAATTTATTAATTGATATGTACATATGTAAATAAAGTAGTGCATTTATTTAGTATATCAATATCAACAAAAATATTTATTTTATGTATTTAATATCTATTACACAGATCTCATATATGTTTATATATTAATATTATATTATATATTCTTGCCTCAAGTATAAATAAAGTGAAAGGTAACTTAATATTTATTTTTCTGAATGAATGTTTTTTTGTTTATCCGTACTTCTCGATTTATGAACTTATTTCTGATTATGAAAATTAAACTATTGATTAATGGAAGGGTGTCTTTTATTTTATACTAGTTTTTGCCCGCGACTTCGTCCGCGTTAATTTCATCATTAGTAATATATGTTTAGCTGACCGGGCGAACTCTATCCCGTCCTAGAGGCCATAAATAGCCTGGTTTTTCCTGTTTCAATCGAACAGAATGATTGACATATTAGTTAATTGTCAAATCTAATGTCAAAGAAAAAATTTGTATGGGAAATAGAAAAGGGCTGTTTTTAGGGTTTTCCTGGAAATGAATCAATTTTTCTTACCTTTTAAACCTTCCCTGAACCTCCACGAAGATTTCAAGACTAAGATAAGATAAATCCGTTCAGCCGTTCTCGAGTTTTAGCGAGACTAAGGAACAGCAATCCATTTTTATATATATAGAAGATAAGAAATTAACACATTTCAGGAGTATAAATTATTAATATTTTCTATCCCAAAAAAAAATGCGTTTTCATATGAAAAACTAACACTTTTTATATAAAGCTTTTCATGGGAAATGTTTTCTAATTTCTCAGCCTGAATTAATAGAAGTAATAAAAAAGGCACTTTTCAATCTTCATATTATTATACCATTGTAAAGTGGATAAAAAACACTTCTAAAATTGTAAAACCTTTTTTATTGTAGCCGTCGTCATGATGCTACTTAGAAAATCAAGAATGATTTGAACAGAATCAGAATGAATTGAACAGAAACAGAAAACAGAATCTAGTCATTCTTTCTGTCCCGAAACCCTAACACTACCTTACGATTTTTTTAAAGTAAGATGGAATTTTCTTCTAACTCTTATACACAAATATCAAGACTTGAAAACTATAATAGTACTTATTGGAATACATCAAAATTTTACTACTTTCTTATATCAACAGTTTTATGGTAATGTTTAGTGTTAATCGATATCAATTCTATTGGCGCTCGCTGGCGTTTTTATGATAAAATACAATTACATATATAAGAATATGCTATAAGAGCAAGTAATTGTTGTGATACGAATGTACGTTGTCATAAAATTATTCATAACTAACTTAAATAATGGCCCTGATGCCTTTGCCTGCTTTGACCTATACACTATAATTTGACCATTAAGCTTTCTCCCTTGCCACTCCCAAATATTAAATATTAATATGATGAGTATGCATGCAATGAGTAAATTTTACGTTTATGATAAAATCAATTTATTTAAAAGTGTTTTGTAGTGAAATATTTTGAATTGATATATTTGCGGCCTTGATACAATGTCATTATGGGGTTGATTTATATGGATAATTGAATTAAGTGTGATGGAAGCCAATACCTGTTGGATACTTATCCACTTAGCTACTTAGCTAACTGGGTTTAATTTAGGCTCTTGCGGTGTGCAATTAAAATTTTAACACCTGTACTAAAATACTTTAGGTAACAAAAACAGACATAAGCTTTTAAAATACCCTTATATAGAGATAAAGAAATACATCAAGAAAATTCGAGAGAAAAAGCTTATCCTATTTGACGTATTTGATAATAGCAATATCCTAGGAGTGTGTATGAAATGTTACAATTCTAAAACATGTTAAATGATATAAGTTTAATCGAATAAAAATGTTTTTAACAATTTAACACTAATACAGACGATACTAAATATTCTACGATTAGTAGATAAATAACGAAAACCTTGAATTCAATGTATAAAAAAGGCTAACCATTCTAAGTGAAAACGGACTACTACCGATGAAATTAGGATAGAAAAAATTTAGGTGGACGACCTTTGAATACCAGTCAGGAATTTCTGAGTTTCTCTTCGGGAGCAGGATGACAAAAAAGGGCTTTAGAAAAGAAAAGGCGGCAGACGTCAAGCAAGAAACTTTTAAAGTTAAATAGTGTTTATGTTTGAAGATGAATGCCTTCGTATATCAGTTTTTGAAGGATTTAGAAGTTTTTTTTATGATTGAATAATAAACACACAAAAAACAAACTTTCACATTTATATGTGGAATTATATGTGGAATTTGTAGATATAGTGTATAGACAATAACGGTGTCCTCTTGACATTAATTAATATGAAATTCTAGGTAATTTAAATGTAGTCTGAATATATTTAAGTTTTTTTTTTGGCAAATAAAGTATCGTCTTGTTGACATATAATAAGCCAGTACTAAGTTTATTTCACGATTTAGATAAGCTTAATCATTAAATACATCTTTGGTGGAACATCCGCATGTATGTCTGATAATACTATCATATAAGGCCCTAATTGTTGGCTTGGCAGGACTATGAACATTCTAATAGCTACCGGTATTTCAAACAAAAAATAAAGAGGAGAAATTGTTTTTCGTAAGCCAGTAATGATTTATGTAAACACTAAACAACATTGTTATATAGTTTTTTCAAGTTTAATTAAGTAATTCTAAAAAACAGATAGAAAAACATCCATCATTACAGAAAATCAAAATTGTAATGAATTACGTGCGATTTTTTCGTCCAATTATAATTTAGATAATTAGCTAAGTTATTTTTAAAATTCTTGGTATTTGGTAATAAAAAAATAATAATATAGGATAACAAAATCATTAGTCAAATAAATAAAAAAATTATTACGGAAGCTGTTAATTATAACGCTAGAAGCGGCTCATAAAATCCTCGAAATCACTTTCACTGGACGCATTTTTGCAAACACGTGCCTCGCCTCGCAACTATGACCTTTATTTCCGCGTTTGAGGTTTTGTGTCATCAAAGTGGAATTTTGTATTTGCATAAATTTTTCATTCATATCCTTACTTAGGGACCAATAAGTGTTACAAACTGTTTTATTAGAAGAAAGTATCACAGTTTTATATTTAACTATAAATTCTTTATTAACTTTTAGAGCCAACGATAATATTCTACTACGATTTTATAAAACAAATACATATTCTGAAAAATATGTTTAATGATAACTGAAAATAAATGAACAAACACATGTATTCTATTAAATAGCACAAGCAATTTGTTGTTTAAGTAACTACGATTATTAAATAACGCTTATCGAAGTTTACGTACAATGACAACAGTCGTTACTATTGCTATAAAGGAAACCTTTCTTGAGAGTAACTGTTTTCTTTCAATGAGACTTGAACTATTTTCGTGATGTAATCATGTTATTTTAACTCTATATATACAGTATATGTGAGCAATTTTATAAAGAATATTTTATATGCTTTGTTGACTCTGAAAACAATTGATGTTATGCTTCGTTGTTTGGATATGCAAATGGTTTATTTTCATCACTTACAGGTTATAAATTTACAGTCTCATTTAATTAAAATTGAATTATTAAATTTTATAACAATTTTTAATACATTAAAATTAAAAATATGGTTCGTATATAGTTTAAAAAGAAAACCATGGAAGGAAATCTGTGTACAGAGATTGAAATAACGATGAAAAAAAGTATTTTTAGTTTGATTTAATTTCTAATATTTGTTTCTATTTAATGCTTTTTTATATTTCAAATGAATCCTTTCAGTTTTAGACTTAAATAGATCACAAAAGAACTTTCATTTTCCTAAATGGAGTTCATTACCTATTTCGTTATGTAAAATATTTAAGTCAATAAATAAAAAATAAAGTTCCTACTAAATAATTATACTAAATTGTGTTCGCGTGTGTGTAGTTAATAGTGTTTCTTGTTTGTAATTTTTCGTATGTGTGTGTAATTTTTCGTAAGTGTATATGTGTGCGTATTTTTTTATTAATCTACATGAGCGAGAATATACCTTAAAGTATTGTAGAACTAAAATGGTAACATCCGACTTTAGAAATCTAAACAGCTTTTAGCACGTTGAGTTTCCTCCGCGCATCAATTAGCTATTTCCCACACTATGCATGCACAACGACCAAATGATTTTGATACTTTATATTATAAATGCGTCTAAAAAATTAGAAACTTAATAAAAATATTTTATCAATATTATTAATTAGATATTTCTATCAACGTCGTAAATTGTCATAACGAGATACCACTTTCCCCGATATTTAAATTAAATTTTAATAAATTTGATCGTCTCACTTTAAATTAAACTCGGAATAAATATTACTCATTAGAATTATCACTTATCATTATATTATATATGTTTAATTTAAAAATTTATCAAATATATTTGAATACAGTAGTCACAAAAACTATATATATTTTAAATTTAGTGTTACTTTGAGACACACATACTAGTATGTTCAAGGTTTTTTATTCTGTACTGTTTTAAAAATAACGGTATTTATAAAAATACATTTTAATAGATGGAAAGTTTTGATCTACTGATCAGTGGCCCCCTGAATTAGTCATTGTTCTTATTCGTGAGAAAAAAAAACTCTCTGTTTAAAATTAAAATGAGACAAACATTGTGTTTAAATTTTTGTTTATGTAACAATTATAAAACTCGATTCTTAAAAAAAAATATGTTATTAATTTAACACAAACAATAGTAATTTTAAGTAGTTCAAATTATTTGATCTTCTTTATATATTTACATCATACATACATATACTTAAACAATACCATTTGAAACTTTTTCTTGAAAAATCTATTATCTAGTATCAAGATTATTTAAACTCGTATATATTTTTTTCATATTTGTCATCCCACGTTCATGTGGTTTCGAATTCAAGTCCAAAACACATCAAGTATACCGTATTAATATAAAACAATTTCATCTGTGCCCGTTTTAATCAGCCGCTTTAAGTTCACTTTTCTTGCGTCCGTTAGTAGTGGGGTGAGCGGCTTAAAACTGCCCGTCTTTACTGTGAAGCCACACTTTGTTTGCTAGCGTAGGGGTGTTGAATCAACATGAGGCGTTTCGCATTTGTCCTATTTGTGGCCTTCGTCCGGGCGATGCCAGCCCTGGATAAAGAAGTATCCGATCCTAGCCTGGCTAACAGCGTCATCGGCGTGGTCAAAGAATGCGTTGAAGAGGATGTTTCGTTGTGTCTTAAGGTGTGTTAAGTGAAGTGAACATTTGGATTGTTTGTGTTATTGCAATGCCAGTACTGTGAGATTTATTGGGTTAAAGATAGAGTTAAGTTCATATCAGTGGAAGCTCAGAGTAAATCATTTCTAATAAATTTATTTTTTGCAGGAAAAGGCCTTAAGATATGTCGAGAGTCTGTCTTCTGCGAGGGAGATGGATTTGGCTGATGGCATCACTTTAATTGGCACTGGTTCACCAAGGTCTGCTAGGTCTTTTGAGCCGTTAGCAGAAGAACCTAAAGCTAGAGAATCCCAAGTGGAGTCGAGACTCGTAGACTCAGCTGCTGACTTCTTGGAAAATCACGTGATCCAGTTCCGTATGCCATCATCAGCCATCGAGGGAATGAAGAGGTCTCTTGAAGAAGGTATGTAAATCATATTTCAGATATATATTCTTTAAATTATAAGCATAAAAAAGAATTATTAAATTATTCTGTAATTGACTACATCAGATAATTTGAAATAATTAAGTTGAATTTTAATTAAGTTCAACAAAACGTGTAAAAAATAACAATATTAATATCATTCAATTAATTTTAAATGCATTCGAGTTACACAATTATTATGAAATAAAAGAATGAGTTACGAAACAAATGTACAAATAGAAGAAAGAATACAAAAGAAAGATGCAAGTAGGCCACTGTCCGAAACTAAGTGGACGAAGATGAATTGATAATTTGCGGTTAACTTTATTTCAATGTTAAGGAAATAGAGCAAAAAATAATGAGATGGCGAGATAATTACCACTTTTTATCATAATAATTATTTTTCTTATAATACGGATCTAAGTTACAAAATATATATACCATAACTTTATTCATTTACAAACATGTACCATAATTTTGTTCAATGTAAAGCGTAGTTTTTTTTATAACAAATGAAAACTTTATTAGTTACCGTTGTTTTATATTTATAGCCAATTAGTGGTTCAATAAATTAGAGATAATTGATATAATTACTTTTAGGAGTAATTGTTCGTAACAATTCGTATAAAAAAAATATTCTTTATATTTACGACGACTTTAATTGTATAAATATTATTATACAAAACAACATACTTAACATTTTCTTTATAATAAAATTAAGTTATAATAAACACAAATATGAATTAGTAATATGAATACTGACCAAAATAAAAGTGTACCGACTTCATACAAACATCAAAACATGTGCGTAATACATACGTGACCCAATAATAAAGAATGTATTAGAAAATACAGGTGAGGTACAAGTTTAACATTGAAAGTCCATTCATGTGACTAACAAGTGTACCCATTACAAGTTGCGGTACCGATAGAGCTTACTGGAAAATATTGTAATCATACGCTCAACTTGCGTGTAGACACATCATTATATATATAATTATTACTTATAAGTAATTCAAACCAAGTTTATAAGTTAGTGGAGCAAAATGAAATGACTCGACAATTTCGTGAGCCTAACGCATACAGAAAAAAGTCTTTAGTATCGTAAATTTGTATCATTCCATTCATTGATCCGAATAAATTTACGTCATTGTAAAATGCCTTAGGCAAAGAAAGTGGTCAGATCATCCTTCCTCATACGTTTATTAGACATTTCCGTTCAATGTCCTTTCAAGCTTTCATGAGAAAACCAGTTTCCTTACAAGTCATCGAGAAATCGGCGCATGAGAACCACTCCCAGACTTTGAAGAAAGTTGATCTGCCACTCTGTTTGGCCAATTACTATGTTATACTTACAACTTTATTGTAAATTGATTTGTAGTTTGATATCTGAGTAATTGATCTTAATATGTAACTGATTGTATCGTTAACAGATGATTGACTGGTTTAAGATAGAACTATAATGGTTCTTCTTGCAGTCTTTTTATTGTAAAATAGGTAAAAAAGAACAATGATTTTTTTTGTTTTTAAGTACATAAGTTTAAAAATCATCTACAACATTATAATTATTTGAATAGTTTGATTGTAATTGAAAATATCATATGGTTTTTAGTAGTGATTTAAAAAGATATAAGTTTATTTATATATATTTAACTGTTGATAACAAGCAATAGAGATTAGTTTTAAATTTGTACTCATTTAGATTATACAAACGATATGAGAATCAACCAATGTAGGCGTCTAATAAGATAAAGTAAATAACGGGCTCACTTTCAATGTAAATACAAAAAGAAAGTTTAAGTAATTATTAGCACTCTATGCGTTGCTAGTTATTTAATGATCTTTTATGTTTATATTTTATATTGTTTGTTTATTTTTAGATCTTTTTTTCATAAAAAAGAATGTAGAAAAACATTTGCAATATTTAAAATAAATACTTTATTTACAGCTCGTGGTAAGAAGAAGAAGATTAAGCAGCTCCTCCCTCTTTTGGCTATCGCAAAACTGAAAATCATGGCCCTTATTCCCTTATTCCTTGGAATTATTGCCTTCGCTGCTGCTAAAGCAGTACTCTTAGCTAAGATTTCCCTTCTGGTTGCTGGTATCATTGCCCTCAAGAAGTTACTCGCCAGCAAACACCACGAGACTAGTTATGAAGTAGTCGCCCACCCACACCATGAAGAGCATTACGCTAGCAGTGGACACGGCTGGGGCAGGTCAATTGACGAAGCCCAAAACCTCGCCTATTCAGGACACATGAAGTCAGACTAAGGAATTCACGGGGTTCCATAAGGCGCGATCTTTGTAACCAAACTGTTTCATATTCATGCGAACGATAGAACGATAATAGATAACACACGATGGTTATTTATTTGTAGTCTTTAAGAATATTTATTGTATATTTATTCATAATCCCTTTGTGAGGGATGGTAATGAAAGTTGTTGTTGTTTTCCATAAAGTATGTTCTGCGTTTGTATGATCTTTCCTGTTGTACTATATTAGTATATATTTCACACCCTATACGGTATCCGTATTTGTGTATTTTGTTATGAACAAATATTTTACGATACTCGTAACTGTCTGTGCTAAGTTTTTTACTCTATGTGATCTAGTCCTAGTCCTCTCTCTAAGATCTATTCTCATATAACACTTTTATAGTTCTATTATATTCATTTTATTATTATTTTACTTCTGTTTATTCATATTTTTGTTCAAGTAGTTTTTATTTTGTATATTTTGTAAATATTGTATATAAATGTTTTACATTTTTACGTTTACGTATGTATATTTCACTGCGAACTTTCATATATATATATCTATCTTATATTCATTTTAATGCAATCACTCGTATATATGTATTTTTATTATTCATATATTTTATTATGATTCATTTATATTATTATCATTATATTTTCACTTTCACATACTATAAATATTTATTTAATTTATTATATCGTCTGGACAACGACTCGTACAAATAAAGAACTTAAATAAATTTTTGGTTTTATTTTTTTTGTATTTCAAAGTATAATTTTAACCCATATATTTAACCTTTAAAAATGGTTTTAGTTGATATCTGACATATAAAATACTTGATGAAATAGTCGAGCAGTTTATATCTCTAAGTCTTTTCCTTGATTGTTTTGTCAAATGTTTGAGGTATACAAATCTTAATTAATAAATTTTGGTGAATTATTGTAATAATCAGAATAAGAAATAAGCTATGGCTGATTCTTGAAACCACGATGTAAAGAATTTTCTTATATTTTGATAGTATTTAAAGTTTGAATCCTTACTAATCAAAATAAAATATGCACAAGGAAGTAATAATATGATTTCACATCAAATTTTTTCCTCGTTCCGTTACGAAACTTTGCATTTTTTCACATTTAATATAGTCATTGCGGCAGCATTGCATTTTTTATTGGAAGCAAAGAAATATATATCAATATGAATAAAATAAAATATATTCGTCTCATACATTTTTCTACATTTTTACACTGCTTTGTTTAAAACACAAGAGTCATTTGTATACACATATTTACATACATTTATATTGAGATATCAATTATTGAAAAAAATATATATTACAGTATAGATTACAACAAATTTGACTGAGCACTAGATTTATTGACGGTAACATGACCAACTAGCATTTAAATGATTTAAATCTCTTTCATACTAAAATAATATAAATCATATGTAGTATGTAGTTTATAAATTTAAACCAATGCAAATAACATAAAAATAAAGTATCCTAAACTGTAAAAAATCCATTTATTTTTTGCTAAATGAATTTCAGTTATATATATATAATAGTACAAAATATAATTTGCATATCGTAAACAGACATTTTAGGTCTTCATAGAGTTAAACATGTATTTGCAACAACTTGCTCACGGAACTTTCTTTGTTTGCTTATCACGTTCGTAACCGGAATTAGGTGCGCATGCGCAGAGATTTTGTCATTCAATGGCCTAATAATTCATACTATTATATGACATTCGTTAGTTTTGTTTGGATGGCTCTTTTGTGTTACGCAAATTAAGTAACAATGTAGAATATTTCTAAATAAAAATAATGGAGAATATGAATTGTATGTAAACTTAGTTTCTCTATCAATGACCAAAACAAGTAATAGAACAAATGTTTTCTCATTTAACTTTAATTATTCGATTGAAAGCTGAAACCGATGGTGACTTTTCTAGACGTATTGTACATCACTAATTTGTGAAAATCTTGCTTACATATTCTAAGAGGGGCCAGAGGCGATTCTTCCTACTTCCATGCTAGAAATTTAAGAGACATACTGTTTGCAACTTTATGAAAAAGGAAATAAGGCCTTAAATGTTTTTTTAAATCAGCCTACCCTCGTTTGGATGAAATAACTCTCTCTACAGTCCGTTATTGTTTAAGTTGTCTCAATACATAAAGCTGCTTTATACTATTGTTACTTTTTAACATTGAATGAAGCGGTCAAAGGTAATTTAAGATGGTTATGTCAAAATATAATGAACTGTATTGCTATGAAAGTAGAATGTAAATTAGCTTCGTTAAATTTCGGTATATCTCTTTGAACTCTTAAATGGATAGACGATAGCCAATGTTCTAAAAATGTGTTCAATATAGAGAGTACAAATTGTTTAGATAAATTAATGTTAAAATAAATAGTATCTTTAAAATAGAGTTAAGATCTGTTTCTATTAATTTTACTTAAACTATATGGTTTCTTAGCGTCATGCAGATTTAAAGCGATGTTTATCTAAACAAAGAGAGATTATACACAAGTGAAAACAAAAGTAATTCACAGTTAGATAAGCTTTTGTAGATAAACTACAATACAGACTTTCGAGAAAAATTTATGACGTACTACCAATGATTTAAAATAATTATAAAAGGTTATTGTTTTTAATTGATAAGATAACATGTGATATACGTTGATTAGTTGAAAAATAAATAAAGTAGATAATTTGTTCTTTCTTATGTTAAAAAAATATTTTGCTGAAAATTAATTACTACATTATACCTATAGGTAGTTAATTATCTTAATTAAATGAGTCTCGATCTGTCTCAAGTCTGCTCAACTCCGGTGGTCAAGAATCAGAGAATTACATAATTGAGCAGTTTAAATTCATGTTCTATACGTTTGATGTTTCTACTACACTTTCGCTAAATACGTTATGCCTTCAAATAGCCATTTAACACATCCTGTATAAGTAATATGAATGTCGAATAGCCGAATTATTATCGAGATTGGAAAGTTATCGATTTTTTTGACCGGATGAAACCAACATTTTTATAAAGCCTATCATAAATTCGACTCATAATATCCTTTATAGATGATGATATATAAAATTAAAGTTATTTTATTTGTAATTTGTAATTTATCGAAATAACATATTAATAATATAGATAATATGACGAAATTTTATAATACTATGAATGTCGTACTAAGCTGAGATTTATTATTAAACAATTTAATTGTTAAGCCGAGTTTCACCAAGAGTAATAAGATTTCTTTTCTCATATCTAACAATTTATGTATCTGTTCACAGGGTGATGAGAGCAGGAAATTATACAGTTGCTTACTGTTATAGAAGTGCGTTCAATTTTTATAAGAAAATTTATTCATAAAATATATGTATAAATTAAAATATATATGTATTATATAAATTAAAATATATATGTAATATGTATGTATATGCTTGCGATAAAAGCTATGAAAATATTTAAAATTCAATTAATAATAAAAAAAATTGTTCCGGAATTTAAATGAAGAGTTTATTTATTTTAATCGCCTTTAATTTAAACATTATGCAAAATAAAAAAATCGTTTTCGAAAAATTTTATATTCTCAAAAATTTCTAATACATAACCAGAATTGATTAGAAATTATTATAAATAAGAACAAGTGACCTAAATTGATCCTAGGATACTATCAAAGAAAGATCACTTGTTTCATGAATTAAAAAAGTTATGTTGCTTTAAGTCTTGATCTACCTATTGTTAATAGCAAAAAAAGATTTGTAATTTATAATGTCTGTGCAAATATAAATTGTAAATACACTTCCAAGTAACATCGTTTTTGTTAGAATTTTATGTTGTAAAAGAAATGCCCCGTATTGTTATATTTTCCTAAATAAACTGAATTAATATGAACAGTACATATATTTTATTTTTAACCTAGTCACCAAAGTAGTATTTATCTTAGAAACATGTTTGTCGTTTCATTTTAACAGGATTTTGTTAAGTCATACCGACGCATTTGTAAACTTTTGTTTAGAGAAAGCAATTATATAAAATTCTACTTGTTTTCTCGCCATAGATTATATTTGAGTAAAAAGTAAATTATTAAGACTTATTCCATTTTAAAATTTTCATTTATAATATATTTTAATGTACTTATTCAAATTTCCCCTGATACACATACAAGAAACATGCGTATATTGCATGACCATCAAAATAAAATGACAGTATTGAACCTATGACCTTTCGTATTCACAATTACAAAAGGTGTTCGGTTCATAAAAGAAAAAGCCACTTTCTCAAACTCTTCGTTACCTAATTCCATCACCAGTATTATTAAAATTGTAATTAAAAAAATGAAAAAAAAAAAAAATCTGGCGTAATTCATATTGTTAATAGCATAAAATCTAACGAGGATTCTAATGTAAGAACAATAATTTATTCAATATGCAAATATTTTAGAGTCTAAAAAATATTAAACTTTCATTGATTTTTATTTTTTACAAGATAAGAATAATTAATATATATTTACAAAAATTAGATGAAAATGATCAATCAAATATAATCATTTTAAACTCTTATTAAAACAAAGTAAGGATTGGTTTATAATACAAATCCCTAGAACAGTTTATAACCCACTAATACCCGCTATATTTACAATAGGATATAAAAAATGAAAAGAATTAAATAAATCTAGGATTAGCGGTAATTTAAACAGCCAAACATTGTGAGCATAGCATACTTTATTCAATGAATTACCTGTCATACACTTAAACGAAGCAAAGCTTTATTTCATCATAGAGTGACATATGAAACAAGGAGGGGAGAAACAAAATAAAACTGTCGGTTTACAGCTACCATTGACAATTGAACGTTCGCTTGTAAAGATGAAGGTGTACTGCCTGGTATTGTTTGTTGCGGCGGCTGCGGCTCTGCCGATGGCTAAGGAGGATGGCGTCATGGAGAAATTCATCTCAACGTTACGGGATTGCGTGGAAACCGACACCATGTTGTGTTTGAAGGTGTGTGAAGTGAAGTGAAGTGAAGTTGTGATTACATAGTGAGATGTGACCGGGATACATCTACGATATATTTAATAATAATGATAGGTTCTAAACATTACCAGAATACTTAACATCCTTCTTGTCTTTACAATGTCTATTTCATTTAATTGAAATAGATACTTTAGTAAACTGATTATACAGTTCATTATTGATTAAAAAAAATATTGAACCCACATATTTGAAATATGTTATATAAAAAGAGGTTTATAGAATTTTAAAATTTAGGGTCTGTATATTCATTTAACTTATTTAACACATTTTACAATTAACACATTATTTTACAGGAAAAGGCAATGAAGTTTACTGAGAACTTGGCAGTGGCGAAGGACTTCAGCGTAGTTGATGGCATCTCTTTCTCAAGAACTGGGTCACCGAGATCTGCTAGGAGCTACGAACCCTTACCCGAAGAACCTAAAGCAAGGGAACTGCTAGTTGAGGAAAGGATTATGGACAATGTAGTAGACTTCCTGGACAACCACGCTCTGCAACTCAGGATGCCTAAAGCCTTCACTGAAGATAACTCTGTTGATGAAGAAGGTGAGCATTTATATTTTTTTATAAACAATTCAACTTTATAATACATAATTAAATGAATTAATTCTTATACATTTATATTGAGTGTTATTTAAAAATAAAATAAGGAGAAGACTTTATCTTTAATTTCCTTCTGCAGGCCGTGGCAAGAAGAAGAAGAAGCTGAAGAAACTCCTCCCAATCCTCGCTCTCATCAAGCTGAAGTTGACTGCCCTCATTCCTCTGTTCCTTGGTATCATTGCCTTCGCAGTCTTCAAGGCTTATCTCCTAGGAAAGATCGCCTTCATTGCAGCCGCGTTTGGAGCTCTGAAGAAACTCCTTGAATCGAAGTCCAAGAGCGGCGGTGGTGGATGGTCGGAACCACCTCATGAAGAACATGGCTGGGAAAGCCAAGGTGGTGGAGGCTGGGGAAGATCCCAGGATGCCCAGAACATGGCTTACGGAGCTCATGTCAAGCAGGCGTAAACAAAACTTCTTGCTGAAGTTTTTAGGATAATAAATTAACTAATTTATTGATTACCAGCTAAGGTTCATATTTATTCTCTGACGACCACCGTTTATATCGTGAATGCGTGTATTTTCTTCTTTTTTCATTAACACTTTAAGTTCACGACTGATTATTATTTTTTTATTTTGTTCATTTTTGTATATATTCTTATATCGTAGTATAATTACGTATAAGTATCGATATTTACATGTATATTATGATGTATATATTTATTTTAAATGTATATATGTATATTCGTAATTCTGTCAATATTCTTATCATAGAATATGTAATGGAAACTGGTGTTTATTACCAAATATTTTAGTTTTTTGTTCCAAAGATACTTTTATTTTTGTTTTTTAAGTTTATTTTATTATTTTATCTTTGTATATAATTATCAAGTTGTGAGTGCGAGTCAAACGAGTCATATTTATCACCGATATTTATTTTTGGCTTTAAAACATTCTTAGTTTTGAAGTTTCACGATCGATTTATGTAAAAATAAAGTGTCGTTTACCAATATATATGATTTTAATTTCACACCTTCAAAATGTTTTAAGTAATAAATGTGAATATATATATATCTGTCTCCAATATAGTAACAAAATAAGTATAATGTGTACCAAATAAAAAATTTGAACATAGAATCGGAACCAGAAAAGAAAATAATGTCCTAAAAACTGGTGAATATACATTGTGAGAAAGATATGAGGTAAAATATACAGTTGTTAATATCTCCATTGTAGCGTGAGATGAAAAATCTCTCGGAGGTTGTACATTATGTTTAATATAATTGAACTGTGTGAAAATTTTTACGCCACCTGTCTGTAAACCTCTCCTTTCTTTTACTTTCTAGCAAAAATCTAATAAAATATTGAGAAACCCATAACAAACTTTATATTGTCGAATGCAATGCAATAAAACATATTTGTCATTAAGAAGACACCACAAACATAGTTTTAATTTAGAATTCATACGTATTACAAACTGATGACAAAATTTTATATTTCCGGAATGATCAAAAGAAATTTATGGGTTGAGTAAATTTTCTCTTGACCTTATACAAAACAGGACCTTTTAAGTCATTTACATTAATCAACAGAAAATAGCGAATAGTCTACGTGCCGAAGCAAACTGGTTTCTGTACGGTAGGCAAATACGATAATAAGTTCGCACAACTTTCACTCCTCACTGATTGAAAGTAGGTTCATAATTGTATACATAGTTTTGATAAGTCTGACCATACTAAAACTTTCATTTTTAAAAAGAAATTCGTATGACTTACACAATATTGACTGTAACTGGATATTGGTACTGATATGAACGAAAGTCGACGTTTAAAATTACAACGTTCAAAGTTAATCGATAACTTTATATGATGGTATCGCTTTTTCCATTAAAACTCAGAATTAAATATAAAGAAACATGTTTTGACATACATAATTCATGTAACATTATTATTGTTCACACAGAGGTAAGATTTCGAAACTCGAAAATATGCAAATGATATATTATTCATTTATTTCTCATTTAAATAATATCTTACATTACAATAATTTTCACGTACGCCTCGTCAGTTCGTATTCAAATTTTATTTCATATAATTTATTTCAGTAAGAGTTACAAAATATTGCATTATGTAACGTTTGTAAAACATCGATGTTAAATAACAAAACTTTCTTTCATTGGAAAACATGAATTGAAACTTAAGGAATCATTTTTGGTGTTTCAAAAATACACTACTTATAAATACTAATATTCTAGTACTATTAAAGATATTAAAAACAGCTACAAAATATATAGTTTCATATTAGATCAACGTCTTTAATGTCAATCAACAAACCAACATCTTTAACATAGAAACCTTATATTTTATGCGAAGTTTCACGCGTATACAAAGAGGCTTTTGAGAGATGTGGTATGCTAAGCTAAGGTTTAACATAGTAGTTATATGGGCTATTCATAGTCCTTAACTACAAGCTTGTTAAATAGACATACATTTTAGTAACAATATTATTATTATAGACTATTATAATAAATTATTTTATAGTTATTCTATACTTTTTTTTTTTAGAAAATAAGAGGTTTTTAGATTGTTGTTTTCAATGTAATAGTAGCATATATTTAAGTATGTTATTGCCTTAACTTTGTCTGACTTTTAGAGTGATCCTGATATTTATTTTCTCATTTTAATGATAAAGGCCTCATATTAAACCAAAAAGAAAAGATGAAGTGACCCAAATCAAAGTTTACTTTGAAGACAAAACTACTAATATTAATTTTCTATTATCATATATCTTTTTCATTACAAATATATATGTACATCAATGCAGGTTATCATTTATTCAAACTACATACATGTTTCAGACAATGAATTAAGTCGTGCCACCGACTTTTTGATAATTTCAGTGTGATAACGACTGATAAAAAAATGAAGCATATAGCTCATAAATAGGTATTTATCTTTGGATACTATTATACTGATAAAGAAAATGAGTTAAGATATTGTTCCTTCATTATATCTCATCCAATGAACTAATATAAGGTTGATTACTTTGACGTGACGTAACGGCTTCAATATCTATTAATAGGAATTGAATAAAAATAGACATTTTTGTTAGCAAAATTTTCATTAGAATATTCGCCTCACATCTGGCTCTATATAATTCTTCACGTAACTACCGATTATAAAGTATGATTTGCGAGCAACGCAAATTATCATTTATTTCATAAGAATAAGGATTATAATGATTTGGAACTTATTTACAGTGTGTGGTCCACTAAGGTACCGCTAAAGAGGCAACTCGAAAGTTCTTAAAGCCGCACCCATTGCGTTTTAGTTTAACCACACTACACGAGTTTTACAACACCCATTGCTATTTAATAAAATTAAAAAAATATATTAATACGTAAAAATTACAGATAATTTTACAAGAACTTCTTTTTGAAAAATATTTTACGTATAACATAACAATACTCTTGAATTCAAATATAATCTAAAATAATCAAATTTCGACATACAAAAGAATATGAACCTACAGCTTTCGAGTCACTTACATTTTGTTAATTATGTTATGACGGTAATTAGAATTGACATAAACCTATTAAAAATAGTAAAAATTAACAAGAAATATATAGTATGACACCTGATATTTTTTGAAATCGTCCAGTGTGATTTCACATTTCCCGTTGCCTTCAAGGTCGGACTTGTAGCCAAGTTGACTCATCACGCACTTTCTTCTCAATGGAATGTCTTTACGAAACCTTACATTACGTAGTAAAGGCGTGATGCTAACATTTATAATTCTTAACACTGTCCATTAACATAATATTCTGTAGTTCCGCCTGAAATTGTTCATGCAAATCGACCTTATTGTGCAGTTATGATTTTTATATAAAAATTTTATATAGTATAAAATACAAATAGCATAGAATAATGATATTATAATGTATTTTTTTAATAGTTTGAACAACTCTTGTTTAAATGTATCACATTCTCCTAACCAATCTAGCTGGCATATTTAGAATATTACTTAATAAAAATCAAATAAACACATTATAATTATATATCGTTGAACAAAGTTTCATTACAAATGAGACAAGCTGTCTCGTGTAGACTCTTTGTACGTAACAGAACGTACACTCACTTTGATGCTGAAGCATGAATGACTGGTTGTGAATCGCGGATTTACTTATTAAGAACACTTTGGAGACTTAATACAAATATTCGCATATAATAATACTAACTTTAACACTACAACCTTAACGTTGATGTTAGGTAGTGAACAATGAATAAAATCCTAATTATAATTGTTGATTGGCTTTTATTGAAACACACTTTTTTACTAACCAAAAAAAGCTCCTAATACTTTTCTATGTGATATCTCACACGTAAGCGTTGAATGTGTTATCTACTTGTCAGATAACTTTTAAAAGTCCCTTAAAATAGAAAGCTAAGGTTAAAACGAATGAGGACGGTAACCTTCTTTCTTAATTATTTTCTAAATTTTTCTAAGAAGTATGACAGGCGGTGTCTTTGTATAGAACGGTATATCAATAAATTATTATAATTGATGTGCTCCAAATACGTTGGCAAATATCAGTTTTCTATTCACATGGGATTCTCGTTTTAAAAATAGGTCTAGCTAAGTAAGATTTTTGCCTATGTTTCATGCCTATTTCGATGTGCCACTGATATAATATCATATTTCTCGTACATCTTGGAAGTTCTTGGAATCTTCTGTAAACGTTCCGATAAATTGATCGAAGTCCTTTAACTGAATGTTATAAATCTTTCCCATCGTGAGACGGATTGCGTCATTCCCAAAATGTCTGACCCCGAAAGTTGAATTGAGTGAGAATCACGCAGCACTTTCACTTAATGCAGCACTCGTTACGATTGCAATATACACTTATGGCATTACTTAATCGTTTTATAATAATTCATTGCCACGGTTTATCTATGAACTTGACTCAGTTTGTGATGTTTTTTTGTCATGTGCACCTCACGGCTTGTAGATATTAATAATAAATTTTGCTATTTCATTCATGGAATAGAAATTTTGAGCTTTATATTCTATCTACAAAATTCACTACTACGTAATTGATTACATCATGGAACTCATATTTTCTCACTTTATTTTTTCACGAGGAGATTTATTTATATTAATAACAAGTTAATTATTGAAAAAAAATATTAAATAATTTTACAAGAACACTAACATTTCGAGTATGCAGTATTTAGTAAGGCGTACCTTAGCTACCTTTACTAAAATAAAAAAATGTATTGTATTAACGAAGAAGCAATTAATTAATTTCTTAATTCTATCATTTACCATAATTTTTAAATCCGTTAAAGACTCTTTGGAGATAAATTTATTACTATAAAAAATATTACATTGATAGTCGTGAGATGATGTTAAACTTAAATTTACTTCAGATCATGTAATTAAGAGTGAAAGTCTTAAAAATATCTAATAATTTTTAAAGATCTTGGTAAATTTTATCATACATTCCAGTGAATTCAATCTCTTATTATTTTAAACCTGAGAACCTGGTTAATCGTTACATTGAATCAAAAATAAATAGTTTTATAGTAATAATTTATGATTTATTTTTAAAATAACGAAGTCATTTTACGTTCATTCAATCAACTACATGCTATTTCTGATAATCTTACATCATTCACGTAATTTAAAGCTATGTTTTAAACCAAAGAAATATCTGATATCCCGAGTGACCACTTTCGTTTCTCATAAATTAACTCGTTTTAATAGATTCGGAAGTAAAATCTATCATTATATATATAAATTTTATATAACTATCTCAATAATTTCTTTGCATTACGAAAACCTTAGTGGTATTGATTTGTTAAACCTTTAACTGCGTTTTAAATATTAAAACCCACCTTTATATGGAAACTCAAATATTAGATGATTATTAATGATTACCTCTCTAAATCTCTATCTCTCGGATACAAATTAAATGTTAAATTCTTTTTGTAAAACATTTTTTATGACTGTATAGCAGGAATTTCTGATACAGTCTGTCTAATAATTGTTTCAAATAATATAAGTGTCTCTAAAAATTTATTCAAATTTTTACTAATATCATTGCTTATATTTCAATTTATTACAAGGTAGCTTAAAATATACTTTAAATATAATGAAAACTAAAAGCATTACTGTTTTAGGTGTCACTAAATTATGATAAAAATTTTACGAATATAGAGTCATGATATTTTTTTTTTTATCATGAATTGAAAAAGCTTGTCTTACTTACTTTTTCACTTAATTTTTAGTTACACAGGTGTAACATAACATAGGTTAATATTATTTGGAGACAGAAAGTTTCCGGACTACTGCTGTCCTTACCGGTTTCGTCTCAGTCTATCGTGACCTCAAATTTTACGAATTAAAAAATAGCTACAAGTCAAATTAGACGAGTTTCATTCAAGAGTGAACAAACAAATTTCACTTTATTTTTTTTTCTATTTTAAATAAATAAAATATATATAAAAAATATTTTTAATGTATGACCCTACAATATTATAAGTTCACAACGGAATGTACTTGATTATTTGAGGAGATATTACAAATTATCATAAAATGATTTAGCACATTGTTCTTAATGTCTTGGGTCCAGCACTTGCGGTTGGTAATGTTAGATTAATTAACGCAAGCCATTCAAGCCTTTATACGGTGTTGAAACGGCATAATTTCGCATGAAAATTCTTTATGGTGTTTAGTATGTGTATACGAAAATTCAAACAATCACACTTTTTCTTTCATTTCATTTGCACTAACATATATGTGTGTATGTCTGTATGTGGACAAACTTCGCTTTCTAACATTCAATATTTATTTTTCTACTTATCCTTATGTACGGTGCTTACGACGCCATCATTTAGCGTAAGCGTCAGCGTCAAACAGTACACACTCTTTACGTCATTTTGCCAAACCTGTAGTGGGGGCCTAAGGATATATTCCATCACAATTTTGGGAAGACATCATATCGAACCAAGCATCTGCAGTTCAAGTATCTTGCTTGGTAAAAAAAAAATCATACCAAAATGTGGAAAAATATAGTTTTTCTTGCCTTCGTGGCAACAGTGTATTGTAATCCAGTGGAACGCGGTATAGAAGAAAATTTGGTTGGTGCAGTTTCGGAATGCATAGACAAAGATACGTCTCTATGCCTGAAGGTGAATAGTGATTAGTGTTTTAAGTGAAGTGTTCGTGATAACTATAGTCTACATCAAGTGATACAAATTTAAATTACGGCTACAAATAAAATATTACATAACATTTGCAACAGCATTCTCTGAAAAGATTATAAAATAAGACATGCATATATGACATTTTCTTGTTACAGTATAAATCCGTTTGTTATTAAATACTGCGGATACATACATAAAAACAAATTTTCAACATATTAAAGCATCACAATATATTTTTTAAAATGTGTTATTAGAGTTAAATATTTTTTTCGGGGCTTAATTTAAGCAATAATAATGTAAAAAAAAAACCTCTCATATTTGTTAAAAAAAAATCTTCTCATATTTGTTATAGGAAAAGGCACTGAAATTCACCGAAAAACTCTCTATCAGCAAGGATTTGAACATATTTGAAGGCATGTCTCTTATCAATACTGGTTCAGCTAGATCCGCTCGCAGCTTTGAACAATTGTCCGAAGACCCAAAGACTAGAGAAGTTCAGATTGAGGAGAGAATAGCCAGCAATGTTGGAGACTTCCTTGATAATCATGTACTGCAGTTACGTCTGTCTGAAGATTCCGATGAAGCCAGAGACTTAGACGAGGAAGGTAATAAAAAACATTTTATTAATATTTCTTAGCTTAACATTTTTTTAACTTTTCTTACCTTAGCTAAAAGTTTCTTTAAAAGGATTCTTAAAAAATCGATTTATAATGGCACATTAAATTTAGGGACTAAATTTTTAATTCTTTCGAGTAAATATTGAATAGAAAATTTCAATAAATCTTTAGACTAAGAACAGAAACCTATGTGAATATTTGAATATCAATAGTAAATTAGACTTAGAAAACGATATTCACCTAGCACACTACATTCGTGAAGTGAATATTCCTTTACAACGTACCTTAAAACGTAACACTTGTAAAACAATGCTAGCTTTCTCCTATACCTATCTACATTGTTTGGCATCTAAAGGGCCTCAAAGTACTAGTTATGCACTTCAAAGTCTTTTCTTATACAACATATATTTATATATTCGCCCAAATACTATATAAAATACATTTAACAAATAAAAAGTTCTTATAAATTAGGGTTGATTGGAATTATATTGCATAAATTAAGATACATATTCATATTATTTTCTAGGTCGTGGCAAGAAGAAGAAGAAGATCAAGAAGATCCTTCCTCTCCTTCTTCTCTTGAAGTTGAAACTCGCTGCTCTGATTCCCCTGTTCCTCGGAATAATCGCCTTTGTGGCAATCAAGGCCGTCTTCCTAGGAAAGATTGCATTCGCTATGAATGCTTTTACTCTTATAAGGAAACTTTTGGCCAAGAACAATTCTGGTTCATCAGGCGGAGCTATAAATTATGCTCCTCATCATCCTGAAGAACACCCTGGCTACTCTTATGAACCAGCTCAAGGTTGGAGTAGAAAAGTCAATGATGCCCAAAGCATGGCGTACGCTGGTCAATTATCTTAAATTTGACTTCACATGAGTTGAGAAAAAGTGTGTGAAATATTTATTATTGAATGTGTGTGTTGCCGAGTACCTCAGTCTTATTTATTTAATTTATGACAGTAATAAAACCATTAAAATAATCTCATCATTTTATTTACTCCCTAATAATTTTTTTATAACATATTTTATTACTATTGCTTAAATTAGTTTTATAATTGCCTGGTTACCTTTGGCATAAAACTATCAAATGAAAGAAGATACCAGTGCTCTATCCTACAATATTAATATTAATGAAAAAATAACTATGTCACACACTATGGCATAATGTCTTCTGCGGCTCTATAAGGCATCGATTACTTTAAAATGTTAATACGAGGAAATCGAGAGTGGGGACATTTTAGATAAAAAACTGTTACCAATCCAGAAATCAACACAGTCGAATTTGCTTCGCTTGAGTACGTGGTACAAAAATAAAACAAAAAATGAAGTTTATCGTTATATTTTTGAGTGCAGTGGCTGTAGTGAGCTCAGTTCCAGTGTCTCAAGAAGATTCAGTGTTTCGTTTGGTTGCTCAAAATTTTGTGAATTGCATGAATAGTGATTTGAATGTGTGCTTAAAGGTAATTAATTATTGATATAGTAATGAAACGTGAATAAGTGATGAATGATAATCAATGGAATGTTAAGGAATAAATATTAAGAAAATATTAAATCACTCAATAAATTAGAATTACTGTCATGAATTTTAATAGAAAATAAATTTATAAATTTTTCATAATATAATAATTTATATCGGTTTATAGATTACGATTGATTGCCTTTAAAATTTATGATTTATTAAATAATATTTCATTGGCAGGAACACGCACTCAAGGCTGCAGAGCGTCTTGGTACCGTCCGTAAATTGAATATCATTGACGGTGTTACTCTCTACAACAATGGACCTAAAGAAGCCAGGAGTTTTGAAGCTCTTCCAAGCGACCCAGAAGCTAGAAACAAACAGTTGACTGAACGTCTTTGGGACAGCACATCTGATCTTCTTCAAAAAAGCGAATTGGAATTCAGCTTTGCTGGCTCAGACGACGACGAGGATGATGAATCTAGGTCCTTCAATGAAGGTACGAAAAATATTACAGTTTTCTCATAATACTTAATACCTCTCTTGTTAAACACATGACCAATCAGTAAAAAAACGTTAGTACTAACACTTTAATTGTGACCTTTTTAAATAAAACTAAACTTATGTTTGAATGTAGCATTAAAAGTATAAATTTTTCAAATACTGTTAAATATAATTTTATTACGTAAGAGTGAAATGCAACATGGAAACGTTGTAAAGTATGTCAAAGATACTGGTTTTCGAATTTTAAAATCTCTCCATTTTTTTTGTTTCAAAGACTTCCCGCTAATTATTATTTTATATTCTTGTTCCGAAGTAGCAGTTCACACTGATGATAAATCATAAGTAACTTTTATGTTTCTGCATTCTTTAAAACAAAAATGTTATGCAGCAACCATTAATTATTTACAACTACTTATATATTGTAACGACAAAACTTTATATTTGTAAGCTAGTACAACGACCAATTATTAAAAGAAAGATTTAATTATTTGATTCTATTTTATATATAATTATTATTCATTATAGCTGAAGAAGGCCGTGGCAAGAAGAAGAAGCAGCTTAAAAAGAAACTCAAGCTCCTCATCCCTCTCGCAATCTTAGCTAAAGCCAAAGCCATCGCCCTCATTGTAGTAGCCCTCTTAGTTATCGCTGCATCCGTCTTCAAGATTGCCCTTTTGGCTAAGATAGCCTTCATTGCCAAGGTGATTGCTATTGTCAAAGCCCTTCTAGCCAAAAAGCACGCTCAAGAAGAGCACGGATGGGTAGCCCATGAAGAACATGGTCATCCATCTGCCGGTTGGGAAGGAGGCTGGTCCCGGTCAAGGAACGAAGCCAATAGCTTGGCTTACTCCGCATACCAACAGTAATTTAGATTTAAGTTATTAAAAAATCTTTATTTATTATGAATGTTAATTTATTAGTGTGAGTGTATACGACGTCTCGTGTTTTTTTTTTGCCTTTTATTTATTTTTTATTATTTTTGATTTTTTTATATATGTGATATTATTTTATAATTTTTTATATGTAGTTAACTGTTTATGTATTGTAAATATTTATTTCTAAATAGTATATATATAAAGTAAATTTCTGTATATATATAAATACAATTCAGATTACATGTTCAATTTATCTATATATTGTATATATATTGTTTTTTATACTACATACATTTATATGTTTTCATACACTATATATCGACTCTGTTATGATCTCTTGTTTTTGTTATTTTTTGTTGTTTTTTGTAATAATTTCTTGAGTGTCGTGAGTGCTTAAATTATTTATGAATGCCCGCAGAATTTGAAACATTTAATAGTCATACAATAAAAATGCATCGAAAAAACCTTTTTGTATTTATTTTGCTTCCCTGAATATTATTTACCAATATTTAAATATAATTCTATAATGGAACTTAAAATAGTAATGGATTTGGTTAAATAGATATATTTATCACACGCAAAAGTTTTTGTGATTAAAAACTGAACGAAAACTTCAAATTGTTCCTCATATAATTTTAATAGTTTAAAACAAAAACATATTTATTTAACATTAAAATAATATTAGAGAGTATGTTATTTTGCGAACACAAAAACAAAAAGTCTTTTATAAGTGAATAAAAAAAGAGAAAAAACAAAAAATACTTATGATGAAGCCTAAAACCTTTCAATTATATCGTTTTATGGAAATTAATAATTATCTTTTACTTCTGTTTTTCTGTCATTATGTATAAAAAAAGTTAAATAATAACTTTACTATAAAAACCATATGTAATAGAATTGCCAGCAAAGAGCACGTTAAAATATTTTTCTTGTTCCAAAATGTTGAGTTGGTCATAAAAAGCAATCAAAGACTATAACAATAATCTTTAGTTCAAGACGTCACCGAAACCATAAAAAGCTTTATTAATTACATAAAGAAATCGCTGCTAGTATTAATTATTTGTTATCAAGTTATTAAATTCTGATACGGTACTTTTTTTTATATTTTTAAATTATTCTAGAATTGACTTCCAAAATTTTGTACTACATACAAAAAGCCATGTACATAAATTAAGTTAAAAGAATTAAATTTCTTTTTCTCTCACATAATTTAACAGAAAACGATTAAGGTGAGACGGAAATCGTATTTGACTGATGCGGTTAAAGCGAGTCTTCGAAACCAGATGGAACATGTTCATGTTCAACCTTTTTCTTTTATCACACGATTGGATCTCTGTCAAAGCTGTTTGGCGTCCACCTCACTGTGATTGAGTAATGAGTTATGTTCCATAATTGTTAACTGATATACGAATGAAATTGAATACTATTTCAGTATGATAATAATATATATTTGACGAAATAATGATATTTGTGTGTTTGGTGCGAAGAAATCTTTTAAGAACAAGCTAAATAATTTTAATACACTTATATTATTGTTATGGCCAGTTTGAGTGTTAATATATAGCAAGTTTTGTAGTTAGTTCACAGAAGTAACTTAAAAAAAAACATAATGGTTTAATAGGCCTTATTTTATTAAACGAAATGTGTTTTAATTCTGGTACAAAATCAATGAAATATTTACAATCAAATACTTGCTATATTTTAATCAAAACGCCTGGTATGAAATAAATAGCAAATCTGTGTAAAATCCAAATACTAATAAAAATAACACTGCGGATAGTATTTACTTCCAGTAAAGTCTTATAAAAATTACACCGATAAATATAAAATTACGCCTATAATAAACACTGACTATGTTCAGAGTTGATTACTTACTAAATTTAAATGATTATTTTTTTAAGTTTCGTTTGCTGTAATTAGCTTATTATGTTATATAGTATACAATAAAAAAATTATCTTATATGGCCATATCTTAATCAATATAATTTTTCTTTTTCAATTAAATCACGAGCAATAACTATTATCACAATTAAATTTTCACAATGTTTGTAATATGGTATTAAATACTACATATATACATAATAACTGAAATTAATTACAAATTTAAAAATTTCAGTCAATCATTTTTACCTACTAATCTTTAACTAAACGGCATAGTGGTACATCAAAAATGAGTATGACAAAATCCTATACAGCCAACCTAACCACTCTATATAGATAAACATTTACAAAACAACGCTATGGCCTTAGAAAGCACAGCCTTTATCGAAGCTAAACAAACCAGTTTAAAACCATAAACATATTTTTTAACCGTTTTTATTAACTGTTACTTTTGTTTTAATCTCACATAGTTAAACTGGCTACAAAACCAACAATTATAATGAGTAAACAAAAAAATAATAATTGAATTATAGTTGTCAAACTTCGATTTCATTAGTATTTTTTCATTTAATATTTAAAGAGACAAAGGTGAAACATTAATTTTGGCTGTCACTAAATAACTGATTAGTTGAAAAATATTCTTTTATTATTTTCGTTATGTACAAATTTATATCATACAACAGATTTAAATAAAAATTACATACAAATCGTGAAATCTTATAACAGATGCTATAGCCCTGACTTAGTTGTTTCACGAAAAAAAAACTTTATATTAGTCTGTGCTCTGGATCTGAAATAATACTAGTTTTTTATACGACGAATTTCTTTTCACTTTTCATTTAGTCTTATCATTGACACCACCAGTAACATTACTGTAGAAGTCAGATATATGACATTTCTACACAATTACTTCTAATACACTTGGCTCCAGCTTAATTAAAATAAAATAAATCGTGATGTTTATTCCGAAAAGAAAATCAAACGAAATCTCAGAAAATAATAGTTTTAACGGATGAGATGACCTGAAATTTCAAGAATTCATTATGTTTATACTCTATAAGTAAACTACACAAACAAGTTATATATATCTAAGCTAATATTATCTCAACTCGCTTTTCGTGTACTCCTCTTTGATGGGTATATTTATTTTTATGGTTAAAATGTCTGAACAGACAAGTTTAAACGGGTTTTCTTTCCGGTATGCGAAGTTCTTGACCGTCTAATAATCGGCTGGTATAAAAATGTAGAACATACATAAAATAAACAAAGAGAGAGTGTAACTTGTTTTAATAATTTACATAAGTTTATGGGAATAAAGCTTATAGAAATATCTGTCAAATCATCCATAGTTATAACCTTAATCTTATTCAATTAGGAATCAAAATATAAGTATACAACTTTGTTGATTTTGTCTATAATATTTCAAAATTTATAGGAAATGCCCAAAAAATATCTCAAACAAACACAAGTTAACTTAGAATATGCAAATCTGTTTGTAGATGCCATAGCCTCAATTATCTGTTTATTTGAGTATATCACAGACTTTCGTGTGTGACGAGAGTATAATCAATTTAATCATTTTGATATATAAATATAAGATATATTATAGTACATAATAAAATATTAAGCTTATTTATCTATTACCCGGTCAGAAACTTTCACTGAATTCAAACCAGATCTAGCTGTCTAATGGTCAACGAGACTGAATTTTTATTATGCAAGGATGATTATTATTTTTTTATTAATATGCTACATTCATATTTTAAAGTTGACATATTGATGTGGCATAAGTATTTGCTTTCTACTAATTCTAGACATTTTTAAATGCTATAGAATTAACAAAATTTTCTTTGGAATGTAAGAATTTTGAATTAATTTGTGATCGCACCAAATTTTAAACTCGTTCCATGGTTATTATCGAATTGGGTTGATACAACTTACTTTCTTATTTATATTTTGTAACATGATACACGGAAAACATGCTTTCTCACGGTGAAACTGTTTTCTAGTGTAATAACATATTTTACTCAAACATTTCACTAAAATGAAAACAACGTTTATAAACAAAACATTTATTGGGAATAATTTATTATCATAAGTTAAATAAATAAATAAATAATCTTTGTACATTCGCTAAGTTACCAAACTCTCTGATGAGTTTGATTTACTTGTGAGGAGCATAGGCGCCATAAGCCAAATTCTGGGCGTCATCAATGTTTTTGTTCCAGTCAGATCCGTAGCCAGAAAATCCATGCCCATGGCTGACATCGTGGGACAAGTGATCGATGTGAACAGGGTGGCTCTCGTGATGGTGGGCGTGGGGCACGACTTCATAGGTTGTCTTGGTGTGTTCCTGTTTCAGGCACCAAGCGACGAACAGAATGACGGCAAGTACGAGGGCAATCTTAGCGGTGGCCAAAGCCTTAAGGGCGATAAGCTTCACAATGAAAAGTTTGCCGAGGAGCACCTTAGCACCCAGCAGACCAATGATGGCTCCAATGCCACTTCCTCCCTTCTTCTTTCCACGGCCTGAAATAGATTATATTATGAACATGTCAAAATTATCTTTATTTTAATTGTGATAAAAATCTAAAAACAAATTTTCCACTATCGAAACTGAGTTTTTTAAATTTTCTGACCTTCTTCGAGGGATCGCTGCATTTCCTCCTTATCGGCTTGGTTCATTTTAACCTCGAGAGCGTGAGTTTCGAAGAGGCTGACGACTCCGTCCATAAGTCTGTAGTTAACTTCAGCATCTCTGGCAGAAGGGTCGACAGGTAAGGTGTCAAGTTTTTTTCCAGCTCTAACATCTGGCTCTCCTTTTAAAATAACACCTTCAGCGATCGCAACGCTGCGGGAAGCCCTCAAATTGTCAACGATTCTCAATAATTTCTCCTGTAAGACAAAATTATTACTTTTATTACACCATAAAATAAAATTAATGTAGCGGCTGTATCAAAGAAATGTAAGCTAACGGTCGCGGTTGTAATTTAAATCCACCTGTCGGGATGAAATTATATGAAATTATCCTGTTTTAAAGCCGCATGAAACTCAACCGGTCACTGCCACCTTCCATTCTCACTTCACTTTCACTATAATAATAAAATTATGGACCTTAACACACAAAATGTAATCGCCTCTGCAGTCCTTGACGAAATTGATTGCTGTTTCCAGAGTATTGTCACTGTCATCAGCACGAGCGAAGGCTCCAAGAGCAAGAAGTACGAAGACGGCCACCTTCATTTTATTAATTTATTTTTTTATATTTTTGTTTAATTTGTTGGTCTTATTTCGCGATTCGAATAGGTTTGCTGTGATCCGCACGCTGCCTTACAGTTTTATCATTCTCCCTCCCTCTACTCGGTTATCTATCAGTGTGATACAAAACTCTCATCTAGGTTAAAAATATATCGGATTCAGCTCGGACCCTAATGTTTATGCAAATGAGTTTACTTTGTACATATTTGTTGATTTTTGGGCGTTTTCTTTGCGTTCGAAAACGAGGAATGTTATGTCAGATATGAATATGGTGAAAGCGTTTTCAATTATTAATATTTATTTATATTTTTCATTAGGCTTACGCTGTGATTTGATTATTAAAATCGTAATTTTAGACTTTCTATAACAGAAATTGGTATTCGTTTTATTAAATTATATCAATATGTAATATGAAATATGATCTATAGAAATCACTTTCACGTTCTAAGTCTATATAATCTGTTTGAGCTGGTGTTCTTAGCCCAAGCTATGACCTTAACTTGTTAACAATGCTATAACAATGTTGTAATACAATAACTACATATATACAACTCCTTTGGAATAAACAATCATTAAGTTTTAGCATCAAAATTGTTAGTCAATAAATGAGAATGTTCAAATTTAATTTCAGAAATCTTCCTTAGCCCTAACGCAATTCAAAAATTTGTATCTGAAAATTTTTATTTGATAACAATAGAATTTGTGAAACGAAAAGTATATAAGCATGTTCTTTTCATTTTATCACCTTAATGATTGAACTTTATTATTTGGAATTAAAACCCTTTAAAAGAGTTTAGTAGTAGTAGTAATAATAATAGTATAAAATGAAGTATATATTATAATTTAAATTTTATTAAGATTTTTCAATGACTTTTTAAAGACCTTTTTGACATCTTCAAACTGAGTATAAATTAAAATTAGTGTAATTCCTTTGTTCATAATTATTTTACAATGTTGTCAAGAATCTGCCACTTAGTAACCTGCAAAACTTATACCATAATAATGATTGACAAGCGTACACAACATTATCGCTTAGTTATCATCAGTAACTTTTGTTTGTCATCTTAACGAGAAACAAAAAATAGTCTCATATTTATAATTTTTAAGTCATATTTATAAGCAGTGAAAGCTATCTGTTAATAAATCGATTACTCGGTACATTTGATATATGATTTGTATTTTACGTGTGTACGTAAAACACATGTGAGCTATTCGATATGGAAAATTCAGATTGACTTTTAGAGAGCTTTAGATATCACGACACGATTTTGATACGGTCAAAAGTGTGCCACTTTTCACTCTTAGTAGGCTTATAAGTTTATTATTTATAAATATTAAAAATAAATAAATGCCTTCAAAAAATATTCACATGATTATAATTTATTGAATGATTTCTTAACGTTCAACAAGTAATTAGAGAAAATCTCATCTTGGATTAATACATACGAGTATATTTAACGCTTATAAACATTAGTGATTAACATTATATTAGTACTAATAAAAGTAAAATCATTATAAATTATTAATATGTATAATTATAATATGTCTATAAATATAGCCTATATAATATTGTAATTATGGTTTTCAGAAAGTTTTGATGATAAAAATTCCATAAAAATTTGTATTACAGGTGTGGCACTAACGAGAGTCAGAATTGAGAACTAACTTAAGAGTTAGTTTTTTAAGAAAAATAGTGTTGATCAGATTCTTGGTAAGGGCTTTAAAATAAGTCACTTAAAAATACAACTATATAGACGTAGTGAAATAATAATAATGATATTAAAAATAATAATAGCTTTGGTGGTAAAACAATGAAAGTATTTTTAGATAAACACGTAATATCGAGAACTTATTTTTATATTTTCATACTATAGTACGTAGGTTTTCATGTAAAATAAATATGATGAAATGAAAATAAGATAAAATATAAAATTTATAAATATTTTCCACATTAAAAATCATTGAATCTAAAAGTCATCTCACGAGACGATTTTTTAATACTCTTCCATGTAATATATACTCGCTAAACGAGACCAAACTTTCATTTTCTTAATTTTTACTTTCGATTGACTGCTGGTTTGATTCTTTAATATTCGCTTTCAAAACTAATTATATGACAAAATATATATTTCATCGGTGTAACGGTACTGCTACGTTATTATATGAATATTTTAAAATACGAAAGAATCTACTGATGTACATTTTATTGTTTGAATTTTAAAAAATTGTACGTTCAAGATTTTATTTAAGTAAATTGTTTAGTTATACACAAAAATAATGAACAAATATTTTAATAAAGCAATATAAGAATAAAGTTTATAAATGCCATCATTTTGGGAATATAATGCTTACGATAGATAAAAATTAAGCACCGTAACATAATAGTAATAGCCATAAGACATAACTTTTTACAATCTCGTTGAGTTGTTCATATTTACAGTATAAGTGAAAACACAGTCTGATGAAGCAAAAAAATCTCTAATAAGGACATTAAAAATATATTTTCCTAAATAGTTTTTGTTTTGAAATTTTTTAAAAACGTATGTGGGTGTTAAAACTCTTTGTTTTATGTTTTTTTGTTCACGTTTTATAATTTATCTTTCTGGTAAATATTAAAGATTTTTCTTTGTTCTTTGAAATCATCAAAGAACAAAAAATTTATTAATTAAAAATCTTTCTTTTTAATTAATTCGAGATACCATTACAATAAATTCGTTAACGTTAAAGTTAACCCAGTCGATTTCATAAAAATAACTTCGGAGGAGAGGCGAGGAAAGAAAGTCACATCTGTTAGAAAGAAAATATCCTACCAAAAGTTTAAACTAAATATTATTTTGATTTAAAATAATGTTCCGTTTTTTAAACTCTATCTTTTTATATGCGTGTAATTTCTCCAAACAATAATAATAATTTTGTAGTTATATTGCATCAATTAAAAGGATATTGTTTAAAGAGGAATATTGTACTAGTTTTTTTCTAAAAATTTTATTTTATTTTATTGACACTTTTCATGGTACCTATAGTTTTTAAAACATTATAAACACTTAACCAATATTATATTTTATTATATATATAAAAGAAAGTCGTGTTAGTGACTCCACTTATAACCCAAGAACGGCTGAACCAATTTAGCTGAAAATTGGCAGGAAGGTAGTTTAGAGCCAGGAAATTGCAATAGGTTTTTTTATCCCGTTCGACAGCATTCCCGCGGGACTTGACATGAAACGTTAGTCATTATAAAACGTGGAATAACACAATTGACAGCTATGCAATTAACGTATAATGACAGATATGTAATGACGTATGGATGACAATTAGATATTTGTAAGAAATCTACTATATAAAAATAAAAATATTCAGGTAATGTGTTTGTAGTTTGAACTCTTAAAACCATTTAGTAATTGCGGGTTAAATTTAGAAAATCATTGTTTTTCACATGGACAGTTATATTTTGCGTGTTCACGAGTTTGGAAACCATACGCTTTATTTGTGTTAAAGTTAGACCAAAAAACAAAAAATGTGGTTTACAAAGGAGCACTTCAATGAAACGGATAATTTGCGGACACGTATAACGCTTCGATTCGGTATCTACTTTGGATTCACTTTCATTTACTTAGAGAAGTTCAACTAAATAACACTTCATTTTTGTAATCGAAATGAATTCATTTCTGTTGTGAAATGAAATAAAAATTTTCCTTTTCAAATATAAAACAAAAAATTCTTCATCTTTTAATCACCAAACGAAATGTTATATAAAAGCCTTCTGGTGGCGAAACGGAGTTCGCCAGGTTTACTAGTTTATATTAAAAATGATCAAATTTACAATGCATCTTATATTAAAAAAAAAAAAACTTAATCAAAAATAGTGGTGCCACAGAGTTACTCAAAACAATGGAATTTTTAAACGGCAGACGGTTCGTTTACGCACCGCATACCTACGTAAGAAGAATATTTAACGAGATTGTAACCAAAAATTCTTAGACGTGCAAAAATTTAGTTTTGACTATTCATGCTAGATCAAAATATAATTTGTATTATACTTAACATTTTAATTTTTATTTTATTTACAATTAATGTGTACATTGTCCATTGAATCTCAAAAGCTAGCAGTGATATTGCAATCATTCAAAAATATTTAAAAATATTCTTTTATGGAAGTGAAATTGTAATTAAAAAATATTTTTTATTTATATATTTTTTATTAATTGTTGTATATCTAATGTCACTGAATACTGCGTTCAAAAAAATCCGGATTTAGGTGTGGCGTGGCAAAGACATGCAATGATGGTAATATTTGCATCACTTTCTATTATTCTATGCTTGCATTAAAATGAACATGTATATTTAAGGTACATATATAATCTCTATAATAAAATATATAATATAGTTAATAACTTACGGTGCTAGAATATTATATATCTTTTGTCTACATTCTTGTTTTGTAAGTTCGTCTTTGATAAATGGCCACATTCATAAAGAGGTGTTTTGGTGTTCCAATAATGTATTTTAATAAAATAGTTTTTGTGTACATGTAATGAAAATGAGTAATAAAAATATATATTTGTATATAATCACTATATACTACTTATTTAAAATGTACCTAGATATTGTTAATAACTCATAAGGCAAACAATTAAATGACTTCTTTATACCCAAAAGCAAAAATTTGTTGAGGATATTTTTTGAAAACTCATTTCAATTGTTTTAAATTATAGGTACTACTAAAATGAGGAAGAAATTAAAATTATTTTTTCTTCTGACACTGTTTCCTTAATGTTTCTAACGTTAAATGAAGATGGTATCTTTGGAAGTGGATACCAAGTACTTTGAAATCATTGTAGTAAAATAAACGTCGTGATCACGATATTCCAAAATTTGCTGATGAAGCACTAACGAAGATAGGAATAATGATAAAAAGATTCCAAAATAGTCCCACTTATGACACGACATCTAGACACCTTATTACTATTTCTAATCATAACAAT